GCGTTTAGGGTTTAGAGGTGAGGGACTAGGGCTCTGGGGCTTCAGGTCGTCTAGGGGGCTTCAAGTCCCCGGGGGCGCTCAGAGTTTCTAGCCTCCTGAAGGGAGACGCCGCCCTCACCTCTCAGCGGTCCCCTAACCCAACATTTCCCAATTAAACCTGAAGACCTAAACCTCTGGACCCTATAGACCCAGTACGATTACGGTCTTTGCATTCTTGTAATTTTGCGATCAAGCCCTATGAACCCTGAACCCAAACCCTAGAAGCCCTAAACCCTATGCTTTTATGCTTTAGGGTTCAGGCTTCAGGGTTTACGGTTTCCCGTAAGCCCTAGAAGCCCTAAACACTATGTTTTAGGGTTTAGGCGTCAGGTTCAGGGTTACGGTTTCAAGCCCTAGGAAAACCGTAAACCCTAAAACCCTAAACCCTAAACCCTAAACCCTAAACCCTAAACCCTAAACCAAAAACCCTAAACCCTAAACCCTAAACCCTAAACCCTAAACCCTAAACCCTAAACCCGTCTCGAGGAGGGCAATGGCATGTTGGGAGAGCCCTGCGAAGAGTTCGTGGAGGTGGGAGCCTGTGCACTCTGTGGTTTAGGGTTTAGGTTTAGGGTTTAGGGTTTAGGTTTAGGGTTTAGGGTTTCGGGTTTAGGGTTTAGGGTTTGCTTATTTGGTTATATCATGGGTTCCCCCTACTACCCTCCTCTTTTCCACCCCCCTCTAGGTTCCCCCCCATAGTTTGAGGCCATTTAGGGATAATTACGCCCAACTAAGGTTATTTAAGGACTTGCCTGGCCACCTATGCCTTGCCAAGTGGGGTTTTCCAAGAAGCAGGGGTACCTGTTTTGGACCATATTTTGGGTACTTAAGGTGCGGTTTCCCCCCCCCCACCCCCCAGCCCCCACGTTAGGGAAATATTTCGCACCCGCGCCTTGAGCCAAACTATTGTCGCCACAGGCCCTAGACGCCCTAAACCCTAGGCCTGAAAAGACCCTAAACCCTGAAACCTCCACAGGGCTTGAACAATGTCCCGATCAAACCCTGCCCCTCTTCTATGCCTCTTTCCATGCTCTCGTGAATTCAAGGTAGTTAGGCCCTAAAACCCTAAAAGGGTTTCGGGTTTAGGGTTTAGGGTTTAGGGTTTAGGGTTTAGGGTTTAGGGTTTAGGCTGTAGGGTTTAACCCCAAACCCCTTGTTTCCCTCTGCTGGAATATGGCCCATGGAAGACCTAAATTCCTAAGAGCGCGAAGCCATCAACTCCCAGCCCTAAGCCCTCGACGGCCCAACCAGAGAGGGTTTGGGGTTCTTAGGTGATTTTAGGGGTTTAGTTGTTTTTTTCTTGTTTTGTTTTTTTTTGGAGTGGGGGGGGGGGAGAGGAGGCTTTGTGAGGGTGATTTAGGGATCTTTAGGCATCTTTGGCTTTTGGACAGGAGGCGCCGAGCGGCCAAATCATTTCGGCCGCAGGCATCGAACTGGAGGGTTGAGGGTTGAAGGGTGGGATGTTCCCCCTTATACTAACAGTCCTTAGTAGGGATTATGGTACGACTACACCCCTATTACGCACTGTCAGTAGAAGGGGGAACAGCCCAAGTTAGGGCGGTTACGGGATTTTGGGGTTTAGGGGATGTATGGTTCAGGGTTTAGGGGTTGATGGGATTGAGTTGAAGGTTTGGGGTTTGGGGGGCTTAGGGTTTCTGGGCTAGGAGTTGATGGGATTGAAGGTTTAGGGTTTTGGGTTTATGGTTTGGGGTTTAAGGGGTCGATGGGATCTAGGGTGCTTTATAGGGCTGTATGGGTGTTATGGATTATTTTAGGAGAGTTCTGGACCTTTAGTTGGCGCAGCTAGGATTTTTGGACTTAGGGCCCTTTTTGGAGAGTTTTGGGGGAAGGTTTAGGTTGCTGGGTTGAGGGGTTGAGGTTTAGGAGTTTGAGGCTTCTGGACATAGGGTTCGGGGTTTAAGGTTGCCGCGTTCATTTGGATCGCCCTTGTGCGTTTGTATTGACGTGCCTTGCCGTCGCCGACCACATGGGGTGCATGGGAGGACCATGTTGCTCAGAGTTGGAACTGGAACGGGCGCAACGATGTACATCAAACCGGTCCTGGCATACGGTTTCCGGAATAATCTTGCCCTCCAGCCATGTATCGTCCTCGTCGACATGACGGCCGAGCGGAAAGACCTCAGATTTTCGATCCCAGATTTTCGATCTCAACGATGAGGAACTCGATGCCCTCTCGAAAGAGCCCTAGACCCCAAACCCCTAAACAAACCCCCAACCCTGAAAAACCTTGAACCCTAAAACCCTGAACCGTAAACCAACCCTAACCAACCCTAAGCCCTACACCGTAAACCGTGGTCCCTAGAAGATGCCGAATGCAAGCTTTTTGCTTCAACACTGGCTGGGTGACGGGTCGGCTGGGAGCCCTTCAGGGTTTAGGGTTTAGGGTTTGGGATTTAGGGTTTCGGGGTTGGAGTTGAGGGTTTAAGGTGGCAACACCAACATCAGCTCGAGTTCTTTGAAACCCGAAACTCTTCAAGTTCAAATGCTGAGACTGAGACGCAGAACTCCAGGAAGCTTATCTCGAGTTTGGGCTTGGCGGCCGAAAATTGCACCACAAACCCGAAACCCGAAACCCGAAACCCGAAACCCGAAACCCCAAACCCAAAACCCCAAACCCTAAACCCTAAACCCCAAACCCTCAACCCTAAACCCCAAACCCTAAACCCTCAACCAGGGCCTCTCTGCCTCTCATCCGCTCCTCGCAAGCGCCGCGCCAGGAACCGTGCCGCTGCGGGGGAGTCAGCTGCTCAGCGTTCCTTTCCCTAAACCCTAAACCCTAAACCCCGTGACCTTGTTTAGGTCTCAGGTCTTAGGACTCCTAAACCCCAAGCAGCACCCGGCTTCAGTTCAGGGCATATTGGTTTAGGGTTGAGGGTTTCGAGGCTTGTGGTTTAGGGTTTAGGGTTCATACCACAGCTCCCCAAGCCTCCCCCTTCCAAAGGCATGCGCACAATTGCCCCATGCGACTCTTGGACATGGATTCTGTGGGCTACCTCCTTTTGGGCGAAAGGTTCGAATCCCCATCTTGAAGCCCGCTGCAGCGCAGCCTCCAGTGATACCCTGAGACCCTAAACCCTGTCCCCCTATATCCTGATATCCTTTTTATCCTAAACCCCTAAACCCCTAAACCCCTAAAGCCCTAAAGCCCTAAACCCCTAAACCCCTAAACCCCTAAACCCCTAAACCCCTAAACCCCTAAACCCCTAAACCCCTAAACCCCTAAACCCCTAAACCCCTAAACCCCTAAACCCCTAAACCCCTAAACCCCTAAACCCTAAACCCCTAAACCCCTAAACCCCTAAACCCCTAAACCCTAAACCCTAAACCCCTAAACCCCTAAACCCCTAAACCCTAAACCCTAAACCCTAAACCCTAAACCCTAAACCCTAAACCCTAAACCCTAACCCCTAACCCTGAACCCTAAACCCTAAACCCTAAAAGCACAGGCGGCCCAAGCTCTCCCAAGCAGCTGCATGAGGAGGCCCAGCCGGGGGTTTGGGTTTGGAGTCTTTTTTGGGGGGTCGCGCGCGCGACTTCGTTTTTTAAGGGGTTGGAGTTTGACACGGGGTTTAGGGTTTAGGGTTTAGGGTTTAGGGTTTAGGGTTTAGGGTTGAGGGTTTAGGGTTTAGGGTTGAGGGCATCTTGTTCATGTGAAACGCAAAGGAATATTAAGCACAGTATTTTCCATGGTCGTTTCTAACGTTCCTTTTCTTGTGTTGAGGGAAGTATGGTCGCTCGCGACAGCTGTGCGTGAGCGAGGCTTGCGAACTCCATCCAAATCCTAAACCCTAAACCCTAAACCCTAAACCCTAAACCCTAAACCCCAAACCCTAAACCCTAAACCCTAAACCCTAGACCCTAGACCCTAAACCCTAGACCCTAAACCCTAAACCCCAAACCCTAAACCCTAAACCCTAGTGGCCCTAGTATGCACGTTTCCCAAGACTGCGGCTTCCATTCGAAAGCTCTCAGCCACTACGCGGGTAGTTCTCTAAGCTTGAGTCCCGTTTTGGGTCCTTTTATAGCATGGCGCCCTTAACCGAAGGACCCTAAAATCCTAAAAAAAAGGGATCCCCAATTTAGAGAACTACCCACACGCCAAATAGACCCTAAACCCTAGACACTCAGCTCCCTAGATGAGGATCCCCCAACAAGAAGCTTACATCACTGGCACCCGGAGTGGGCCCCTATTCCCTTTCTTTTGGGCTCGGGGTTCCCTTTAGAACCCCTATAGAACCAAAAAGGGCACCCTTGTTATTCCTAGGTTACTCCTGGGCCGAGTTCAAAGAAGCTTACAGCTGCGGAGGAGGGCGCCGACCCGGCCAATGCGGGATCTCCAGCCGAGTGAGAGTCTCGGAGGTTTAGGGTTTAGGGTTTAGGGTTTAGGGTTTAGGGTTTAGGGTTTAGGGTTTAGGGTTTAGGGTTTAGGGCCTCTGGCAAAGTTCTTGAGAGGTTTCATAAATAGGGTGTAGGGAGATGAATTAGTGTTTCGTTAGGGCTCTGATCACGATTCCTTGGTCCGGTAGTGGTAGCAGCATAACGTAGTAGTGGTTGTATTGGTCCAGGTGGCTGCAGCGATCGAAAAACACACACGGGCAGCTGTGACCGTGCAGTCGTTTTTCATGTCGCTTCATTCGCAGGAGTCAGACCAATCCGTAACGAGCACAAGCAGAACAAACCATCATAATCATAGCCAGAGAATCTTGACTGAGGGTTTAGTCGTGCGAAGTGCTTGCTAGAAGCTGTGCTCATGCGAAAAGCAGATGCAGCAGGAGAGTTCCTGAGCCTTGACTCTCGTGGCCTTTTGCGGGGCTGTGTTAGCCTTGCTCAAGTTACACTCTCTTAGCAGGCCTTCCTGTCGCGGTCCAACCGCGTAAGTTCTACATCCCTTCATCGTCGGTCCCTTGTGGGCCTCGACAACCCTACGTTCTTGATTCGAGATGTTCGCGAAGGCTTCGGTCGGCGTCACGTGCTGGCTGGCCCTCGCCGCCGGCGTGGCGGCTGCCCCCGGCAGCTTCCGCGGCGCCCCAGGCCGCGATCGCGCGGTGGCCCTGGAGGAGATCCAGGCGAGCTTGCAGGAGGCCCTGGAGGCCGTGCTGAGCTCGGAAGGCGCCGCCAAGCGCAGTGCCCACATCGAGGCACGCGTCTGGCAGACCTTCCAGTCCTTGCCCAAGAACGACGTGGGCCGCCTGGCGCCCAAGGCCGTTCGGTACCTGGTGCACAGCTACTTCATGAAGGAGCACGGCTGGCTCATCCAGGGCCTGGACCCCCACGCCAACCAGGCGGAGGTCTCTGAGGTCCACGAGGTGAGCATCCTCCAGGATAAGGCGCCCTTGCTGGTGGAGTCCTTGCTGGAGGCGCGGCGCTCCAACCACGGCCTCTCCCTCAGCGACGTGGTGGCCATGGTCGGCGCCCTGGAGCGGCTCATCTTCGACGAGTCCCTGGCGCTCCTCCAGGCCTCCTACGCCTTCAACGGCCTCAGCGCCGCCGAGCCCATCCCGCAGCGCAGCGCCCACGAGGTGCTCACCTCCTACCTGCGCCTCGGCCGGGTGTCTGCCCCAAGCCCGAAACACCCGGAGCTGCCTCAACCCGCATCCCTTGAAAGCCCCTGAAGCCCTTCAACCCAGTAAGTTGCTAGTGAGCCTGGCCCAAGCCCCCAAGAAGTGTAACCTTGGCTCTGTATCTCAAAGAACCCCCCAAGTCCTGAAGTTCGAGGCTCCTCTTCCAGCTGGGCAGCAAGGCGAACCTCACGGATGTCCGACTGCACCAGGCTTTGAAGAGCAGGCCCGGAAGGGGGTTTTCGGTTTAGGGGTTGAGGCCCAATTTCAGGAGGGGTTTGGGGCTTGGGGCTTGGGGGTTAACTTGGGTTTTTTCTATAAATGGGTGTTGGAGAAACAAATGAGTAGCGTTTGTTGTTTTCATGCCTCAGTTCATGTAAGTACGATCATCTGAAGAGCAGCGTGTAGGCTCGTGTAGGCAGGCTACACGAACTATAGCCCTGCAGGTAGCCTGTTGTGCTAGGACAAATGGATTCCGGATAGAAGGTCGACAAAGCATGCCAGCCCAAACGTACAAAGAACACCAGTGCTCAAGTCGGGTCAGCTGCTCATGATTTGAGCCCACGGAATCATGGTTTTGCAGGAGCAATTGAGGTTTTAGTAGTTTTAGGTGTAATTACGGCTGCGGGAGCTTGACCCTAAACCCTAAAATCCTAAACCCTAAACCATCTAAACCCTAATCAGGGGAATCCTGAACACTTGGGGCCTGGGGCCCCAGCGGGTGTCCTTGGGCTTGGGTTTTTGAGGGGAGAATTGGGCCTAAATCCCAAACCCTAAGCCCTAAACCCTGAAACCCTGAAATCATACAAACCAAGCCCAAGGCTATTGTCAACTTGTGGGTTTGTTTAGGGTTTAGGGTTGGGATCTTCTCCCTTGTAGCAACAGTCCCGAAGCAAGGATGGAGAGGCTCCCAACATCTTCCTGACTGGACCCTAAACCCTTAACCCTAAACCCCAAACCCTAAACCCTAAACGCCTAAACCCTTACAAGGTTAGGGCCTCCGAACTTCTCCGCAAGCAGGCTGTCGCAAAGAGAGGACTGGCCCGAGCTTGTGGACTTCGAGAGCGACACCGTCCTTAACTTTGAGTAACCCAGCACCGCAAGCAGTATGAGTTTAGGGTTCGGGTTTGCGGCTTTGGGATTTCATTCTTGCAGAGACGAAAGGCTACCTTCGAGCCCTTTGGGTGTCTACATGTCATGGTCCCTTAGCATAGTCGTCTGTTGGCTTTGAATAGGTACGGACAGTAGCAGTACCCATGTTCCCGGCTGACCAAGGTACGCACGGGCCCACACCTCGAACCCTTTCCTCGAGCCTCAGTATTCCTTCCAGGACTCGCAGTGGCGTAAACCCCATACCTTAAACCCTGAACCGTAAATCCTCAAGCCCCTGTAAGTTGAAGTTGTTCTAAAGCCAAAACGAAACTCCTCGAAACTTTCCCCGAAACTTTCCCGGAACCCTAACCCTGAATAATTTCAATAAACCCTAAACCCTAAACCCATGGCTAGAGAGGGCGTCGAGGGCGAAAGTTGCCCAAGCACCCAAAAACCCTCTATCCCTGACCTCTGAAAGCCTTGACACCCCAACGTCTACAAAACTGTAAGGTTTAGGGATTAGGGGTTTGGGGGTTTGGGGGTTTAGGGGTTTGGGGGTTTAGGGGTTTAGGGGTTTAGGGGTTCAGGAGTCTAGGGGTTTAGGGGTTTAGATGCCCCAAACCCCAACGCCTAACCTAAGCTCCTCGAGCCCCGAAAGCCCTTTAAAACCCTTTACAACCCCTAATGCCCTTTAACACTCCTAAAGTCCTTGAAAACCCCTAAGGCCCTTTCAAACCCTAATACTCTTGAACACCCCCACAGCCCTTCGAACCTCCTAAAGCCCTACACTTAACACCTCGCACTGGGTGGTCCGTTTGCAGGATCTGTCGGAGATGGTCGGCGAGATGGCCCATGGCTACGGCAAGCCATTCGGCACCTCTTAGTGGGATGTAGGGTTCTGGACCTTAGGGGTTTTGAAGGCTTTAGGGTTCAGGGTTTAGGGTTTAGGGTTCAGGGTTTAGGGTTTAGGGTTTAGGGTTTTGGACCTTCGGGGTTTTGAAGGTTGTGTCATCGATGTATGCGCCACTGCACCATTGTGCCGCTGTTCGAGACCCTTTTATGACCTTTATGCTAAACTACGTCAGGATGTTTCCCCCCCCCCCCCCCCCCCCCCCCACGCTCGCTGGTACCCTTTGTCCAGGAGGCAAGGTCCCCCTTATCAGCCCCATCAAGCCCAAAAAAAGGAGAACTGTTTCCGAGGGTGCTTGCCTAAAGCTTGAACCCAGAACCCACAACCCTTCAGAACACTTCGCCCTTAAACCCTTAAACAACAGCCCTTAGACCCTTAAATCCTTAAGCCCTTAAGCCCGTAAACCCTTAAACCCTTGAACCCTCAAACCCTGAAACCCTTAAACCCGACAACCCCTGAACCCCTTAAAACCCGAAACCCCAGAACCCTAAACCCTAAACCCTCAACCCTAAACCCCTTAAAACCCTAAACCCTAGACTACAGGTGGCAGAACCGGGAGTGCCAGGAAATGAAGGCCGAGCTGATCGAGGCCACCGCTTGGCATTGCTACAATTTGCTGAGGGACCCTAAACCCTAAACCCTAAACCCTAAACCCTAAACCCTAAACCCTAAACCCTAAACCCTAAACCCTAAACCCTAAACCCTAAACCCTAAACCCTAAACCCTAAACCCTAAACCCTAAACGCTAAACGCTAAACCCTAAACCCTAAACCCTAAACCCTAAATCCTAACCCTAAACCCTACTGGTTCAGGGGTTTAGGTTTTAGCGGTGTACGGGTAGTAGTTGAAGCTTTTGGAGGCCCTTCTGGATGCGGTTGCAGCACACAATGATGACAGCAAAAGGGGACCCTTTTCCTAGAACCTCCACATGCGCATATCGAAACCCTTAACCCTAAACCCTAAACTCTAGACCCCAAACCCCAAACCCCAAACCCTAAACCCTAAACCCTAAACCCTAAACCCTAAACCCTAAACCCTAAACCCTAAACCCTAAACCCTAAACCCTAAACCCTAAACCCTAAACCCGGGACAGAGGCGGACGCGGATGGGGATGGCCGCGTCCCTCTGAGCCGCTTCTATCTTCAGGCAGGGTGGGGAGGGAGGGTGGAGGGACCCCAAACCCTAAACCCTAAACCCTAAACCCTAAACCCTAAACCCTAAACCCTAAACCCTAAACCCTAAACCCTAAACCCTAAACCCTAAACCCTAAACCCTTAACCCTAAACCCTAAAGCCTAAAGCCTAAAGCCTAAAGCCTAAAGCCTAAAGCCTAAACCCTTAACCCTAAACCCTAAACCCTAAACCCCAAGCCCTAAACCTTAAACCCTGAACCCGTTCAAGTGTTCGGGTTTTTGGGTCAGCTGTCTGCGTGTGCCATGCCTGCTGATGCCCAGCACAAGGATACGTTTCCCCCCTCCCTGCTTCTCTTTGATCCACTTCAACTGACTTCAGTATCCCGTTGCGCTGGCTTTCCGAGCCGGGTAGACGGGAGAGAGAAAGAAGGAGCAACATATTTGCCCACGGGGGGTTTAGGATTTCGGGTTTTGCGTCAATGTAGTCAATGTAGACTCTGTGGGGAATTTGAACCCTGGCTTTAAACCGTTTAAGAGTTTCTCCATCGCATCCAGGCGTCAGAGGGTTTAGGGCTTGGGCTCCGCAAACCCCCCACCACCAAAGTTCTGATGCCCCAGGCCGACAATGCCAAGTACCAGTTCAGCGAGTCGGTGCAGTACCTGCAGGAGATCGGGGCCCTGGACGAGAGCGGCCGTGAGAAGAAGGTGCGGATCGCCAACTACTTGCAGGGCCCCTCCAACTGCATCGCCTCGTCCTCCTACTACTCCATCTGCTGCCTCAGCGAGTGCGAGGGCCTCTTGAACGAGCTGGAAGCCAAGGTGCAGGCTCCGACGGCGGAGCCCGCGCAGCTCTTGGACCTGGTGGGGCACATCTCCTCCGCCACCGTGGACGCGCCCCGCGAGCTCCCGAGCGGCTTGGTGCGCCGGCTGCAGGACATCGCGGACCACAACGAGGGGCAGGTGCCTCTTCACGGCCGGCTCTTCGCCGAGTGGCTGCACTACGCCTTCCCACACGAGTGCCCCTACCCCAAGGTCTTCCAGGAGGCCAAGGCCTTGACGCCCCAGTTCTGGGCTCTGAAGAAGATGTCCGTGGATGCGGAGGAGCGGCTGGAGATTGCCTCCACCGCCACGCTGCAGCCCGAGAACGCCACGCAGGCCACGCCGGGGGGCGAGGCCGAGATCGCGTGGAGCAGCGAGGAGCTCCTGCACGCCCACGAGGCACCCGCGCGGAAGCGGGGCAGCGCGCGCGTGGCGCTGCGCTGCGTCATGCAGCTGGCGCTGCTCCTCGGCGTGCTCCGCGCGGCTGCCGGCAGCTGGCAGACGCTCCGCAGCATGGCCGGATTCGGGGACAAGGCGGCCAAGGCGGCGCTGCCCTTCTGAGAGAGCTGACGGCGCTGGCCGCCCTCTTCCGCAAGACTCCAAGCCAAAGCGCGAGAGCGCGAAGCTTCCAAGGAGCTTCGGGCCGACACCGTGGCTGCAAGCGCGACAGGAAAAAGCGTTGCATCGCTTGAGTTTGTTTCGGGCATTTGGCCTCTCTTGCAGAGCCGGCATTGCGCATGCAGTATCAGCATCATGCAGTGTCCTGTAGCTTAAGCCTTAAGCAGCTCACCTCACTGAAGCACACGGTAGCTTCATATGGCCTGTTGCGGCGCCGTGTCAGCATTGCTCAAGGCATACTCCTTAGCAGGCCTTCCTGTCGCGGTCGATCCGACCGTGTAAGTTCTACATCCCTTACATTCTTGATTCGAGATGTTCGCGAAGGCTTCGGTCGGCGTCACGTGCTGGCTGGCGCTCGCCGCCGGCGTGGCGGCTGCCCCCGGCAGCTTCCGCGGCTCTCCAGGCCGCGATCGCGCGGTGGCCCTGGAGGAGATCCAGGCGAGCTTGCAGGAGGCCCTGGAGGCCGTGCTGAGCTCGGAAGGCGCCGCCAAGCGCAGTGCCCACATCGAGGCGCGCGTCTGGCAGACCTTCCAGTCCTTGCCCAAGAACGACGTCGGCCGCCTGGCGCCCAAGGCCGTTCGGTACCTGGTGCACAGCTACTTCATGAAGGAGCACGGCTGGCTCATCCAGGGCCTGGACCCCCACGCCAACCAGGCGGAGGTCTCTGAGGTCCACGAGGTGAGCATCCTCCAGGACAAGGCGCCCTTGCTGGTGGAGTCCTTGCTGGAGGCGCGGCGCTCCAACCACGGCCTCTCCCTCAGCGACGTGGTGGCCATGGTCGGCGCCCTGGAGCGGCTCATCTTCGACGAGTCCCTGGCGCTCCTCCAGGCCTCCTACGCCTTCAACGGCCTCAGCGCCGCCGAGCCCATCCCGCAGCGCAGCGCCCACGAGGTGCTCACCTCCTACCTGCGCCTCGGCCAACCCTCGTCACAGTGCTTTCTTTTGCAGTGAGGAAACGAACGTCTGAGGGTTGTTGAGGGTTGAGTTTTTGTTTTTTGGGGTGTGTGTGTGTGTGTGTGTGTGTGTGTGTGTGTGTGTGTGTGTGTGTGTGTGTGTGTGTGTGTGTGTGCGTGTGTGTGTGTGTGTTTGTTTGTGTGTGTGTGTGTGTGTTCGGATTTTGATACATACCGAAGATGATGGGCTGCACTGATGTTGGAGGGAGGTGTTTGTAACAGCAGTTCGGGTTTAGGGCATTGGTGCCATGTTGTCATACGGAAGTCCGTTGCTTTACTTCTTGTTGTTGCTGTCGCCGAGTCGCCTCAATGTCAACCCTGCGACTCCAGCCCGACATGACTAGAGCAATATACCCCAAAGCCCCTACATCCCCAAACCCCACCCCCCCCCCCCCCCCCCCCCACCCCCAGTCTCTAAACTGCCCTGGACCCCCAACCCTGCGCCAGCCCACGCCCTCCTATGTTAGAACGGAGCCCGAGGCTACTCTTTCAGCTCGGCAGCAAAGCTAACCTCACCGACACCCGCCTACACCATGCCCTGAAGGCGGGGCGCTCGACCCCCTGAACCCCCCGGAAACCCTGAAACCGTGAGAACCACCTGCTGCGTGAACCCCCTGACCCCTGACACCCCCTCAAAACCCCTAAGCCCCCGAAGCTGCGATGCGGTTGCGGCTTTGGGGTCTGAGGGCTGCGGTTCGCGGTTTCAGTTTTTTTTTTTGTTTGGGGGGTGGGGGTGGAGGTGGGGGGGGGGGTTGGGGTTTGGGATTGGGTTGGGGCTTTCTGGTTTAGGAGTTTCTTGATGTTTCTTGTTTTGGGGTGTGGGGTTTAGGGTTTGGGGCTTCAATCCTGGTACTTCTCTCCTACTCGATCCTGGAAAAAACACAGCCCCGGAGCCCATATCGGTATTCCCCAAGATAGGGGTGCCCTTGAGAACCTGATGTACCCTAAACACTGGGGTCCCACCCCTCCCAAACCCAAAAGGTATCACTGTCTTGGGAAATCCCTATAAACAACAAGAATGGAAACTACACGAAATGCCCCTTCCAAGCAAATGGGACCCACACCCGCCTAAAAGAACCAAGCGGCCCCAAACACCAAAAACCTAAACCCTGAGCCCCTAAACCCTAGAAACTGCCTAGAAAGCCCAAAATCCAAGCCCCAACTCCTAAACCCTGAAGAACAGCCCTATACCTAAACCCGAAGCCCTAAGCCCTAAACCCAAAACCCTAGACCCTAAACCCTAAGCCCTAAACCCCAAACCCTAAACCCCAAACCCTAAACCCGGAACCCTAAACCTTAAAACCGAAACCCGAAAACCCGAAAACCCGAAAACCTGGCAGGCCAGGGTCGCGCAGCGTGGAGACTGGGCGGCTCCTGGTCGTTGATGTTTTTGAAACCCTAAACCTTAAAACCGAAACCCTAAACCCGAAACCCGAAACCCTAAACCCTAAACCCTAAACCCTAAACCCTAGACCCTAAACCCTAAACCCTAAACCCTAAACCCTAAAACCCTTAAAGCCCTTCAACACCTCAAAGGAAGGCCCTCTTAAACCCTGAAGAAGCCCTAAGGCCGAAACCCGAAGCCCCTTACCTCAGACCCCAAGCTCTTAAGGCTTACAGGGTTGCGGACCTTCCAGGGAGTGAGCCTCCCCTAAACCCTAAACCCTAAACCCTAAACCCTAAACCCTAAACCCTAAACCCTAAACCCTAAACCCTGAACCCTGAACCCTAAACCCTAAACCCGAAACCCTAAACGCTAAACCCGAAACCCTAAACCCTAACCACAAGAAGCTCTCCCGGCCTTGCGGTCTTTGGAGTAGGTTTAAGGGAAGAGGGGGGGCTGGGATGGTCTAGAGTTTAGGGTTTAGGGTTTAGGGTTTAGGGTTTAGGGGTTTAGGGGTTTAGGGGTGTAGGGTTTAGGGTTTAGGGTTTAGGGGTTTGGGGTTAGGGTTAGGGTCTCTGGGTTGAGGGTTTGAGGGTGAAGGGTGCAGGGGTTTACGGTTTTAAGGGTTTAGGGTTTAAGTGTTTAGGGTTGAAGGGTTAAGGGTGTAGGGCCTAGGCCGGCCTAGGCTTCAGGGAGTTTAAGGGGCTTCAAGGGGTTAGGTTTTGGGGTTAGAGATGATAAGGGTTTAGGGTTTAGGGTTTTGGGTTTAGGGTTTAAGGCTTCTGTAAAGTGAACATCGCGAGGTCCTCCAGGACTTCGAGCGTGACACGATGCTGAACTACAACTTCGTCACCTGACAGCGTGTGGGTATTTCCCACAATACGGGGTCCCCCTTCTATACCCCAAATCGAATGCAATCCCCTTAAAGGGACCCCCCCCCCCCCAAAAGGGCACCCCTACTTTCGGAAACACCCATGTCAGCCGAAGTCTCCTCATAGATCCTCAGAATGCCTCCGCTCTCAATTCCTGCACATGACGCTTCCCCAAAACTACCTTTACATCCCTAAACCCTAAGCACCAAACCCTAAGCCATAAACCCCAAACCCTAAACCCTAAGCCTTAAACCCCAAACTCTGGTTCTTTTGGAGGCTCCTTCATAGTAGGGAGCCTGGGAATTTCGGGTTCCACAAGGCCCGCCGGCACCTGATGAATCCCTTCGCTCCCATGGAGTACGGCTTTGAGGACGCCGTGCACTTCAAGGGGTTTATGGTTTAGGCTTTGGGGTTTAGGGTTTAGGGTTTGAGGTTTTTGGTTCAGGGTTTAGGGTTTAGGACCCCCTTCCCAAGAACAACACAAGACAAATCTCAGAAATGATCCCGACCCTAATCCCTGACACTAAAGACCCTAGACCCCGAACACCGAGTCCTTCGACTGTGTGGTTGGTTCGGGCTCGGGGGCGCGGGGTCGTTTAGTCTGAGATGTTTCCGATACCCTGGACGTGCAACCCTAAAACCCTAAACCGACACCGTCTTTAGGTGTGTAGAGTTCTCGATTCAGTTCAGGGATGAGCATTGCTTTCAGATGCAAACCTCGCAACCCTAGAAGAACTGGAGTTCAGTGGGCGAAGATGGTATCAACCTGAACCACCACTGTACAAAAGCAGCACTAGCAGAGTAATAGAGTATAGCTGCATCACAGAATAGTCAACATACACCACAGGAGAACAGAACAGCATGTAATAGAAATTACTTATTTTGCAATACACTACGCTACTATACAGTACGATACACTATAGTACATACAATAGTCATTAGCATAATTGTGTGTGTGTGTGTGTGTGCGTGTGTGTAATTGTGTATGTAATTATGTGTGTACTTGTGTGTACTTGTGTGTAACTGTGTGTAAGTGTGTGTTAGTAAGTGTCTGTGCTTGTACGTAATTGTGTGCAATTGTGTGCACTGGTGTGTAACTGTGTGTAATTGTGTGTACTTGTGTGTGTGTGTGTACTTGTTTATTTCGTGCAATAGATTTAGCCTGTACCAGCAAGAGTCATGCTGATGTCATGCTGATGACGATGACTGCGATGACAACGACGAGTGAGATGAGGGGGGAGGATGTGGATGGGGACTACAACGAGAAGAAGAAGAATCCTAATATGGTGGCGGTGATGATGCACGCCGCGATGATGATGATGATGATGATGATGATGGTGATGGTGATGGTGATGGTGATGGTGATGGTGATGATGGTAACGGTGATGAGCACGGCGACACCGCCTGCTCCTGCTGCTGCTGCTGCTGCTGCTGCTGCTGCTGCTGCTGCTGCCGCCGCCGCCGCCGCTGCTGCTGCTGCTGGTGGTTTCGGACCTTTGGGAGCGGGAGGAGGGCAGGAGCCAGTGATTCCGGAGGCCTTGGTGCAGGGTTGAGGGCTTCTTAAAAACCCTCAACCTGAAACTGGTGACTGTCGCCTGAGCCACAGTCCGCCCTGCAGGACATGTTCAGGATTGTGGAAGAGTTGGCGCATGGGTATGGCAAGTGGCAGAACACAGAGTGCATGCAAATGAAGCTGGGATGCTTTGGAGCTGTTCCAGCCAGTCATTGCCCTAAACCCTAAACCCTGTTTCTAGCTGCTCTTGTCATCGAGCCACAGTAAAGGAAGGGGGAGCTTATGGAGCTTGACATGGACGGGGACGGGCGCATCCCCTTGAATCACTTCTACAGGCAGCAGGACAATACCAAGTACCAGATCCTTCTTAGTTGAGTTAGTACGTCTTTAGCCTTTTGTTTCTACCACGAGTTCCGTTTGCAAACACAACGGCGCATTTTTCCCCTGAACAACTCGGCCACTAAGGTTCAGCGAGTCGGTGCAGTACCTGCAGGAGATCGGGGCCCTGGACGAGAGCGGCCGGGAGAAGAAGGTGCGGATTGCCAACTACTTGCAGGGCCCCTCCAACTGCATCGCCTCGTCCTCCTACTACTCCATCTGCTGCCTCAGCGAGTGCGAGGGCCTCTTGAACGAGCTGGAAGCCAAGGTGCAGGCTCCGACGGCGGAGCCCGCGCAGCTCCTGGACTTGGTGGGGCACATCTCCTCCGCCACCGTGGACGCACCCCGCGAGCTCCCGGGGGGCTTGGTGCGCCGGCTGCAGGACATCGCGGACCACAACGAGGGGCAGGTGCCTCTTCACGGCCGGCTCTTCGCCGAGTGGCTGCACTACGCCTTCCCACACGAGTGCCCCTATCCCAAGGTCTTCCAGGAGGCCAAGGCCTTGACACCCCAGTTCTGGGCTCAGAAGAAGATGTCCGTGGATGCGGAGGAGCGGCTGGAGATTGCCTCCACCGCCATGCTCCAGCCCGAGAACGCCACGCAGGCCACGCCGGGGGGCGAGGCCGAGATCGCGTGGAGCAGCGAGGAGCTCCTGCACGCCCACGAGGCACCCGCGCGGAAGCGGGGCAGCGCGCGCGTGGCCCTGCGCTGCGTCATGCAGCTGGCGCTGCTCCTCGGCGTGCTCCGCGCGGCTGCCGGCAGCTGGCAGACGCTCCGCAGCATGGCCGGATTCGGGGACAAGGCGGCCAAGGCGGCGCTGCCCTTCTGAGAGAGCTGACGGCGCTGGCCGCCCACTTCCGCAAGCCTCCAAGCCAAAGCGCGAGAGCGCGAAGCTTCCAAGGAGCTTCGGGCCGACGCCGTGGCTGCAAGCGCGACAGGAAAAGCGTTTGTGTGCTACCCCCAGCATTTCCAGTGCGACCGATGCAGTCTATGGTTTTGCCATGGAAGTTGCCTTGGTTTATAAGGATGTGTTTGGCGATTGGCTTCAAGCTGGCACAGAACAGTAGTACTCGTACGCGTTCATGTCGACGCGGTTGCGGAAACCACCTATTCAATTTGGTAAAGGCCCAAGCCTGAAACCCTGAGCCCTCGTGCTCCGACCTGAAACAGTTCTTGCATCCTCTGGTTCAGTACTTTACTTTGGAAGCTGATAAGTTTGGGGGTTAGGGTTTTTGGCTAATCCGCCCGAAGCCCAAAACTCAAAACCCTAAATCCTATGCCGCACCTGTAGGCCCTTAAGCCCTTAAGCCCTTACCTTCAACCTAAAGCTTCAACCTTGAACCCTGACAAACCTAAACCCTGAATCCTGAAACCTAGACCCTAAACCCTAAACCCCAAACCCCAAGCCCTAAACCCTAAACCCTAAACCCTGAACCCTGAACCCTAAACTCTTGAACCCTGAATGCAATGGATCCGGCGGGAGAGGATGAAGGCTCAGGCAGGTAGCGTGAGTGTAGGGCCAGGGACTGCGCCCCTGAACCCTGCAAGCATTTAGGGTTAAGGGTTAGGGTTTAGGGTTTAGGGTTTAGGGTTTAGGGTTTAGGTTTTAGGGTTTAGGGTTTAGGGTAAACCCTGTGAACCCTGCCTTTTTGGGAGCTTGGGGGATGAAGGGATGGTTGGTTCCTCGTAAGATTTTCATGGGTTTTCATATTTCGGGCTTAAGAAGCGACGAATCGAAAAGGGGCTAAAGAAGAAGGACCTGTAACAAGTAGGTGTTGGCTTCGGAAGTTAAAGTTTAGATTCAAGGTATTGGGGTTTAGGGGTTGACGATTATGTGTTCGGGCTTGTTCAAAGACTTTTCGCTGGGGCTTCGTGATCGCGCGATTAGTGCTCAAGAGTTTGAAGTGCATCAGGAATGCCCTACCACCAGGAGTTTTTTTTCGAATGTTCACTGGGGGTGGGTCGTTTTAAACTTCATCTAACCCTCCAGCCTAAACCCTAAGGGCTTAGGATTCTGGAGGAGGCTTCAAATCCTAAACCCTACACCCTACACCCTACACCCTAAACCCTGAACCTTGAACCCTGAACCCTAAACCCTAAACCCTAAACCCCAAACCCTAAACCCCAAACCCTAAACCCCAAACCCTAACCCGTAAACCCTAAACCCCAAACCCTAACCCGAAACCCTAAACAGTTTCTCGAAGCCTGCACCATGTACTCAGCGTCTAGGGGTTCAGGGGTTATAGGGTTGGCTGAGGTACGGCGACTGTTGTAGGCCCTACACCCTCGAACCTGAGCCCAAGACCCCAATAGACGCTGAGTTCTGATGAGCCCATAAGCCCTTAATCCGAAGCCCAAGAAGACCCAAAACCCTAAACCCTAAACCCTTAAACCCTAAACCCTTAAACCCGAAACCCTAAACCCGAAACCGCAGACCTACGCCTCGCGGTCAAGTTCGCGCAGCAGAAGCGCCTAAGCTCACGCGCCCGCCAGGCGTGCGGGTTGAGGGTCTCTGGGTGCTTAGGCCATAGGGTTTAATTAGCCTAAACCCTAAACCCTGAACCCTGGACCCTAACCCTAAACCCTAAACCCTGAACCCTAAGCCCTAAACCCTAAACCCTCAATCTTCTAAACCGGGCCCGCTTCTTGCGCTTTTTCCAGATCGCCAACAGTGTTTACCCTGCTAGGGTTTGGGGCGCAGGGGTTTAGGGTTTAGGGTTGCTTACGCCAGGACTACTGGGCGACTGAGAGCAAGAGAGTATGATGCCAGTGAAGATGCCCAAAGCCCCAAACCTCCCATATGGGGACCCCAGTGGAGGACTTCTTCACCCGCGTGGTCGAGGATGATGTGCCTGATAAACAGGTGCAGGCGGACCCCCAGGTGCACTTGAGGTTGTTAGGCTGTTCGGGTTCAGGGTGCAGGGTGCGGGGTGGTGGGTTTTTGGGGTGTTAGGGGTTTAGAGTTTAGGGTTTGGAGTTTAGGGCTTGGGGTTCCTTCGATTCTAGGGTGTTAGGGTGTAGGGTTTTTGGGGTTTGATTTAGGGTTGAAGGTTTTAGGGTTGAAGGATTAGGCAAGATTGTACGCCTTCGTCTTTTCAGGGCAGGCGGCCCACTTACGTTTGTAGCCACTGAAAAGTTGATTCCCGAAACCCTCTAGCCGAAAGCCCCAAGCCCTTGAGTCTTTAAACCCGAAACCCTAAACCCCTAACCCTAAACCCTAAACCCTAAACCCTAAACCCTAAACCCTAAACCCTAAACCCTAAACCCTGAACCCTAAACCCTGAACCCTCATGCGGCTGTACTCAGAGGCATTCGTGGGTTCTGAAGGAGGTCCTGGCCCCAAAACCTTAAACCTAAGCCAAAACCTCGAACCCAAAAAACCCCTGTAAGCTCCAAGTTTTCAGCCCTAAACTTTACACCCTCAAGCCTGAACCCTAAACTCTCAACCCGAAACCCTAAACCCCAATCCGGGGTTTTGGGCGGTTGTGGGGTTTAGGGTTCATCGGCCTGGCTTTAAACTCCCTAGGCCCCGAACCCCCTTGGCCTTGTTAGCTTCTTGAGTTTCGTCTACATGGACCTACAGCTAAAAAAATCAGAAGGACGAGGCTACAGCGACAGGGCTGCACCAGGGCCCGGCTGGCGCCCGGCAGGCGTGGCGCGTTCGCCCCGCCTTCCCGTTATTATGGGAGACAGCTGCAGAGCCCCACGTTTGTATGTTGCCTACGCGATTTAGGGTTTAGAGTTTTAGCCTTTAGGGTTGAGGGTTTGCCCGGAGGCCCGCCCTAAAACCCTCAAAGCTAAACCTTGAACCTCCTCAACGCCAAGCCCTAAACCCTGAGCCCTCGACCTTAAACCCGACATGTCCTGAAGAGCTTGAACCCTAACCCTGAACCCCAAACCCTGGACCTTAAACTCCAAATCGCACTCCTACGGCCCAGTTGTGCAGGTGCCGCGGCGTCACCCTGCAAGGGCCGCGAATCGGAGGTGCCCCCGGAACCCCAAAGGGTTTAGGGTTTTATGGTTTAGGGTTTCAGGTTTTGGGTTTGTGGTTTAGAGTTTTAGTTTGGAGATGTCTGGTTGGAGTGTGGGGTCTGGGGGTTGAGGTTTCGCCCTAAAACCCTAAACCCTAAGCCCTATGCCCCCAAACCCCAAACCCCAAACCCCAAACCCCAAACCCCAAACCCCAAACCCCAAACCCCAAACCCCAAACCCCAAACCCCAAACCCCCCAAACCCAAACCCCAAACCCCAAACCCCAAACCCTAAAAACCCTAAAACCTAAACCCTAAACCCTACCCTAAACCCTAAGCCCACCTCCCCCCCCCCCCCAGCATGACAGTCTCTTGAGGCCGCCGAGTCTCACGCAGGCACAGCCAAAGAGGGGTGACAGCCGAGTCCAGCTCTGAGGTTTAGGGTTGAGGGTTGAGGGTTTAGGGTTTAGGGTTGAGGGTTTAGGGTTTAGGGTTTAGGGTTAGGAATTAGGGTTGGGGGTTTAGAGTTTAGGGTTTCGTGGGGTTGAAAACGCACTTACAGGGTTTAGGGTGGACATGAGGGTTCGCAGGTTTAGACGGGCTGTGAAGCTTTGCATAAAAAACATGCTCCCGCCGCATTCCCGCTTGTGTCCTTCTGCATGTGTCCGCTTGAAATCCTGTTCCCGCTACGAATGCTCTGATTAGCTCACGTGATGTTCACTGGCAATGCCGAAACCCTAAACCTTAAACCTAAACACGCTGTTGGCTTGTTTGTGAAGTGAGCTTGGATGCGGCGAAGGACAGTAGCAGAGACTTCTGGCTGGGAATCGCTGTTTGGGATCTTTAGTCAGAATTATTACGTTCGCATGGACATGCCTGCTCGCACTGCTTCGCTCGCTAACGCTGCAAGCCCTAAACCCTAAACCCGAAACCCGAAACCCTAAACCCTAAACCCTAAACCCTAAACCCTTGTTTTGCAGCTGCTTGGCTTTAAACCCTCAGAAGGGTAGGCCTGGGGCATGAGGCTCTGGGTACGACAAGGTCCTGCCATCGGGGGCTCGGACGGTTAGGATGAGGTGCTTCGGGATAGGGTTTAGGGTTTAGGGTTTAGGGTTTAGGGTTTAGGGTTTAGGGTTAGGGGTTCAGGGTTTAGGGTTTAGGGTTGGGGGTTTAGGGTTTAGGGTTTAGGGTTTAGGGTTTAGGGGCGGTGAGTTGCAACCCGTAGAGAATGATGGGGCAATTGGCTCCCCCCCCCAGCACTTTGTGACCCTTAATCCGAAGTCTGCAGAGTCTTTTCGCCGTCGAAGCAGCCATGGACCTGGACTGGTTCAAGAGCACGTGGCCCTGGGTGGCAACTTGTACAGCAGCCCTGGCCGCGATGCTGCGTGTTGCAGCTCGGCTTCAGTGTCAATATTCCCAGCCATGAGAAGGCCTTTAGGGCTGAGGGTTGAGGGTTGACGGTTTATACCAGGGACTAGGGTTGAGGGTTTAGGGTTTATACCCCCAACCCTAAGCCCCCTTAAGCCTGAACCACTGAACCCTTTACCCCTTTCAGCTCGAGCGTGCCGACAATAGGAAGGACTCTGAAGTGCCACAGAAGGGTACCCATAGGGTATGCTTGGGGTACCCTTGGAGTACGCTTGACCCTTGGCATATTTGTGGGGTAGTTTTGGGTACCCTTGGGTACCCTTGGGGTGCTCTTGCGGTACCCTTAGGTACCCTTTATCCTTGGGGTACTCCTGGGGTACCCTTGGGGTACGCTTGGGGTACCCCGGAGGGTTAGGGTGGTTCAGGGTTTCCAAAGCCCGGTAGTAGGATCAGGATCCCTTCTGAAATCGGCTTCTGAAATCGGTGGGGGTTGTTCTAGATCAGAGTCCGTTTTTTGGGTGCTCCTAAGTAAAAGGCTCTGTATTCCAATAGATGCCACAAAAAGGGACCCTAAACCCCAAACCTTAATCTCCTAAACTCCGAGCCCCTAAACCCCAAAACCCGCAAAAAAAAATAATTTGGAAACCCAAGCCCCGCTAGGGAACCGACCCAGGAAAACCTTCAGGATTTCGGGCTTGAGGTCGGTGGCTTAAGGTGTGCGGGCGCAAGGTTCAGGGTTCAGGGTATAGGGTTTGGGTCAAGGATTTAGGGTTTAGGGGATTGCCGGGTTTAGGTTGGAGCTTACAGGTTCTACTGGCTTGAGGGCTTCAGGTGTAGGGTTTGGCGGGCCTGGGGGCTTTTGGCAGCTTCGGGTTTGCTGGGTTTAGGGTTTTAGGCTTAGGGTTTAGGGTTTAGGGTTTGGGGTTTAGGGTTGAGGCTTTAGGAAGGGTTTAGGTCCCGGCGAGTGGCCTGTTTCCTATTCTTTTGTTCAGGTGTTCCGGTTCCCTTTCTTTGAATGGATAGCTTAGTTTGGGTTTAGGGTTTAGGGTTTCGGGTTTAGGGCTTAGGGCTGAGGGCTGAGGGCCTAGGGTTTAGGGCTTACACCCTCAACCCTAAACCCTAAACCCTAAACCCTAAACCCTAAACCCTAAACCCTAAACCCTAAACCAGGAAGCTAGGATGGTAGGGGTCGGGGCTTAGGAATCGGTTCTCATCTTGCGGGCTTGAGGGCTTGGGAAGGTTTAGGGTTTAGGGTTTAGGGTTTAGGGTTTAGGGTTTGGGGTTTAGGGTTTGGGGTTTAGGGTTTAGGGTTTAGGCTTTAGGCTTTAGGCTTTGGGGTTCAGGGGTAAGGCCCTTGAGGCGAAGGCCAAACTTTGCAGGTTTAGGGTTTAGGGTACCTCCCAACCCTCTGCACTGCACCGTAAAACCTCACTTGAGAGATCAGGGATTTCAGGTTTAGGGTGTTCTTGAAACCTCTAAACCCTAAACCCTAAGCCCTAAACCCTAAACCCTAAACCCTCATCCCGAGTCCCTAAACCCTAAACCCTAAACCCTAAACCCTAAACCCTAAACCCTAAACCCTAAACCCTAAACCCTAAACCCTAAACCCTAAACCCTAAACCCCAAACCCTAAACCCTAAACCCCAAAATCTAAACCCTAAACCCTAAGCCCAACCGGCTGCAGAGTTGACTCCTCAAGCCAAAGAAGCCGGAAGCCCCGGAACCGGAGGCTAGTGTTGAGCCTAAATCTTGAAACCTTTAGGGTTTAGGGTTTAGGGTTTAGGGTTTAGGGTTTAGGGTTTCAGATGATTGCCCGTAGCAGCTGTTGCTTGGGTTTCAGGGGGCTTGGGGGTGCACAAAAAGCGAAGCTGAGAGCCATGGCGCGACATGCAGAGATCAGCCTCATGGACCACCTCTTTGAGAAGCTGGGTAGGCCAGTGGTACCCCTTACTTTTTTTTTTGTTTGGGTATGGGTTCCCGGGGGGGGGGGGGGGGGGGGGTGTATGGGTTCCTTTATAAAATAGTCAGCCAAAAATCGAGGGTGCCCTTGCTGTAAGATGGTTGCTGGGGTACCAAGGAAGGCGGAGAAAGGCACAGACCTGGTAGCCCAGCTCTGCCATGAGTACTTCAAAGGCTTTCCTCAAAGCACGGGCCCGCAGTCAGGCGGATCAGAATGTGCTTCTGAGCCAGGCAGTGAGTTTGCCGGGGTTGCAAGCAGCGCACCATGTCCGCAGAAATGTTTCGGAGCGGAAGTCCTTCAGCTGCAGCAGCTGCTTAAGCCATCGCCGACCGCAGACGAAGCTACGAAGGCCCGCCGGCTCATGCCAGCCGTGTGCGGCGAGCCTCCACATGTCTTGGGACCAGCCACTTGGTAGTTTACTGGTACCCTTTACCCTTTTTTAAGGGGTTCTGGGTTCCCTTATAAAGTAGCCCACCCAAAAAGGGGGACCCTTAACTGTTATAAGATTCTTACCGGGCTACTGAGGCCACGGAAAGAGCCACAGAGCTCCCTGCTTCCCCCGACATCGTGAACAGCTCAGATGAAACTTTATCCCCCTTCGGATTTATTTTCTTATTTTGTTCATATAAAACCCAGAGGATATTTAGAAACAAGGTTGTTATGAAGGTTCTCAGGGGAGTATAGGAAACGGCGCTCACCCTGCAGAATCTGCCTGTGGACTACAGCCATGAGAAGCTCGATAATTAGCCCAGTGGTGCCCTTTCTTCATTTTTTTTGTTCAAGGTGCCCTTGTAAAGTAACCGACCCCAAAAATGGTGTCCTTACTATCATATGGTTGCTGGGCTACCAAGGAAGACCAGGTTTTTGCTGGATGAGTTGGGATTCCGAGACAGGTATGACGTGGTGATCTGGTTTGCAAGGAAGCTACCAAGAAGTCTCACACATGCCATCGTGAATTTCAAGTCCCTTGGCCGTTCTTCGAGAAGATCTTTACTTGCCTTTGCTTGTCTTTGTAAGGGAACCGGCTTTCATAAACCCTAAACCCGAAAACGGCCCTAAACCCTCAACGAACGGGATCGCAAGACTTACTGTTGGTTACTCGGGAATAGGGGAATGAGGGCCCTACACATACCCCTTTAAGGGATTCTACAGGGTGCCCTATTCCCTCATTCCCTGCTTCCCACCTAACCAACAGTGAGAAGAAGCACAACGCCCGAAACCCTAAACCCTAAGCCCTATGCCCTAAACCCTAAACCCTAAACCCTAAACCGAAACGCAGGACACCATCTGACTGTGCCTCCTTCCGGAAGCGAGTGAGCGAGCAGCCCCTGAAACTCTCGAGCGAGACTTGGATCCAGCTCAACACTTAGGGGCACTTGGGAATTTTTAATTTATGGGCACTCTACTTCCTCAGAAACAGCTAAAATTAGTAGAATCTTTGCTAGGGCTCCAAGTTCATTGAAGAACATGTGTTCCAGGAACAGTGCCAGCTAGCGTTTGCAGTAGTGCAAAGGGTGTATGGTTGAGGGTTGAGGGTTTAGGGTTTAGGGTTTACGTTGGCCTTAAGTTGGAGGCTGCAAGATGCATGATTTAGGCTGAAAGTAAATTACTGTAAAATGTTCCAGAAAATCAGGGAAAATTTAGCAAATATCATCGCTTCCTGAAGGCAACTTAATCTAAGTTCCAGAACAAGAACCCACAGCAATCTCAAGAAAACCCTTTAAAACCCTCGACCCTCGAGGAGCAGATGGTCACCCCGGGCGAGTCTTCTGCCCAAGGCTTCCACGAGCTGTTCATGAAGTACTGGCACGTGACCCCTGGCCGCAAGTTGCCAGCAGAGGTTTAGGGTTTGGGGATGTTGTGCAGGTTTGGAGGGACTTGGGGTGACCTGTAGATCTTTTTGAAATTTCGAGGGCTTCGACAGTCTGTTTGCAGGCTCAGAAATACGGTTAAGGGTTTAGGGTTTAGGGATAGGATTGAAGGTTTAGGGTTGAGGTCTTAGATGTCCAGCTTCTCCCGTGGCACATGCAGAACTTGGATGCTGCGTCTCGCGCTTGATATCCGGGGTGCTCAGGGTTTACGGTTCCCCCCATCCTTTGTGGTATTGAAGGCACACCAGGAGCCGCCACAGACCCTGAAACTCAGGGTTTAGGGTTTAGGGTTTAGGGTTTAGGGTTTAGGGTTTAGGGTTTAGGGTTTAGGGTTTAGGCTCGTAACTCAACCTACCAAGGACACAGAAATCAACCGATGTGGTCGGCCCCTTCTTCGACAGCGAGATGCTGCAGGCGATGCCGCCCCAAGCCTTTCTGGCAGCACCTCGGATTTAGGCAACTAGTTGAGGGAGGGGTGTTGTTTTATCCTTAAACCCTAAACCCTGAAGCCTAAACCCCAAACCCTAAACCCTAAAGACTAAACCCTAAACCCTACACCCTGAACCAGATGTTGAGGGTACTTTCGGGCCAAACCCAGGCGACGAGGAACACCTGCATGGCGAACCCCAAGTGCACCACGCTGGTGATCCTGGGGCCAAAAGCGTTTGGGTTGAGGGTTTAGTTCAAGGTTTAGGGTTTAGGGTTTAGGCCAAGAGTAGGTCTGCAGGCCCCTGTTTTTGTTTTAAAGGGTTTAGGGTTTAAGGTTTGGTGTTAGGTTCCTCCCTATGAACCCCCTCAAAAAACGAAGTGTGCCATTTTTCCTTCTTCTGCAAACCCTAAACCCCAAGCCCTAAACCCTAAACTCTAAACCCTAAACACTCAAACCCTAAACCCTAAACCCTAAACCCTAAACCCTAAACCCTAAACCCTAAACCCTAAACCCTAAACCCTAAACTCTCCGGGGCCCAGGATCCGAAACATCCCAGAGAGCATCTCCAGGCAAGAAGACTGCCTCGTGTGGCTGCAGAGCTTTGGCGACTTCAGGGGCTACGACTTCTTCCTCTTCTTCCCGAAGAAAGCCAGGTGTGGGGTTTGGGGTGTGGGTTTAGGGTTTAGGGTTTAGGTTTTAGGGTTTAGGGTTTAGGGTCTAGGGTTTAGGGTTTAGGGTTTAGGGTTTAGGGTTTAGGGTTTAGGGTTTAGGGTTTAGGGTTTAGTAGGGTTTAGACAGAAAGCCACCCTAGCATGATCGCCAGTTCGAGGGGCCGGAGAGCCCCAAAAGGGGACCTCGATTTTTTGGAACACTCCCCCCCGGTTCCCAAAGCCTAAACCCTAAACCCTAAACCCTAAACCCTAAACCCTAAACCCTAAACCCTAAAACCCTAAAACCCTAAAACCCTAAAACCTTGAAACCCTAAACCCTAGAACCCTAAAACCCTAAAACCCTAAAACCCTAAAACCCTAAAACCCTAAAACCCTAAAACCCTAAAACCCTAAAACCCTAAAACCTAAAAACCCTAAACCCTAAAACCCTAAAACCCTAAAACCCTAAACCCTAAACCCTAAACCCTAAACCCTAAACCCTAATCCCTAAACCCTAAAACCCTAAAACCCTAAAAACCCTAAACCCTAAAACCCTAAAACCCTAAAACCCTAAAACCCTAAACCCTAAAACCCCAAAACCCTAAAACCCTAAACCCTAAAACCCTAAAACCCTAAGCCTCCCAGGGCCGGACGAATGCCCTATGCCTTCGTGAACTTCTGCCGGACAAGTCGGATGCAAGCTTGCCTTGAAACTTACTGCTGGTCAGCAGGGAAGGGTTTGGGGTTTAGGGTTTAGGGTTTAGGGTTTGGGGTTTAGGGTTTAGGGTTTAGGGTTTAGGGTTTCCTGCTAGCCAAGAGTAAGGAAAGCCTTCGGGGGTACAGCGCCAGGGGCTGCGATCCCCTGAACGTGGTAGTGGCCAAGGATGCTCGGACGCCAGCGAGGTTTAGGGTTTAGGGTTTAGGGTTTAGGGTTTCGGGTTTAGGGTTTAGGGTTTAGGGTTTAGAGTTTGGGATCCTTAACCCACAACCCCCACACGAAGCCACCAAGAAAGGGGCCACCTCCTAAACCCTAAACCCTAAACCCTAAACCCTAAACCCTAAACCCTAAACCCTAAACCCTAAACCCTAAACCCTAAACCCTAAACCCTTTGATGTCTAGCGCCCGTTTGGGGCGGCCCAGGAGATTCAGGGCCTGGAGGCCTGCAAGAAGTACTTCATGTCGATCATTCAGCAGCCTTACTTGACCAAGAATTGAACTTTTTGAACTTTTTGAACTTTTTGGGTTTAGGATTTAGGGTTTAGGGTTTTAGGGTTGAGTAGGAATAATAAAGTTCAACCTTTTTTCCCCTTGGTTGTTGGAGAAGTAAGGCAGGGGTCCCTGCGGCCGATAGTTCGAAACCAAGAGGTTGCCCAGGCCGAAGCACCGCCACGGGCGAGCAATCAGTACCAGTGAGGGATACTTTGGCAGTATCTTTCGGATACAGCTTCGTGGGGTGTTGTGTGTGCACCTTTTTCTTCCGAGTTCTTAGGGAATTCGGGACTTGTTTTTATACTTCCCTTTGTGAGATCCCTTAGCTGGGTAGTATAGGCGGATGGTACCTTGATTTGAATTTCCCTATTCAGAACTCGTCAGGCTTGAGTTTGCGCCGGTGTGTGTCTCACCTCCTGTCTCCGGGAGCTGTGCGCCGGGACCTCGCCAGGCCTAACAAGCCCCGGCACCGCGCAGCATAGTCTGGTGAACTGTTGGTTGTTTTAAGTTGTTTTAGGGTTTAGGGCTTGGTTATTGCGACCTTGCAGCTCCAACCACAAGCCTTGACATCTATGGCGTACTCCCTTTACTCTCATAACTGGCGCGGTGCGACCTACGAGGGGGCAAAGCCTGTCACATTCCGACCACCTTTCAGCCCTTTGCAAATTGCTACGGGGCCTGTCCTGTATGCAATGCCACGCAGGTTCCGAATTTCGCCGTCACATTCTCCTGCTAAACCGTCTTGAGTCTACTAAGTTAGAACATCCAGTCCCTAGATCCTAAACCCTAAACCCCAAACTGTACTTTCTCGGACATATGAGATCAATTCGGACGCGTGGTCTTGTTTGAGACTGCAAGGTTCCAGTGATTGAGGCAAGGGCATACAGCAACGCAGGGCCCTTAAGAGGGCTTGGGCTGCTCGTAGTTTAGGGTTTAGGGTTTAGGGTTTAGGGTTAGGACTTAAATTCTGTGCTTCCGGAACTTCGCACAGGCTTGTGGTGCTGCGAGCACGGAGGGCCCTGAGTGCTGTTATGTACGGTTCAACGGCTGCCTGAGGTTCCCTGTTGGGTTTTAGCGTCTAGGGTTTAGGGTTTAGGGTTTAGGGTCGGGAAGCGTCTCGGGCAGCCTGATCAGGGGTGAGCTATTCTTTTCCAAACTTACCCGTTTGTTTCCTCCAGTGTCCTACTGGGGAAGTTGTGAGTACCAGAGAGAAGCCCAAAGCCCAAAGCACCCATCCCCAAGGCCGAAAACCCCAGAGTCCAAATCCCAAACCCCAAACCCAAACCTGCTAAAGGGCCTGTAAACCCAAACCCCCCGAAGCTCCAACCCCCAAGGCCTAAATCCCAACCCCCAACTGTATGCTGTCTACAGGGGGGCTCCAGTGATTATCACAAGGGCCCGCGTTGGTGCGCCAACGATCCGTCTGCAGAGGGTCCTCGCAGAGTGTGCTCGTGTCACAAGTTTGGGCTCAGGGTTTAGGATTTAGGGGTTAGAGTTTAAGAGTTTAGGGTTTAGGGTGTAGGGTTTAGGGTTTAGGGTTTAGGGACGTAATTTGTTTGCGCACAGGCTTGTGATGCTTGCGAACACCGAGGGCATTAAGTGCTGTACAGCTCAACGGCTGGTTGAAGTTCCCTGAAAAATCTTCTACGAACTGTCATCATGGCACGCCAGGGAGCAGCATCGGTATATGTCCAAAGCCTTCTACGTGTTACGGTTCGCAGTGGCTTTTGCGCGCATCGGTTTCAGCTTCAGAGCTCAGTGAGCTAGCTTGTGCAAGATGTTTTCGCGTGCACCTGTCAGTTATGTAGAAGTGGTCGTGTTGAAAAGAAGTTGGAGCACGGTATTCGTGTCATGTCACGAGGGGGCAGGAACACCTTCCATGCTGCTTGCGCAGCGTAGTGCTGCTATCTAAGTGCACCCTTCGGGGAACGTCGCAGCCTGATCAGAGCTGAGCTACGCTTTCGAAACATACGTATTTGCTAACTGCAGTGTCCTCCTGGGGAAGCTGTGAGACCTGGGGAAGCTGTGAGACCGGAGAGAGGAGCGCGAAGCAAAAGAGCCCGAAAAATCCCAAGCCCCCGTCCTTACCAAAACAACAAACCAGAGTTTTAGGGGGCGTTTGGGGTTTTTGGTGCTTGGGTGTTTGGGGATAGCATTTTCCCTGCTCACTGCGCTCTCTTGTTCGCTGCACCACGAATTTAAAGAAAGCCAAGTGAAGGTAACAAGAACACAGGACTTAACTTTTTCGTAATTGCATTATGCATTACATTATCTTCATGAGAGAACAGTAATGTTGATAATTATTGCCTGTATCCAAATGCTGTGAAGATAAACTAATATTACTGTTGTACCGTGTGCTTGCAATTCAATATATTGCAGTGTGCACGCGTTTACACATTATTTTCATGTCTTATTAGTTTCCTGGCATCTAAGGGCGTCTTTCAAGATTTTGCGATATTAGCGAGCTGTAGACTCGCCTTTGACGCCAGACCCTAAAACCCGAGGCGACAACCTACAAGCCCTAAAACCCTAAAGCTCTGACCCCTTCAAGCCTAAAGCCCTACAGCCTCTAAGATCCTAAAACCCTAAACCCTGAACCCCTGAACCCGAGCCCTAAATTGGATCTTAACCCTAAACCCCTAACCCTAAACCCTAAACCCTACACCCTAAACCCTAAACCCAAAACCCTAAACCCACAACCCTAAACCCTAAACCCAAATCCCAAAACCCTAAACCCTAAACCCTACACCCGAAACCCTAAACCCTAAACCCAAAACCCAAAACCCAAAACCCTAAACCCTCTGAACCCCTGAAGTGCTTGCGGATTCCAGGAGCCGGAGGTCTCAAATGCTCTAAACGAGCGAGCTGTGACGTCGCTCGGCAGCGAGGTAAGGGCTCGGGTATAGGGTTTGAGGCTTTCGGGTTTAGGGTTGAGGGTCCCTGAACCTAGACCCTAAACCCTAAACCCCAAACCCCAAACCCCAAACCCCAAACCCCAAACCCCAAACCCCAAACCCTTAACCCTAAACCCTAAACCCTAAACCCTATAGGGCTTTCGGCCGCTGATTATTTAGATGGCTGTGTGCTCAGGTATCCGTTGAGAGGGGGGTACGGGTGACTTCTACTGGCGCACCTCTGCGACAGGATCCTAAACCCAAAGCATCCCTAAACCCTTAAACTCTACACCCTAAAACCTAGGCCTTCACTGCTCTGTGTGGGTCTAAGGGTCCGGTCCCCTATGAACCTTTTAGTACGAAGTGTCGACAATAGCACCACCTTACACCTCGTGTGCAGGAGGATGAGGGTCCTGGGTTTAGGGTTTAAGGGCTTACGGCTTAGGTCTAACGTGCACGGAGTGGAGCATCATGGCTTAAAGATAGGGTGCAGGCTTTAGGGTTCAGGGTTTAGGGTTTAGGGTTTAAGACCCGCGGTTGGTTTTGAGTTGCTCTCTGAACTTTCGGTAGGGCGTTGACGAGAGGGATTCAGAGCATGGGTTTTGAGTTGCAGAAATGTTGCAAGGATCTATTGGCTACATGGCCTTTGAATGCTTGCTGTATCCTGCATGAGCCTCATAAGTACGGGGCATAACCCCCCTCAAAAGACCAAGTATTCGAACATCACCTCAACCCTGAACCCTGAATGCAATCAACGCCCTAGACACCCACCCTAAACCCTAAACCCTAAACCCTAAACCCTAAACCCTAAACCCTAAACCCTAAACCCTGAACCCCTTGCAAGGCTCTTGGTTGCTGGGCGTCAGCTCAGTCTGTCTGTGAGTCTGCAGTCCGCCACAGTGCTCATGGTGGGTCTTTATCAGCATCGCGGCTTCACTATATCCTCTTGGGGTTTAGGGTTCAGGGTTTAGGGTTTATAGGGTTTAAGGATTATTTTTGTTTATATGAAACTCAAGAGGATATTAAACATATTGTTTTTATTAAGGTTCTAAGGGGAGTATAGTTCATGCAAGACCCTAAGCCCTAAGCCCTGAAGCCTCTAGGGCTTGTTGTCAGTTCTTAGTAGGGAGTCGCGCCCTTGAACGTAGAATATAGGGTTCCTGGTTCTCCTATTTCGTAAGGACCGTTATGCGGACCCTCTTCTGTGTTTCGCGTTGAGGGTTGAAACGTCAAGTCCACTTCGGTAGGTACCCCTAGCAGTCGTAAGGTAGCGTACAATGCTGGCGTCCCCCGAAGCCCTAAACACCCTAAACCCCCTGAACCCTAAAATCCTCAAACTCTACACCCCTAAACCCTAAACCCTAAACCCTAAACCCTAAACCCTAAACCCTAAACCCTAAACCCTAAACCCGAAACCCTAAACCCTAAACCCTAAACCCCAAACTCCTAAACCCTGAACTCCTAAATCCAAACCCTAACGCCCGAAAACCCTGACCCCTGAGTCCCTAATGCCCCACCCCGTAAACCCCCTAAACCCCTACACTCTACACCCTAAACCATCAAAACCCCAACCCTCACCCGTAAGCCCCAAAGCCTCAAATGCTTAAACCCTAAACCCTAAACCCTAAACCCTAAACCCTAAACCCTAAGCGCTAAACCCTAAACCCTAAACCCTAAACTTATCCTGAGGCTGCTCACGGCGCCCATCCGCCGGCCCACCAAGAACTACCACGACCCACGGTCCGGCCACTTCAAGGCCAGCATTTCAGGATTCTTGATTCTTGGGGTTTAGGGTTTAGGGTTTAGGGTTTAGGGTCTAGGGTTTAGGGTTTAGGGTTTAGGGTGAACCCTAAAGCCTAAACCCTCATCCCTAAACCCTCAACCGGTTCATGGGTTCGGGAAAAGGCCCAGAAGTACAGGGTTTAGGGCTTAGGGAGGCCAGCGTTTGCGCTGAGGACCCCTCCAAAACATCCTAAACCCTAAGCCCTGTGAAGCTATGAAGCTTTGGGGTTCACGCTGTAGGGTTGCTTGGGTTTCAGAGTTGGGGTCAGGCCTCGTGTTTTAGGGTTTAGGGTTTAGGGTTTAGAATTTAGGGTTTAGGGCTTAAGGTTTATGGCTTAGGGTTTAGGGTCTTGGGTTGGGGCTTGAGGCTTAGGGCTTGAGGTTCAACATCCAGGGTTGGGGGTTGTGGTATTCTCTCGGCTTTCGAGGTTCGGGGTCTGTTTTTAGGGGACCCAGGTGCAGCTTTAAGGCACTTACACATCACAGGTTTCTCATTGGTTGGGGAGTTTTTGCCCGTTTGTCTATGGGTTTAAGGTTTAGGGCTTGGGGTTGAGGATGGGGAGTTTCTGATCGGGGGGGGGGGGTAGGGTTGGGCTTCTGGGATTAGAGTTCAGCGTTTAGGGCGTGAACTTCGCAATGGGTGGCTTTGGGCATTTTGGGGGCTTAAGGTTTAGGGTTTAGGGTGGTTTAGGGCTTTGGGTTTTGGGGTTCAGGGTAGCAGGGTCGCAAGACTTGGGTTTAGGCTAGCGGCTTGCATTAGGGTCTGCAGGGTTTAGGTTTGGAGGGTTCGGGTTTCGGGTTCAGGACCTACAGAGCTGTATGCTCCCGAGTTTGAGGTTTTAGGGTTTGAGTCCTAACCCAGAAACCCGAAACCCTAAACCCTAAACCCACCCCGCAAGATGCCAACGGGCTTGTGAGTGTCATTATGGGTCTTTGCGTCTTTGCGCCCCATGCTTCAAGCCCTAATGAGCTCATAGCGGTTCTTGGGTGTACTCCTTTGTGGGGAGGTTTCGGGGGACCGTATGATAGCCTCACAACCCTGAATCCTGTAAACTCTACTGGAGGCCCTGCGCGCGAAGCTTTTCCCGCCCGGCTTTCCCAACGGCTGGCACAGCGTCTGCAATGCGACTGACATTGAGAACGGCGCCTCACCACATGGCTTTGTGTTCAACCGTTAAACCCTAAACCCTGAACCCTAAGCCCCAGACCCTAGGCCCAGAAAAGGTTCTGGGGTCGGTGTTGATGTGAGGCGCTTATCGTTTTGGATGCCAGGGTTGAGGGTTCAGGTGCTCATGGCCGCAGGCCCTGCGCCCCGAACCCCAACTCCCTAGCAATGCCCCGAAACTCACATTCCTGACCCTAAACCCTAGACCCTCAACCCTCAACTCTCAACCCTAAACCCTAGTCGAAGGCTAAACTCAAAGTGCTCGAATCCGTATTCTAGGAACCGCACAAAGGAGACCCCTGTTTTCAGAACCCCCCCCCCCAGACAGGTCCCGACTTCCTAGGGCCCATACTAAGGGACCATGCAACTACCCTTAGACTCACGTGCTGGTAGAATGGGGTTTAAGGTTTCGGGTCGTTCCTACTTTCCAGTTTCAACCTTCTCTGTACTCGGCGCGGTCTGCGGTGTCTCTGCGTTCTCTCTGCATTCTCTACGTTCAACGTGCCCCTGGTTCTTAGTAGGGGGTATCGGGGCCTATATACATATATACATACCCTTTTAAAGATTAAGAAGGAAAACCTCATTCCCTCATTCCCGCCTAAGAACCAGCCAGACGTCCCCTCTCGAATCCTCCCAGGGCGGGTGAAGTCGATCAGTGCACTCGGGACCTACATGGTCGCCTTCCGTGGCCAGGCCAGACTTTTCGGAGATCGGCGAGGGTTTTCGGGTTAGGGCTTACGGGTTTACTTATAGGGTTTAGGGTTTATTTAGTGTTTGGGGTTTAGGGTTTACTTAGGGTTTAAGGTTTATTTAGGGTTTGGGGTTTAGGGTTTAGGTGGGATTTGGAAGAAGCTGAGGAATAAGATCAGTTTGAAGCTTCTGGCGGGTTGCTACTCGACCCGAGGCTTAATACTAGGACCCAGGCCAGGCCCTTGTTCCCTCTTTTTTGTGTTTAAGGGTTTAGGGCTTTAGGGTTTTATAGGGTTTAGAGTTTTGAGTGCCCTGATAAGCCCAAAACCAGAAAGGGCACCCTGTTTATTCGTAGGTTACTACCCTAAACCCTAAACCCGAAACCCTAAACCCCAAACCCCAAACCCTAACCCTAAACCCTAAACCCCAAGCCCTAAACCCTAAACCCCATTGAACAGAATAAATTCCGCCTGCGTTCCCAGGAGGTTGACGGCAGCTTTAAGATGTGTCCAGCTTTTTGACCGTGCGCTGCCTTTTCGCTTGCGGCTTCAAACCCTAAAGCCTAAAGCCTAAAGCCTAAAGCCTAAAGCCTAAAGCCTAAAGCCTAAAGCCTAAAGCCTAAAGCCTAAAGCCTAAACCCTAAACCCTAAACCCTAAACCCTAAACCCTAAACCCTAAACCCTAAACCCTAAACCCTAAACCCTAAACCCTAAACCCTAACCCCTAACCCTAAACCCTAAACCCTAAACTGGATTGAAGCTCACATTCCTTGTGCTCCAGCTTGAACTCGGCAGCAGAGTCAGCCTTTCGCCTGTCTGCAAACCCTGGAGCCCTAAAGCCCTGAAAGCCCTGCAGCTCTAAAACCCTGAAACCCTCAAAGCCTTGAAAGCCCTGGCAACCCCAAAAGCTGAAAAAGACCCTGGAGCCCTAAAGCCCTGAAGCCCAAAGCGGAAAGCAGAGCCCTGAACCCCTACACCCTAAACCCCAAAACCTAAACCCTGAACCCTAAACCCTGAACCGTAAACCCTAAACCCTGAACCCTAAACCCTAAACCCTGAACTCCCGCTGTTCAGGATGGTGCCGCCGCAGTTCTGCACGCCTTCTGCCCCCACATGGGTGGCTTGGGATGGGACTTGGCCCTCCCCACATCTTAGGCCCCAACCGCAAGCCCTGAGCCCTAAACCCTAAACCCCAAAACCCTAAAACCCCATACCGAACAAAACCTAAACCCGAGCTTCCTAAACCCCAGAACCCTAAACCCCAAGCCCTAAACCCTACAGAAAGGACTGTTGTGAGGCGGAGTTGTTGGGTAGTTTCAGTCATTTAATAAGGTTTAGGGGTTAGTAAACGCTTACAACTTTAAACTTATGGCCTCACAACAGTCCATTCGTAAGTGGGGATCTTGACCATGATGTTTGGCACACTGAGATGATGTTTTCAAAGAGTGACATGTTCATGAGTTTGGAGGGGGGGGGGGGTCCTTGGAAGTTGGCCCATCTTGGCAGGAGTCCCCCCCCCCTTCCTTCCCCCCCCCCCCCTGGTTTCGAGGCTGTGCCTCAAGCGTAGCAGCCGTAGCTGTGCCACAGTTGGTTTGCTTTCACGTATTTCCAGACCTGTTATTCGGAAGTTCCCTGCTTTCGAAACACAGCCTTTGTTTCGAAACACAGCCCCTGTTTCGAAACATGGATGTCACAGCCACAACTGCTTCATATCTACCGCAACCTCACACAATGCCTCGTTTCCATGCAATGCCAATGACCCTCCCCCTGTCACAGCCACAACTGGTTCAAAACGATATCAATTCAAAGCCATGTCTTCTCGGCCGCTTGCTGTCCAGGGCTTCGTCGGCTTTGAGCAGGGCCGGGCTAATCTCACCTTGGTTCCATCGACTACATCTACGGCATCCTCACACAATGCCTCCTTTCCATGCGATGCCAAGGAAGACATACAGGATCACAGTGGGAAAAGAGATCTACGTGATCACATCATGGCTCAAATCCGCAGTGGCACCGTTACACCTCATCCCTCCAGGCTCGGACGTTGGCATTACAAATAGCGCACGCGCAAGTCAAGACATACCTCCAGCCCACGGGTGTGTATGGGGCGTGGAACCCAGAGGCCGAGAAAAAGTTGATTGCCATGCTCACGCGGTCTTTACGGTCCCAAAAGCCCCAGGCTATCGAGGATAAGAAGCCCGACGGAAAGCCCCAGGCCATCGAGGATAAGAAGGACCAGAATGAGGAGAAGCACCATGCCCCAGCTATCAAGAATGGCGCGCCAACCGTCGTAGACAGCGCCCCATCCGCCTACGAGAAGGACCATAACATCCCGAACAAGAAGGCCAACATCGCTTTGGACAACAAGTCCTCGGATGACTCCTCGGATTCTTCTTCTGATGACCGCAACATCCCGAACAAAAAAGCCAACATCACTCTGGACAAGAAGTCCTCGGATGACTCCTCGGATTCTTCTTCTGATTCCTCTTCGGATTCCTCGCCGTGTTCGCCGTCAAAGTCGTCACCACCCCTGCCCAAGCGCACCTTCGAGGAGACCAACAAATGGGAAGCAGAGTGGACGGACGTGTGGAATTCAGCGGTTGGCCTCGTGGGTTTGGCTGACAACGGCCCGAGTCAGAAGCGCGTCAAAGTGGCAACTGAGCTTCTGAATGCCATCAACAAGGCACGCTCAAAGTGGGACGCCATTTAGTGGGTGGCAGGTCAGTTTCTTCCTTAGTCGGTACCCACTTGGAGTTTGGGTCTGTAAAGACGACGAAAGAGCAATAGGTTGCAAGCAAGAAAAAAAAGTCGCCAGCTATTGCCTTGCACGCTGTTGGAGTGTACAAGCCTTCATATCTGCTCTTCACGCAAACCCCCAATAAACCACACGCGCATCTGCAACAGCACATTTGTCTATGCCGATTCAGTGTTTTCTCAAGTCTTCGTACCATTAGGTTGCGTACCGGCTCTGTTTACTTCGATCGCGTAGCGCGTGTAGCATGGAGGACTGCGTGGCGGCTTCTCAAGGCACATTCGTCAAATTCTGTCCGGCTCCCGTCTACTCCAAGATCGAAACCGGCGCCTACAGCATCTCCGATCTGCCACTCATGGAGTTGCGCGGCAAGGGCAAAAAGTTCAAGGAATTCTTCCAAGTAGTGCATGACGTCACCCCTGCCCAGCAGCAACAAATCCGCGAGGTCATGAACTCAGAGAATCCTCGCCTCGTGGACTTGCCTCCTAATGTACGCCCTGGTGATGCGCTGGGTGAGGCCTGCCATTTGCAGCTCGTCGTTGATTCTTCCGCTAACAAGGTTCTGAAGTTCTACCACGCGTCGGGCAAGAAGCCGTCTGCAGCATGCCGTTCCAAGGCCCATAAGAAGCCAGCTGCTGCTCGCAAGAAGCCGTCTGCAGCACGTCGTCAGTAATCCGTACATCTGCTTTGCACTCGCAACAAAATGAACTTCGTCCAAACCACTGCATCACATTGAAAAAACTCCGCCTCACAACAGTCCCCTCTCAAACCCTAAACCCCAAGACCCTAACCCTAAACCGCAAGACCCTGAACCCTAAACCCTAAAACCCTAAACTCCAACACCCTAAACCCCAAACCCTAAACCCGAAATCCTTTAACCCCAAGACCCCCAACCCGAAATCCCTAGATCCTAAAACCCTAAACCCTAAAACCCTAAGCCCTAACCCCTACCCCCCAAACCCTAAACCCCAAGACCTCAAACCCTACAACCCTAAACCCCAAAACCCTGATCCCTAAAACCCTAACCTGTGCTGAGCTTTCCGACTATGTGCCACGATCGTCTGCTCTCGGGTGAGCGCCAACAGCCTCAACAAGCTCGCCTTGTTGGAGTGTTCCACTTCTCGGATCAGAGGGGCCAAAGATGCGAGAGTCCTGGCGCGATCCACAGCGTCAACCGTCACGGCGTAAATTTTCAGGCACGTAAAGTTTCTGACCTTTGAAGTTGTGCGGCAAGAAACTTCCGCATGCATGAAGGCCACAGATACGCCATTGTCCCTCATGGTGGGTGAGCAATGGAGATCCTGACTCGCCGTGCATGGTTGCAACAGTGTCAAGTGTGCGGCTGTAACCGGACCAGGACTTAGGGTTTAGGGTTTAGGGTTTAGGGTTTAGGGTTTAGGGTTTAGGGTTTAGGGTTTAGGGTTTAGGGTTAGGGTTTAGGGTTTAGGCTATAGGGCTGTAGCGCTGTAGGGCTATAGGGCTAGGGTTTAGGGATGCAGGGTTTAAGGTTATAGGGTCTAGGGTTCCAGGGTTATAGGGTTTTGGGTTATGGGGTTAGCAGGTTTTATGTTTGGGGTTATAGGGTTTTGTTGAGCGTTTCAAAGCTGCTTTACACTTCCCAAACCCTAAACCCCAAACCCCAAGACCCCAAGCCCGAAATCCCTAAAACCCCAAACCCTAAACCCTTAAACCCTGAGCCCCAAGCCCTAAACCCCAAACCCCAAACTCTAAACCCCCAACCCTAAACCCTTAACCCAAAATCCTAAAACCCTCTCTAAACCCTGAACCCTAGAGGCCCTAAAACCCTAAGCCCGCTGACTTCTCTCCCGAGGGGCCCATCTCGGCATGGGGGGCGTGGTGGTCGGCAACACCCTGCAACTGGGAATGTTCAGAGGTTTAGGGTTTAGGGTTTAGGGCTAGGGTTTAGGGTTCAGGGTTTAGGGTTTAGGGCTAGGGTTTAGGGTTCAGGGCTTAGGGCTTAGGGCTCAGGAGAGTGGGGTAAGATGCGGCTGCCTTCTGCTACTCTTTTTTGATACAAGACCCAAAAGAGACAGGACCGGACCCGGAGTAGACCCCTTGGTTTAGGGTTTAGGGTTTAGGGTTTAGGGTGTAGGGTTTAGGGTTTAGGGTTTCGGGTTTCGGGTTTTCCTTTGTAAGGTCCTGTAAACCAAAAAGGGCACCCTCTCTATTCCTAAGGGTACTCGTGTGTCTAGGGAATACGAAACAGTAGTCGTCTTTATTCTGGTTCTAACGGAAGAGCAGTCGTTTAGTAGAGTGTCTATTCGAGAGGTCCTGTAGTTCTATGTTTCGATTGCGCCTGCTGTGGCTATAAGTCGGAAACCCTAAACCCTAAGCCCTAAACCCCAACTGCAAGCCCAGCGTTTGGGGGCTAGGTTACAGTGCGAGCGTTGGGGTAAAGAAAGTTGTCCAGATAGTCCAGATGATGTCACTCACTTTCTCAAGTTCCATTGGTCACTGGCCACCCACTTTCTTAAGACTTTCTTAAACTTAAAGGGGGGGCAGGGTGCGAATACCTCCGCTACTTCATAGCTTGCTCGTTAGACCACCGGCCATGTCAACGGGGTGCCTTTAACCGTGCAACAAAGAAACAAATAGAGTATCTCTCTTCGTTAAGTAAGGCCCAGAGAGCCCGTTGAAACCGCACCTGCTACCGCGCAAAAATCAGAGGTTGCTTTTCCACCTGGAAAGAGAGCCCGGAGCACAAGACCCACACTGCTTGATTTTGTTGTGCTAATTTTATAGGCATTTTGATATCAATTGGAATGGGTTGCCCACTCGTTTTCTTAACCAGACAGCCGCTTCAAATCCCGACTACCCCGGAACCCTAAACCCGAATTAGCAGTCCCTACTACTCCCTAAGAGTCCTTATGCCCGAAGCCCTGGACGCCAAACCCTAAACCCTAAACCCTAAACCCTGAACCCTGAACCCTGAACCCTGAACCCTGAACCCTGAACCCTGAACCCTGAACCCTGAACCCTGAACCCTGAACCCTGAACCCTGAACCCTAAACCCCTTCCCTGCCCCCTGAAGAGCCCCACAATCCAGGCAATGCCCATTTCATGGCTGGCGCTTCGGAAAGGACGGTGCCTGCGAGCACCTTTTGTCGAACACCTCGGGGAGGACTTGAAGCCCCAAAGCCTAACTAAAACCACTTAGGGGATTTTAGGGTTTAGGGTTTCGGCGTGGGCCTTTTGGGGGCTGAAGGGATGTTGTAAGCGTGTTGGGGTCTGCTTAGAGTTTCTGGGCTTTGCGGTTAAGAGTTTCAGAGCTTGTAGAGCTTGTAGGTAGTTTACACCCCAAGCCTTGCACCCTAAACCCGCAACCGATCGAATTCAGATATTTCTGGTCTCACAGCCTATCGGGCGTTAGAGCTTGTGGGTTTAAGGTTAGGGTCTGGGGTTTAGGGTTTGGGGTTTAGGGTTTAAGGGTGAGGGTTCGGGTTCACTATCGATGTTTTTTTTTTTTAGAAGGGCTCTCCAAGGCTTCGGGGGGTCATGTAGGGAAGTTAGGATTTGGAGTTTAGCATGAATGTAGGTTTGTGTATGACTTTGCGGCTTTTGATCGGTTTAGGGTTTAGGGTTTAGGGTTGAGTTTAGGGACTGAAAAAGCCCTTGGCTCAGAAGCCCTAACCCTAAGAGTATCTTGCAGCCAAAACCAACTAGGTAGGCCTTTGGGATATTGCATACTTTCCCACATTGCGGAAAATTTTTCAGATGGTTTTAAGAGCCATCTGGGGGAATGAAGTACACTATATAATCCCTTAAAGGGTGCATGTATATATATATATATATAGATATAGGGGGATATGGGGTACCCCATTCCCTCATTCCCCAGTAAGAACCAGCCAGAAAGCCGAGGCACGTGCCTTACCGCAAGACTTCCCGGGAGATGCCCGAAGCGTCCAAGCTGCATGCCTACGAGGTGCGGGAGAAACTTGGTCGCACCCGTAGACCCTAAACCCTAAACCCTAACCCCTAGACCCTAGACCCCAAACCCTATATACCCTATATACCCTAAACCCTCTCTGTCATAATCCGCCCAAAAAACCCCACAACATTAAGAAATAAAGCGTCTTCAGTAGCCCCAAACCCTCGAGGAAGCCCCCCCCCAAACCCCAGGGCCCTAACATGCCCCAAACCCTTGGGCCCTAAACCCTATGCCCCAAACCCTAGCGGCCTAAACCCTATAAGAACATTGGTCCCGGAGGGTCCGGATGGCTAAGCACATTTGGTCCCAGTGGGTCCGGATGGCTAAGAACATTTGGCCCCGAGAGGGCCCGGATGGCTAAGAACATTTGGTCCCGATACGGTCCGGATGGCTCAGAACATATTGATATACATGTGGGCTTTTGTCCAAGTCTACGCTCTGCACGCTCGGCTAGAACCGCTCGATCCGGAGCTGCTTGACCCTAAGCCTTAAACCCTAACCTAAACCCTCTAGACCCCAAACGCTACACCCCAAACCCCTAGACAAAGTTCCAAAGATCCCCTTGGCTGAAGATGTCTGGGCATCCAGGAGTGTTCTCCAGTAGCCCCTAAGCCCTAAACCAGCGCATCCTTGGGTTAGAACACGCACGCCCGCATGCTGACATGGTACTGTGCAGCAGGATGCAGCACACTATGTAGTACATGACGGCGTATGTTGTATAGGGCATTCTAATTTAGGGTTCCTTCCGGGGTTCCTATGAAAAGGCGGCCCCTTTGTTTTAGGGTACTCCTCTTCTCCCTAAGCCCCTAACCCACAAATCCTAACGCGCAGTTCCGCTCAGGATCCTGGAACGCATCTACATCTGGTTCGATGCCGAAGGCTGCGGGAGTCAAAGGCGAAAGTGGGGTTCTGATTTAGGGCCACTGGGGTTTAGGCTGTTGGGCTTAGGGCTAGTTTAAAGTTTAGGGTTTAGAGTTTACGGTCCAGAGCGCTCCTGGGGGTTCGGGAGTAGGGCTTATAAGCTTTTGCAGGACGACCTCCTCAGTGGGAACTGGAGTGCCACCAGCAGCTAGAGAGGGACGTGGCTGACGGATCCTTCTACCTCGCCACGATCCGGCAGATGGAGTTTGACCAACACTGCTGCGAGATGCACATGAACAGCGCGGACCCGTACCATTTCAAGACCCTGCATGCCCCGCTGCCCTTGCCTCTTTTGGAGAAGTTTGTGACTGCTGACCACACGGCCACGCAGGCCTGGCTGTCTTGCCAAAAAAGCTCGCCCCTTTCCTCAAACCGTGAACGGTGGAGAGTAGAAATCTGCCCCAAACGTGGGTTCAGCGTTTGATCAATTCCGCTTTAGTTAGAGTCGAGACTCTAGGGTATAAGTTAATTACTGCAGGTTTCGTGTTTTGAAGCCTGGGCCACGCCCCTGAACCCTACGCCCTAGGCCCTAAAGCCCCAAACGCCCCTGAACAGGAGTACGGCAAGGGCGTCGTGAACGGCCAGCTCATGGACAAGGAGCACATGTGCTCCTTCGAGGACATCTTCAAGCCCTAAACCTTGGGCCCGACATCCTAAACCCGAAGCCCCTAATCCCTGTTACTAGGATGGGCCACGGATCAGGGCTAAGGGCTTACATGGCTCACGGGGCCGTATAGGTTCAGGCATCAGGGGTCTAGGACTCTCCAACTTGCAAGCTCTCATCTCCAAATTGGGGGAAGAGCCCCAAACCCTAAGTCTCAGGATTTGTGTTCAGGTCTGAGCCCCGAAACCCTAAAACCCAGTTCCGCAGCCAGATAGACCCGCAAAGAATCCTTTTGCATCTCGCGACGACCGCAACACCTCACGCTCCCCTTTAGGGTTTAGGGTGCAAGGCGGAGCGCCTAGAGGGTTTAGGGTTTAGGGTTACCCTAAGCCCTAAACCCTAAACCCTAATTAAACCCGAAACCTCATGTCCCCTCTCCAGGAGCGAACGCACGGCCTTCAGCTCCTGGGGCTTCCCTGGCTGCCGGTGCCCTTCTCGCGCACCATCGCCTCGTCCATCGAGACCAACGTCACGTTTGAAGGCTGGTGAGGACTTGGGATTTCGGGTTTAGGGTTTAGGGTTTCGGGTTTAGGGTTTAGGGCTTAGAGTTAATCAAACCTTAAACCCCAAAACCCTGAACTAGGGTTTTTGTGCAATGGGGTTATTTATCTTAGCGCTTGGTGGTTCATGGACAGCTACAACTGCGTGGGATATAGTCCTGTGGTCACTCCTTGTTGCGCTATTTCAGGCCTGCGCAATAACTACCCTTGAGCCTGGCAAGCAGAGCGTGAGACTTCTCTTGCTGTTGGTTAGCAGGGAATGGGGGAATGAGGGCCCTTTCTAATCCCTTAAAGGGATTATATGGGGTACCTTCTTCCCCCATTCCCTACTAACCAACGGTAAGTTCTAGGTTTGGGTCTTCGACTCCACAGGATCTCTCACTCATTCGCAAACTGGGTAGCTCAGTGGTACCCTTTGCCTTTTTTTGTGGTTCTGGGTTCCCTTATAAAGTATCCAACCAAACAAGCGCACCTTATTATAATTTGGGTCCTGGGCTAATAAAACAAAGTAGAGCACGGTTCCTAAACCCTAAACCCTAAACCCTAAACCCTAAACCCTAAACCCTAAACCCTAAACCCTAAACCCTAAACCCTAAACCCTAAACCCTGAACCCTGAACCCTAAACCCTAAACCCTAAGCCCTAAACCTGCAGTTCAAGAAGTCAAGTTGGCCCCTGGCAGGCCCGACGGTGGTTCATTTTCGCATCCGGACGCCTTTGGGTGACTCGCCTTGAACAAGGGCCTAGGGTTTAGGGTCTAGGGTTTAGGGTTTAGGGTTTAGGGTACCCCCTATATACTCCATACATGAACAAGAGCCTATGGAACCCTCACGACGGTTGAGGGATTGAGCTGTACGGTTTCGGGCTTTGGGGAGGGGGGGGGGGTGAAGGGCAGACCGGTCGCTTGTGCCCGCTTTAGGCTGGTCAGTTGTGCCCGCCTTACGCGGGTCACTTGTGCCCGCGTACGTGCCTCAAATCACAGCAGGGCCGCACTTTGGGCCACCTCCCGCCAAAACGCAGACCTGTCACTTGTGCCCACCTTTCGGTCTTAAAATATGGCAGGGCCACAGGATGAGGTGTTTGTCGGTTGAAAAGTCGCGTCCCTGCCACATCCGGCAGGCTCTCTGCCCCTGCCACCTGTCACCCCATTCAAGTGGACGCAGTTTTCTCAGGTTGCCCGTTTCATTTTCCCGACAGGGGTGGGCTGGCTCCAACATCATGAGCATCGCTATCAAAACATGTACTCATCAATGTCACCCTATATTATATGAGACCCCCAGAGACCTAAGCTTGGAAGCCTGAATCGAGACCAACTTAAGTAACCTGAAACCGCAGAGCTCTTAATCCCTAAAGTCCCAAGGCCTCCAGCCCCGAATTCCAAGACCTTACAGGCCCATGCTGTTAAACCCGAAAGCCCAAAACCTCCCCAGGCTCTTACAAACCTCAAGCCTTGAACGCCTTTCATGTCCGCCGCAGCGGCAGCCTCTCCTCGCGCACATGAAGGCTGCCACATGACTAGGGTTCGGGGTGATGCCTTGTGTGGAAAGCTTCCCTCGGGTCAGATGCCTGTAAACACCCAGCCCCCCCCTTCCCCCTTCCCCCTCCACCCCCTCCCAAGCACTCCGGCTGACCGTGCAGGGCGCATCGGGCAACAACAGTCGTTTTTTTACCCCTCCAAACCCGAACCCTGGACCCAGAAACAACTGACCTGAGGCCTTGCGTGGAAGGCTCCCCTTGGGTCAGATGTCTGTAGACGCCCAGCCCGCCCAAGCCCCCCCTCGCCCCCTTCCCCCTCCACCCCCTCCCAAGCACTGCGGCTGACCGTGCAGGGCTCCCCCTGCGGCTGACCGTGCAGGGCGCGTTGGTCAACAACAGTCGTTTTTGCCCCTCGAACCCCCCCCCCATCCCCCCTCCCCTCACCCGTTTCCAGGGCGGGTGACTGGGTGTGGTGTGTGGCGTCAAACAAGCTTATTCTTATCCCCCCCCCCTTCCCCCCGTTGCAGGGCGGGTGACTGGATGCGGTTGTGTTGAGCGCGTCAAACAAGCTTATTCTTGTCCCCCCCCTCCACCCCCCTCCCCCCTCCCTCACCCGTTAGGACTGGATGTGGTTGACTGGATGTGGTTCCCTCCCCTCACCCGTTTCCAGGGCGGGTGACTGGGTGTGGTGTGTGGCGTCAAACAAGCTTATTCTTATCCCCCCCCCCTCCCTCCCCTCCTCCTCACCCGTTGGGACTGGATGTGGTTGAACTGGATGTGGGTTTTGTTGCCCCCCTCCGCTCACACCCTACGCCGTTCCATGGCGGTGACTGGGTGTGGTGTGGGTGGCATGAAACAAGGTTATTTTAATCCCCCCCCCCCCCTCCCGCACCCCCCCACCCTTTGCTCTGCGTCAAACAAGCTTATTCTTGTCCCCCCCCCCCCCCCTCCCCCCCCCTCCCCCCTCCTCACCCGTTGGGACTGGATGTGGTTGACTGGATGTGGTTGTGTTGCCCCCCCCAGGGCGGGTGACCGGCGTCAAACAAGCTTATTCTTATCCCCCCCCCCTCCCCTCCCCCCCGCCCGTTGCAGGGCGGGTGACTGGATGTTATTCTTGTCCCCCCCCTCCCCTCCCCCCCCCTCCTCCTCACCCGTTGGGACTGGATGTGGTTGACTGGATGTGGTTGTGTTGACCGCCTCAAACAAGCTTATTCTTATCCCCCCCCCCTCCCCACCCCCCCACCCCCCCAGAAACGTGGGCACAAGTGACGGGGTACGTGGGCACAAGTGACGGGGTACGTGGGCACAAGTGACGGGGTACGTGGGCGCAAGTGACCCGAAACCGCGTGGGCACAAGTGACCGCGATCGCGTGGGCACAAGTGACGGGGCTGCCGGGTGAAGCTGTTCCGGCTCCGGGTATAGAAACCCTTAAAGAGTTGGTATGGGGGGGCTGTAAGGTGCCTAATTCCCCCATGCCATACCGAGACTTGGGGTTCGGGCTTTAGAGTTTAGGGTTTCGGGTTTAGGGTTGATGAATTGGGGTTTATGGATTGGGGTTTAGGGTTCGCAAAGTTTAGGGCTTTCGGGTAAAGGCATTAGGGCCTGGTCACCCGGAGCAAGTGGAGTCCAGACTGTTTACAGTTCGGGCGTCCAAAAGTGTTGCCCAGGCGTTCTGCGGCAAGTGAAGACCATCTTACCTGTGGAGCCCTTCAAGTAACTTGGGGGTCGGAGGGGCTGCGCTGGGCTTTGCGGAGGTTAAGGGCTTTCAGGCAGACCCTGAACTCCGTATGCCGGGGCGTTGTGTGGTTTGAGGGTCTGGGCGCTTTTGGGCTCAGTCAGGGTTTAAGGGTTTCCTGGCTTGAGGTTTAGGGTGTAGGGTTTAGGGTTTATAGGGTTTAGGGCTTGGGGGCTTGGGGTTTGGGGTTTAGGGTTTCTTGGGCTTCTCGTCTTTGGGTGGCCTGTCAGTAGTCTATTGGAAGGCTTCTGGGAATTCAGGGAACCCGATCTTGGACCTAAGCACCAATGTTTCGTAAGCCTTCTTCCCCCACTCCCCGCCCCCGCCCCTACAAAAGCAATGGCACCCCAAGCTGTAAACCCTAAACCCTAAACCCTAAACCCTAAACCCTAAACCCTAAACCCTAAACCCTAAACCCTAAACCCTAAACCCTAAACCCTAAACCCTAAACCCTAAACCCTAAACCCTAAATTTAAGAGCCTCCGGCTCAAGCCGCCGACCCCGCTGGAGCATAGTTGAAAGGTTTAAACGCGCTCGTCAGCTCAAAGGATGCCAAAAGTTGATTTGCTTGAGCCTCTGTGAAACGTTGGGGGGGGGGGGGTAGGGGGTAGCACCAGGACCCAAACAGGAGCTGAAGCCAGCTTGAAGGAGGGCAGCCCCATCAATTCAAGCCCAACAACCGGAGAGGGGGGGGTAGGGGGGAGGGAAAGAGGGAGGTTTTCACCTCCTTTTCCCATCCAACACGCCGCCAGGGTCGGCGGATCCTATATCCTAAACCCTAAACCCTAAACCCGGAACCCTTTCGGGGGTTATCAGGGTTGAGGCAACTGCCCTGCATTGGTCCTGGAGCCCTCGTTTTGAAACGGCACCCCCCACGCCAACCCTTGAGACGACAGACCCGAAAGACTTTCAACCCTAAACCCTAAACCCTAAACCCTAAACCCTAAACCCTACACCCTAAACCCTAAACCCTAAACCCTAAACCTTCAACCCTCAACCTAAAGCCTCAAAACCCTAAAGCTTGAGCCCCCTCAAAGCCCCCAAGCCTGAGGCAGTGCGTGGAGGCCCGATGGTATGCAGAGAGGTCCGTGCCGCGCCGCTCGAGAGCAAGCGGTTTAGGGTCTAGGGTTTAGGGTTTAGGGTTTGGGGTTTAGGGTTTAGGGTTGAGGGTTGTAGGGTTTAGGGTTCGATTTGGCAGTTGATCATACCCAGAAACCCCTCACCAACCCTAAAACCTCAACCCTACTGGAGCCTTTCTTTGCGGAATTGCCATGCTAGATGGGGGCTTCTATAAATCCTAGACTCTTTCTTAAGGGACCCCCCCTCCTCCATATCTCCTACGAAGTCAGGGCGTCCCTAGCAAAACTCGCCCCAATATGGACCTTTAGATGAACCCCCGCACCCCCCTTTCCTGTCGGGTTTAGGGTTTTGAGGGTTTCCCTACACCCGGAACCCGAAACCCCAAACCCTAAACCCAAAACCCTTAACCGCTTTTATGGTCGACTCTTAAGGTTTTGAATGGAATTCGGACTTCAGGTTGTTTTTGGGTGGTTTTAAAGCGTTTTTCTGCTTGAAGGGGCGGGAGTTTAGGGTTTAGGGTTTAGGGTTTAGGGTTTAGGGTTTAGGGTTTAGGGTTTAGGGTTTAGGGTTTAGGGTTTAGGGTTTAGGGTTTAGGGGTCCAGAACCTGCACAATCCCCCCCCCCCCTCCCTGGCTGGCTGGCAAAAGGCAGGACTTGGGAGTCCTACACCCGAAACCCCAAGCCCTAAACCCTAAACCCTAAACCCTAAACCCTAAACCCTAAACCCTAAACCCTAAACCCTAAACCCTAAACCCTAAACCCTAAACCCTAAACCCTAAACCCCAAAACCCCAAAACCCCAAAACCCCAAAACCCTATCGGTCCTAAACCCTAAACCCTACAGGCCCTTGGCCCTCAGCCCTACACCCCTCTGGTGGCTCAGGAGCCGCAGCCGTGGCCCTCGGAATTATTGGCGGGCGGGCGCTCGAGCAAGATCGGGAGGCATGGCTTTGGGCTTCGGGCCCCTATGCCCCGAACCCGAGACCCTTAAACTCACTAAACCAAACCCTTGAACCCTAAACCCTAAACTCCAAACCCTAAACCCTAAACCCTAACCCCGAACCCTAAACCCTAAGCCCTAAACCCTAAGTTGAATTGCTGGGCTCATTACTTCAGAGTTCGGGGGATTGAGAGTCTACTACAGGCCCTAAACCCGAAACCCTAACACCCTACACCCTAACCCCTAACCCCTAACCCCTAACCCCTAACCCCTAACCCCTAACCCCTAACCCCTAACCCCTAACCCCTAACCCCTAACCCCTAACACCTAACACCTAACACCCTAACCCCTAACCCCATACCCCTAACCCCTAACCCCTAGCACCCTAACCCCTAACCCCCTAACCCCTAGCACCCTAACCCCTAACCCCTAACCCCTAGCTCCCTAACCCCTAACACCCTAACCCCTAACCCCTAGCACCCTAACCCCCTAACCCCTAACCCCTAACCCCCTAACCCCTACACCCTACCCCCTAACTCCTAACCCCCTAACCCCTAACCCCTAACCCCTAACACCTAACCCCTAACCCCTAACCCCTAACCCCTAAACCCTAAACCCTAACCCCTAAACCCTAAACCCTAAACTCAGCCCGTGGAGATTGTTTTTTGGAGGTCTGGGAGAACAAGATCTACCACAAGAAGCCGGTCCTCGTGCCGCTCCGCAGGGTTTAGGGTTTAAAGCTTAGGGCTTAGGGTTTAAAGTTTAGGGTTTAGGGTTTAGGGTTTAAAGTTTAGGGTTTAGGGTTTAAAGTTTAGGGTTTAGGGTTTAGGGTTTAAAGTTTAGGGTTTAGGGTTTAAAGTTTAGGGTTTAGGGTTTAAAGTTTAGGGTTTAGGGCTTGGGGCTTGCGGGGCCGGGAAAGGGGGGGGGCATTCAATCACCGTCAGGTTCACATATTCGAGGGTTCCAAGGGTTTATGGATCCTGAAAAGCCCTGCCAGTCCGCACCCTGAAGCCCAGCCCCCAATCGCCAAAAAGACCCGAAGAAGACCCTACAACCCTGAGACCTTTCAGGGTTTCGGGTATGGGGTTTGGGGTTTCGGGTTTCGGGTTGGGGGTTTAGGGTTAACGGTTTAGGCTGCCAAGGGTCTAGAGGATTACAAAGGGATAGCACTGGCACTGAGAACTGTTGCCCCCTTTTCTCGGGGAGCGGTTCTTCAGGACTAGTACGGGGATGGCAGTGGCAATGAGACATGTTGCCCCTTTTTGGAGCGTGGGAGTCTAGAGGATTCTAAGAGGATAGTGCTGGCAGCGAGAGCTGTTTCCCTTTCTCTTGGGGGCTAGAGCCTTATGTGAAAGGGCTAGTACTACTGAGAAATGGATGTTCCTCGTTAAGGCTCTTCAAGGTTGAGCCCCAAAGTCCTATATACCCGACCTTACACGCTAAACCCTAAACCCTCAACCCTCGACCCTCAACCCTAAACCCTAAGCCCTAAGCCCTTAAGCCTCCGTCTCCGAGGTCAGGGGATGGGCCATTTTTGGACTTTATGCGCTGGTACGGCCAGTTCTACTCCGCGGGTTCCCGGAATTTCGGCTACGATTGGTAGCTGCGGGCAGAAAAAAAGGCCGAAAGAACCCGCGCACACTTGGGCCTAGGCGCTGAACCATACTTGGAGGTTCATGGGTATTTCTAAGGGGGATTATAAGTATGGTAGCTACAGTTACTATAGTCATAGCTATAGTTCCCATACTTATACTTTTACGTAGGGTTCTAAGTAGCCTCAATAAGGTTTGTTATCACCCTATCTAGGGTACGTACAACCCTACTTACAAGTACCCATGAACCTCCAAGTAAACCCGAGCGTAGGGCTCAAGGTTCAGAGTGCACGGCCCTCAAGCAGGTACCTGAATCGACGTTGGGGCTCCCGACCCGAGCGAAGCCCGCCCAAACGATGGCTCCCGCGCGTTTTAGGGTTTAGGGTTTAGGATTTCGGGTTGAGGGTGTAGGGTTTGGGTTTGGGATTTAGGGTTTGCGGCTTAGGGTTTAGGGTTTCGAGGTCTAGCTGGCAACCCAAACCTCGCAGTCCAACAATTGATGCCCCCTTTTACCCCTGGGGCCTTCGTCCCTGTTCCCATGGCCCTAGCCCAATATTGGGCCTATTTAAGGGAATGCCCACATGGGGGCCAGTTCAACTAGATCACTTTCTACTTCTGAAAGAAAACTTTTGGTACTTCCTTTGGCCTTAAACCCTCAAGCCTCAAGCCCTAAACCCTAAACCCTAAACCCCAAGACCCTGAGCCACCGTGAGCGCTTCTTCGGGTAGTTACATGGTCGCTGAATTTGGGCAACGCTTTTGGACCCCTTATATACCCTAAAAAACCCAAGAGCCATACCTCAGAACCGTTTAAAGAAGGACTCTGAACCCTAAACCCCAAACCCTAAACCCTAAACTCTAAACCCTAAACCTAAACCCTAAACCCTAGCCCCAAGACCCTGAGCCGCCATGAGACCTTCTTTGGGTAGTTACATGGTCGCTGAATATGGGGAACGCTTATAGACCCCTTATACACCCCAAGAAACCCAAGGGCCATACCTCAGAACCGTTTAAAGAAGGACTCTGAACCCTAAACCCTAAACCCTAAACCCTAAACCCTAAACCCTAAACCCTAAACCCTAAACCCTAAACCCCAAACCTAAACCCTAAACCCTAAACCCTATGAAGGGCCATGCCACTTGACTGGTGGAGGCCGCTCCCAGCGTTGCCTCGGAGGGAACCACCGAGTTGAGCGCGGCTTTCGGGAGGCCCTTGGGTTTCGGGTTTAGGGTTTAGGGTTTAGGGTTTAGGGTTTAGGGTTTCGGGTATCCTAAACCCTAAACCTAAACCCTAAAGGGAGGTCTTTGCCTAAACCTCAATTAAGCCTCAAAAAAAAGGGCTCTTGCAAGGGCGAGGTTGTGCCTCACAGCTAAACCCCCAAACCCTAGAACCCGAAGTTCCAAACCGCTTTGTAAGCCCTAAATCCTAAACTCTAAACCCTGCACTCTCCACCCTAAACCCCAAACCCTGAACCCTAAACCCGAAGCCTGCTGTTTAGGGGTTTGCGTGTCTCGGGTTTGCAGCAAAGATGGTTGGCGGCCTTGTATGGGTTTCAGGACTAGAAGCTACTGGCATGGGGGTTGAAAGAACTGCAACCCTGAGGGTTCAGGGTTTAGGGTTTAGGGTTTAGGGTTTATGGTGATCCACATACACCCAAAGCGAGAAGGGTTCGGGGAATTGGGGGGGGTGGGGGGGGGGTTTCGAGTTCGCATCGTGAATTTCGAAGGCCTTAGCCGCTTTGGCATCCAACGCAAGCCTAACCCCTTCTTCCTGGTTCAGCCTCACAGCCTTTCGACAACCCACACCTGTCTAAGTCCCCAACCGCCACTTAAACCTCAAACCCTGAACCCTAAAGCAACCCTAAATCCTGAACACTAAGCCCGAAGCCCTAAACCCTAAACCCCAAACCCCAATCCGGAAACTCCAAATCAACTCTGCCTCATCAAGGTCTGAGGACAGCAGCGCCGCGCCCTCCCTGGGTAGCGCCGCGCGGGCGGAAGGCTCCCGAACTGGGACGGAGGGTTAGGGTTTAGGGTTTGGGGTTTAGGGTTTAGGGTTCAGGGTTCAGGGTTTGGGGTTTAGGGTTTAGGGTGCAGGGTTTAGGGTGTAGGGTTTAGGGTGTAGGGTTTAGAGTCCGGGGTGGAGTGGGTTCTGGGCAGAGAGGGGCAGAGAGGGTTTTCGGGCTGGTTCAGGATAGAGTGGGTCCAGGGAAGAGTGGGTTCTGGGTTCAGGGTTTAGTGGTGTAGGATACTTGCAGGTTCAGGGCTAAAAATGAGTCTTGCTTCTTTTAAGTGCTAAGTGCTTTTAACCCTAAACCCTAAACCCTAAACCCTAAACCCTAAACCCTAAACCCTAAACCCTAGACCCTAAACCCTAAACCCTAAACCCTAAACCCTAAACCCTTAGCTTTTCCTAACATGGGCTGAATTGGGTTGGTCGGCTGCCTCGGCGTCCAGCGGCTTGGCGGCCTCTGCCTCGCTGCGGACCCTGAAGATGCCATTTTGGGGTTTAGGGTTTAGGGGTTTAGGGTTTAGGGTTTGGGGTTTGGGGTTTGGGGGTTTAGGGTTTAGGGTTTAGGGTTTGGGGTTTAGGGTTTAGGGTTTAGGTTTTAGGGTTTAGGGTTTAGGGTTTAGGGTTTAGGGATGCCTCATCGGGAAGCCCCTGTGCGAGTTTCCCCAGCACATGGCTGCGGAACTCGCTGTGCTGTATGTCATGCAACTGCAGTATCGCCAGGACAAGTATCGGCTCATGACCACAGTACAAAATCCTCTCATCGGGCAGGCATTGCAGGGATACATAGCCCGATATCACACGACAGCGAAGTCGAACTACAAGGACCAGTCAGCACGTGAGTACCTGAAGAGCCTTGCTCCTTGCCACTGCCCACCTCCACGGACTACGTGTTCATCAGAAGCGAAGTGTCCCAGCATGTGTGGCCTCCCGACATGCCTCTTCCCAGGCTCTACGAGGAGTATCGCCCATTTGTGTGCAAGAAGCCTGGCAGCAACGCGGCCTCTTCATCAAGTGCCATGCGCAGGCTAGCCGATAGAGTTGCCTAAGCCCTAAACCCCACACCCCAGCACTTGACAAGCACAGGCCCCTGACAAAGCACCCAACTACCTGACAAGCAGCCACCTGGCAAAGCAGACTCCTGACAAAGCAGGGGGTTTAAGTCTTGGTTTTGGGGGTTTCGGCTTGAGGAGGTGAAGCTAAACCCCTAAGCCCATAAGCCCCTAACCCTTAAACCCCGAGACCCGAAACCCCTAAAAAAACCCCTAAACCCCCCCCCAAAACTCTAGAAACCCCTAAACCCCTAAACCCTCCCAAAACTCTAGAAACCCCTAAACCCCAAAACTCTAGAAACCCCTAAACCCCTAAACCCTCCTACACATACCCTGCCCGGCAAGGACTGCGCAGTCGGCGCAGCACTGCGAGTGAGCGCCGGCTGATGCAGCGGTCAGTGGCCCGGGCCCCCAAAAACTCGATCAGTGTTAGGGATCCTTTTTACTTTTTGGGTTATGGGCTTTCTTATATATGAACAAAAAGGATCCTTTTTTCTTCCTAGGGGAACAGGGATTGAGAAAAGAGTGTTTTGAGGGCGCTATAGGGTGAAGGATATTTAAGAGGATGTTTAAGGGTGTTTAAGGATAATTTGGTATGTTTGTGTTTTTAGGGTGCTTAAGGTTAGGGAGTTTCAAGGTGTTTCAGGTTTTTTGGAATGGTTAGGGTGTTTTAGGGTGTTTGGCGTTCGGGTGGGATGTTTAGGACGCTTAAAGATGTTTGAGATGGCTGGGGTTACGAATGCTTAGGGTTTAGGGTGCTTAGGGTTTAGGATGTTTGGAGTTGAGGATGTTCAGGGTTTAGGGTTGAGGGCTTACAAGGGTTGGAGGATGTCCGATGCGATGAAGTTGAAAGGTAGCATGTTTGTCCAGAAACTGCGGACTGCGCCTACCACCGCACCACTTAGATGCACCCTAAATCCTTGTGCAGTGAGTCACATTGAGTTTTCTGTGGGGACCAAATGACCCCGACAAGGGTGCTCGTGGCTGCGTGGCCCGCAGAAGTAGTGTGGACCTTTCTGGATCACGTCTACGCGGTCACAATGAAGGTCGATGAGAAGGACGACCAGCAGCACCCGCAATGGTACGTCGTCATGCTTCTGGTCGGTTTCGGCGCCATGCTGCGCCATGCATGGCGTGAGGCGTGCGGCGAAGGGTTTATGGTTCATATCCCTGAACAGGAAGTATAGTGGTATAGGGCATATGACCCCAACTTGGGGGTTAATTTGGTCCCCAAGGCTAAGCCCTAGACTCGAAACCCCGTACAGAGTTGTCCCGTATTGTTCCTTATCTCCCAAATCGCCCGGTCGGAGACCTGGATACCTAGTTTTCCGAGAACCCAGACAACAGTACTAGAATAGGGCACTTAATACCCCAAACCCTACGCGAACCCTAAACCCTAAACTCTAAACCCTGAGCCCTAAGCCCTAAGCTCTAAGTCCACGAAAGACCGGTGGTCTCTCTGGTGGTTTTGGAGCTGGAGAAGGCCAACAGTTTATGAGCTTTGGGGTTTTGGGGGTTGGTGTTTTTAGGCTTTAGGGTTTAGGGGATACGGGGTTTAAGGTTGTAGGGCCTAGGGGCTTAGGGTATTTTGGGGAGTTATGGTGGCGGCTGAAAGACCCGACAGTATGCAGACGGCTCCCGACTACATCGAGACCATGCGCGAAGCGGATGAAAGGAGTTTAGGGTTTAGGGTTTAAGTGTATATGGGGGTTTACGAAAATATAAAGGGACCCCTGTTTTCACCCCCAAAGTCCCTCATAAAAAGGACCCCCCAATCAGGTACCCATAATTTCGGAAACCCCCCCCACGAGGATATGTCTGCCAATATTTGCTCCACCATGCACTAAGGGGTATAATGAGGGATCCTCAGAAATCCACTTCCCGCAATATAGCCCCCATCTATACCTTATATGGTCCCTCTATACCTAAGTAGTCCCTAAACAACCCCGAAAGACCCGCCAAGGCCCCTTCTAAGGGTCCCTCCTCTAGTCCCTTGAATGGAGCTTCAAGTTGACGCGTCTTCGTGCGTGCTCTTGATGGAAGATTAGGTTTAGGGCAGGGTTTTGTCCTCAATGGCATGCTTGCAACATTGCTCAGCTTCCTTTGGCTTGGGAAACCCTAAACCCTAAACCCTAAACATATATAACCCCCCCCCCCCCCCCCCCTCATGCTTTGCTTGAGGCAGTGGTGAGCCGGCTCTACGACGAGCTGTTGCGGCTCGTCGCGGGAGGGGTGGGGGTATTCAGGAGGTGTTTAGGGTTTAGGGTTTAAGGTTTAGGATTTGGGGTTTAGGCATAGTCCCTATACACCTCAGCAGCCGCTGGATAGCCCCTAAGTAACCCCGAAGGTCCCTTCTAAGGGTCCCTCCTTCAGTCCCTTGAAGGAAGGATTTGAGGGCATCGAAACCCAATGAAATTTGCAAGGGCTATAAACCCCAAACCCTGTAAAGAATTTGGGTTAGGGTTTCGGGTTTAGGCTTTAGGGTTTAGGGTTTAGGGTCTGAAGACGAAGCCCCTAAACCCTACAACGCCGCCCAATACCAAAGTGGGGTTTTCGGGCTGAGGGCACGGGAGTCCCCCCCCCCCTGTCTCATCCCCAAACAGGATTTAGGTTAGGGTGTAGGGTTTAGGGTGTAGGGTTTAGGGTTTAGGGTTTAGGGTTTAGGGTTTAGGGTAAACCCCAAGCCGCCAAAACCCGAACAACCGTAAACCACTTCTAGATATTATCTCTTCCTTTACGATATGGGTGCTTGAGGCCCAAGCCCAAAGCATTCAACACTTAGAAGCCCGAATCCGTAAGCCCCAAGCCCTGAACCCTACAACGCCAGTTCCCAAACCAGAAAGTATAGCATCCTAATATAGGGGCCGAATACGGTTTTGGGGGTTTTTACCATATAATTACAAAGGTGCCATAAGGGAATACTCTTAGCAATTATTAATTATTCTGACCCCTACAGTAATGCCTATAGTCGCTAGCCCATGCTGAGGCTACTCAGCCTGCGTCGGCCCAAGCTGGGCGAGGCGTCGCTTTGTTCACACATTTGTGTCTGGAGGGGTTAGTGGTTCAGGTGGTTCAGGTTAGGCTGTCTGGATTCTAGAAAGTTGCCATAAGAAGAGTTCTCAGTTGCCATAAGAAGAGTTCTCGAACCCCCCCCCCCCATAGTTTTCAAGGTGCATGTTTGACAGCGGGGGGCCTGTGGAGGGGGTTAGGGCCACGATGGCGTGGCTCACCCCTGGGCCTGGGGGCTCCCGGTCCACTTAGGCTTAATGCTATGATTTCAGTTTGCGCGTGTGGTGCGTGTGCATGAGGGTTGAATGCCGGGGTGGAGGGAGCTCTACTGTAGAGAACACAGTAAGTTCTCCTTTAAGCTTAAGTGTTGGTAACCCTAAGCCTGCAGACAACCTGTACACGTGGTTTTTGCTCATGAGTGTTTTTTCTTTTGATGTCCTTGATGCTCTATAGCCCATGTTGTTACATGAGTGGTGCTACTTGTCAACAGGTTGGGATCCCAGATGTGAGATACAGAAGTCAGCTGCAGCAGCACCGTATGTGTGCAATTGTGCATCGAGCCGGACCGAACACCTCAAACAGAGGCATACCCTAAACCCTCAATCCTCAGCCCTAAACCACACAGGAACACTGAACACGAGAATGAAAGCACAATAGCTGAGGGAGTTCTACCTCGTATCCAGGCATTCTGACAAACTCAGAGCACCTCAAGAACACAGGCAAATGCTTGATGAACAACAACAGAAACGAAGAAGCACTCACATAACAATGACAGCGGAAATAAAACGTAAAGTAGGTGACGGAGTTTTATCTTCAGCCCAGGCATATGACAAACAGGAGCACTTAGAACACGCAGGCGAATTCTTGATTAAAGCAACAGAAACGAAGAAGCTCGCAAAGGGCAATGAAAGCGACAATGAGGCCAAATCAAAGCAGGTGACGGAGTTTTATCTCCGTATGACAAAAGAAGAACATCTCACACAAATTTGCAAACACTTGCTCAGAATCTGCAGAAACGAAGAAGCGCGCAAAGAACAATGAATGCAGAGAAACAAGCAAAGTAGGTGACGGAGTTTTTTTAATCTCATGGCAAACAAGAACACCTGGAAAACACAGTCTCCCCCTAAACCCGAAACCCTAAACCCTAAACCCTAAACCTTAAACCCTAAACCCTAAACCCTAAACCTTAAACCCTAAACCCTAAACCCTAAACCCTAAACCCTAAACCCTAAACCCTAAACCCTAAGGGCGTTGGGGTCATGCTGAAGCTGAGATTCTGCTATCGCGACATGCGCACGCGCGAATCTAACCACAGCAGTGGCGGTTTGTTGTGACTATAGCACCTCTAAACCCTAAACCCTAAACCCTAAACCCTAAACCCTAAACCCTAAACCCTAAACCCTAAACCCCAAACCCCAAACCCCAAACCCTAAACCCTAAACCAACTCACCCCTGAGCCCCAAAGTCACAAACCCCTTCTGCCCTGGGAGGCAGCAGCCTCGCTTCTGCAAGAGTTGGCTGGGCCAGGGGTGACGCAGCAGGCGCTAAAGGGTGCCAATAGGACAGGGTTTAGGGTTTAGGGTTTGGGATTTTAGGGTTTAGGGCTTAGGGTTTTTCGGGTTTAGGATTTTGGGCATTCTTGAGACATCTTTGCAAAAGGAAACTCAAAACCCCGAAATCACCCGACCGTTCTCCAGCGTGTGTCCTTTTTTGGGGGTCCTATCAGAATACATGGCCTTACTTAGGACTTAGGGTTTAGGGTTTAGGGTTTAGGGGGCCTTACTTAGGATACCCGACAGGCACCAGAATAAGGGGCCTTGGCCCCCAAGTGGAGATGAGGAGGCGTTTTGGCACATTCATGGGTTGAAGGTTTGGAGCTTAGGGCTTAGGGTTTTAAGGAAGATAAGGTGCCCTACTTCCCTACTAAGAGTTTAGGGTTTAGGGTTTAGAGTTTAGGGTTTAGGGTTTAGGGTTGCTAAGCTTAGGGTTTAGGGATTGAGGGTTGACGTAGCCGTACAGGGCTCCAAGGCTAAAGCAACCCCCGAAACCCTGAACCCTCAAGCCCCTACGCCCGCCCTCGGTTTAGGGTTTAGGGCTTATAGGGTTTAAGGTTAGGGTTTAAAGCCCTAAGCCCTGATTAGTCACAACACCAGTGGACACCGGACGTACAGGCTGAGGATGCTATCGCCGTGGTGCTCTCACGTGCCTTGGCAACTACCTACAGGGGCCGACCAGAGTCACCAATCTTATTCCCTTAGGGTTTAGGTTGCATAAATGCGACTGTAAACTACCCAAGTACCAAGTTCAATGAAATCGTCACCCAAAAAGAGCCTAACTACCTAGGCCTACGGGTTAGGAGCTATCTTGGCTGGCCCTCTGGATGGGAGTCGCGCACCTTTCCTGAGCCCTGCAGTCTATTTTCTCTGTACATGGGACCACTTTGTTCCAGAGGGCATTGAAGGCCCTCGAAGTTCCGATCTTTCTTGGGTTCATGGGGCAAGAACCCGAATCCCTAAACCACCAAGATGTCTTTTAGGGTTTCGGGTTTAGAGTGCAGGGCTTAGGGTTTAGGGTATCGTGTGCAAGATGCAAGAAGCCCTGAGAAAGCAGATCTTCGGCGCCGGAGACATCCAACAGAGGAAGGGCGCAGTACCTGGGTGGAGCTCCAATGGCATGATCGTGGCCATCACACGACGGGGCAGTACTTCTCACTGGCGATGCGTTGGCAGCCCTTCTGTTGCTTAAGACAGAGCCGCCCTAAGCCCGAAGCCCTAAGCCCGAAGCCCTAAGCCCGAAGCCCTAAGCCCTAAGCCCTAAGCCCCAAGCCCTAAGCCCTAAGCCCTAAACCGAAACCCGAGCAGACCAAGCAAGCCTTGGGTCGTTTTGCACTACCCGGCGTCGCATTTAATGGGTGCGGTTTCTGAGTCTGAGCCTAACACGCTAAATGGCAAAACCCCTAAACCCCGAAACCGGAAACCCTGAACCTTAAGCCCTACAATCCTTGAGCCCTAAACCCTAAAACCAAATAAACCCTGAACCTCGACCCAAAAACCCAACCCTGACCCCCCAAAAAAACCCATAAACCCTAAACCCTAAGCCCCAAACCACGACCGTTCAGACCGAATCCTAAAGCCCTAAGCGCTGCCCGGCCCTAACTCCCAAGCTTGCAGGCCCTAGGGGTCAGGTAGGTTTAGGGTTTAGGGTTTAGGGTTTAGGGTTCAGGGTTTAGGGTGTAGGGTTTAGGGTTTAGGGTTTAGGGTTTAGGGTTCAAAGTCGAAACCCCAATCAATCCATTCCAACCCCCCAACTCCGGGCTCCTTAGCCTCTTAGCCGCCGAAACCGAACAACCCAACCCCCCAACGTGCTTCAAAAGCCCGATGAACCCTAAACCCTAAACCCTAAACCCTAAACCCTAAACCCTAAACCCTAAACCCTAAACCCTAAACCCTAAACCCTAAACCCTAAACCCTAAACCCTAAACCCTAAACCCTAAACCCTACAAACCTAAACCCTAAACCCTAGAACCTAAGCCCTGAACCCCTGAAGCCCTGCGACTCTAAACCCCCGTGGCCCAGGCTGCGTGGCAGAAGTGCGCCGGCTGCGGCTGGAGCCAGGCTGCTGTTCCGATTGAGGTTTGCAAGGGTTGCCGGGCTTGAGGAAACCCGAAACCCGAAACCCTAAACCCTAAACCCTGAACCCTGAACCCTGAACCCTGAACCCTGAACCCTGAACCCTGAACCCAGAACCCAGAACCCTGAACCCTGAACCCTCTGTGCCCAGGGTTTAGGTTTCAGGTTCTAGGGTTTAGGGTTAATGGGGGGGACCCCGGGCTCTGTAAGGCATGCAAAGCCGAAGCCAGCCGAACCCAAAGCCAGCCAAACTTGCTCTCAGGGAGCAAATGGTGGGTTCTCTAAATTGTGGTCCCTTTTTTGGGTACTCTAAATATATTGGGGCCGCCTTAGAGTAGTTACCCCAAAAGGGTCACCCATTGCTGAGAAGCGCCCAAATGCTCTCTTGGAGTTTGCAGGATGAGTCTTGAGCAAGTTTGCTAGGACCCAGAGAGTGTTTAGGTTCCCTGACAAGCCCCTTTATTTAAGCCAAAAAGGGCACCCTTTTTGTTCCTGGGGTGCTCTGGGGTCTGGTTTAGATGTTGAGTTTTTTCAGGTCAAGACATGCGTATAGGGGTAGCATGTTCTCGGGAAAGATCAGGCGTACGCTCTCCGCTACGGGTGCTCTCGGTTTAGGACGGCCTTTCTCATGGAAGATTTTGGGGGGCATAGTCGTATCCGAGTAATACAGTTTCTGGAAATCAAGTTTAAGGTCTCCGACCCTAAGCCCCAAGCCCTAAACTCTACACCCTCAAGCCTGTATCCGAGTAGCAATTACTTCGGGGAAGTCAGCCCTCAGCCTGCAAACCTCAAGGGGCCTTGTAGGGGTCTCACCAGGTCTCCGCTCCTCCGCTTAAAAGGTAACTAAAGCCGAAACCCTTTAACCCTTTAACCCTTTAATCTCTAAACCCTTGTTGACCCTTTTGGGATGTTAGGCTCCCGGCTCCCTTTTCGTACCCACCTTTTCGCTCGCGCCAGGTGCGGCCGAGGACTCTTTCTGCGAACTGTGCTGGGTAGGCTTCACGTCTGCGCCTTGCTCTGCTTCGATCTTCTCCATCAGCATTTTCGTGGTAAGATGCGTCTGGCACCTCCTCGGGACGCGCTTGTGTTGAGGGGTCCATGCAGGGGAGAGTGAGGCGATTGGGCTCACGGGACCGAAGGCGTTAGGCTACAAGCGCCCAAAACCGCACTCCGGCCACGCGGCCCCAAGTCTTTGGCTCAGAAGGCAAAAGGTTCCACCAGCTCAGGCAGGGCAAAGTTTCGGCAAGAATGGCACGACGCGTTCTTGTGGCTTTCGTTGGCTCGCGAGGAGACAACCAGCCCTACATCGTCATGTGCAAGGTTCTCAGAGATGCCGGCTATAGCGTTCTCGCTTGCGGCGATGAGGAGACCCTTCCCATGGCCGAGACCCTGGACATTCCCTTCCGCGTGGTGATGCGCAGTACCCGGGAGGTTTGCCAGACCCCAGCATTCTCCAAGGCGATGGAGGAGGGAAGCTTCAGCAAAATGTTTAAGGAGGTGTCTGCGAAACAGGCAACCCCGGAAGCAATCCGGGAGAGATGCCATTGCTTATATGAGGCGGTTCTCGAGTTCAAGCCTGATCTCATCCTCTTCAACCAGCTCCAGATGTGCAGCGCGCTGGCCTTGAGCGTTGCGCTCCAGATTCCCGCAGTCTTGACGCTCTTGGCTTCTGGGCATGTGGCCTGCCGTTCGTATTCGCCGATTGCGGGCATTGTTGGGACGGGTCTTCAGGCCAGCTTCATGTGGTACTTTCTAGAGAAGATCCTGCTGGGGAACTGGTTGAAGCAATATGGGCCCGTGTACGCGAAGCTTCTCCAGAGACCGCTTCGCGACTTTGCTCCGAACATTCGAGACCTTCTCAACGTCAAATGCTGCCGACCCATCTTCCGCGTGGCCGTCATGGAAACGGCTGCGTATCACCAGCCGATCCCAGCGGAGTTCAGCAGCAACATCATACGTGTGGGACCCATGCTGCCCAACAAGGAGACTCAGACCGGCTCTGAGTTCGGATCGGACATGTTTGCTACCATGGAGTCTTTCTTGGAGGGCGGGGAGGCCCCAGTTTACTTTGGGTTCGGCTCGATGATCGCCCGTGATTCCAAGTTCATGACCCTTCTGTGCCTGCGAGCTCTCCAGCGCACCGGTCTTCGTGGGATCTTCTGCGCAGCATGGTCAGACATGTCGTTGGATCTGGTGGAAGGGGAGCCGGATGCGGAGGCGCTGCGAGCTTACTGCGAGAACAGGGCTCTGTTCATGAAGTACGCGCCGCATGGAGTGCTCTTCCCACGCTGCTGCGCCATCGTCCACCACGGTGGCGCAGGCACCACGAACGCCTCGGTGAGGTCTGGTGTGCCAACAGTGATTCTCCCCATTTGCTTCGACCAGCCTGAACACGCGGAGCGCATCAACCGCCTTGGCCTAGGCGTGGGCCTGAAGACCATGTTCGATCTCCAGCCCTCCGACGTCGCCGAGGCCATCCAAAAGTGCGTCAACAACCAGGAGATCTGCAGCAAAGTCCGCGAAGCTGCGGCCATCATGGACAAGGAGAATGGTCCGGCCGAGATCGTCGACTTCGTCGACAACTACTTCAAGCAGTTCGTGGAGACAGGCCGCCACCTGGAGATTCAGGACTACTGGCGCACAAGGTCCCGACGCTGCTCTCTCTGCTCGTGCCTGTCGGCTTGCCTACCCTGCCCATGAGGAGACACACTTTGCACTTCGCCGACAAGCTTGGTGAGCTTGCGAGCCTGGTGCATTCCCGAAATCAAAGGCGGGAGGCTTCCTTCCAGCCCTACAGGAGAAAGATGCCCTAGCGCCTGAAACCAATATATTTTTGCAAGGGTGGAAGAGGCCTCCCGATTGTTGTCCTTTTTTTCACTCGGCTAGATCGGAGTTGGGCACGAACATCCAAATTACAGCTTCTTTTCAGGTTTCTGTTTCGTCGTACAGTTCCTGCGGTGCAGTTCACAAATCTGGGGTCACTTGTGATTGCTTCTTGGCAAGGGCTGGGGGCCCAGCCGTCTTTTTGCCCAATGACGATCTCTTCTGCCAGTGCACGTAGCGTGGTTAGAGAATGGTTCGATGTAGATGCAGCTTGCTCGCAGACCCCGCGCGGTTAACCTGATACCCCAAGCCCCCGAAACCCTTAACCCTGAACAACGCTAAGCCCTAAGCCCTAAACCCTAAACCCTAAAGCCTAAACCCCAATTCTAAACCCTAAACCCTAAGCCCCAAAGGCCTGCCAAAGGCAAGGGCCGAGTTTTGAGGCCGCTCATCGTTTTGCCTCTCGAGGCTGTAGAGCAGACCACCAATACACTCAGATCTGGAGGTTTCGGGTTTAGGGTTTAGGGTTTAGGGTTTAGGGTCTAGGGTCTAGGGTCTAGGGTTTAGGGTTTAGGGTTTAGGGTTTAGGGTTTTAGGGTTTTAGGGTTTTAGGGTTTAGAGTTTAGGGTTTAGGGTTTAGGGGTTAGGGGTTAGGGTTCAGGGTTCAGGGTTCAGGGTTAGGTCCATAGAGAGAAGGTCGACGCGCTTGGAGATCTGGGTGAATTGGGGGAAGTCCGACTCGCAGACCTCATGTGGTACTCCGATGCATCTGCAGCCAGCGTGATTGCATCGTTGTTTCGAGCAGCCTGGCGACTCTGTCACTTTTGGTTCCCGGATAGCCCAAGATCAGGTGAAGATGCCCTGAACCCGCAAGACACTGTGACCAGCCTCCATCAACCGAAGCCAAAAAGTTTCATCTCAAGCCCAGCTGGGCAGCTGGGCATTCAATCCGGGACCCACGCCTGCTGCTTTAATTTAGGAAAGCAAATGCAAAAGCGCACGTGGAAAAGCCAAGCATGCACGGCCATGCGCTTGGTAGGCTTCACATCTGCGCCTTGCTTTGCTTCGATCTTCTCAGTCGGCATTTTTTGTGGTAAGATGCGTCTGGCACCTCCTCGGGACGCGCTTGTGTTGAGGTGTCCATGCAGGGGAGAGTGAGGCGATTGGGCTCACGGGACCGCGCCGGTTGAAGGCGTTAGGCCACAAGCCCCCAAAACCGCACTCCGGCCACGCGGCCCCAAGTCTTTGGCTCAGAAGGCAAAAGGTTCCACCAGCTCAGGCAGGGCAAAGTTTCGGGAAGAATGGCACGACGCGTTCTTGTGGCTTTCGTTGGCTCGCGTGGAGACAACCAGCCCTACATCGTCATGTGCAAGGTTCTCAGAGATGCCGGCTATAGCGTTCTCGCTTGCGGCGATGAGGAGACCCTTCCCATGGCCGAGACCCTGGACATTCCCTTCCGCGTCGTGATGCGCAGTACCCGGGAGGTTTGCCAGACCCCAGCATTCTCCAAGGCGATGGAGGAGGGAAGCTTCAGCAAAATGTTTGAGGAGGTGGCAGCGAAACAGGCAACCTCGGAAGCAATCCGGGAGAGATGCCATTGCTTATACGAGGCGGTTCTCGAGTTCAAGCCCGATCTCATCCTCTTCAACCAGCTCCAGATGTGCAGCGCGCTGGCCTTGAGCGTTGCGCTCCGGATTCCCGCAGTCTTGACGCTCTTGGCTTCTGGGCATGTGGCCTGCCGTTCGTATTCGCCGATTGCGGGCATTGTTGGGACGGGTCTTCAGGCCAGCTTCATGTGGTACTTTCTAGAGAAGATCCTGCTGGGGAACTGGTTGAAGCAAGATGGGCCCGTGTACGAGAAGCTTCTCCAGCGGCCGCTTCGCGACTTTGCTCCGAACATTCGAGACCTTCTCAACGTCAAATGCTGCCGACCCATCTTCCGCGTGGCCGTCATGGAAACGGCTGCGTATCACCAGCCGATCCCAGCGGAGTTCAGCAGCAACATCATACGCGTGGGACCCATGCTGCCCAACAAGGAGACTCAGACCGGCTCTGAGTTCGGATCGGACATGTTTGCTACCATGGAGTCTTTCTTGGAGGGCGGGGAGGCCCCAGTTTACTTTGGGTTCGGCTCGATGATCGCCCGTGATTCCAAGTTCATGACCCTTCTGTGCCTGCGAGCTCTCCAGCGCACCGGTCTTCGTGGGATCTTCTGCGCAGCATGGTCAGACATGTCGTTGGATCTGGTGGAAGGGGAGCCGGATGCGGAGGCGCTGCGAGCTTACTGCGAGAACAGGGCTCTGTTCATGAAGTACGCGCCGCATGGAGTGCTCTTCCCACGCTGCTGCGCCATCGTCCACCACGGTGGCGCAGGCACCACGAACGCCTCGGTGAGGTCTGGTGTGCCAACAGTGATTCTCCCCATTTGCTTCGACCAGCCTGAACACGCGGAGCGCATCAACCGCCTTGGCCTAGGCGTGGGCCTGAAGACCATGTTCGAGCTCCAGCCCTCCGACGTCGCCGAGGCCATCCAAAAGTGCGTCAACAACCAGGAGATCTGCAGCAAAGTCCGCGAAGCTGCGGCCATCATGGACAAGGAGAATGGTCCGGCCGAGATCGTCGACTTCGTCGACAACTACTTCAAGCAGTTCGTGGAGACAGGCCGCCACCTGAAGATTCAGGACTACTGGCGCACAAGGTCCCGAAGCTACTCTTTGTCCTCGTGCCTGTTGGCTTGCTTACCCTGCCCATGAGGAGACACACTTCACAAATCGCCGACAAGCTTGGTGAACTTGCGAGCCTGGTGCATTTCCGAAATTAAAGGCAGGAGGCTTTTTCGCAGCCCTACAGGACAAAGCCCTAGCACCTGAAACCAGTAACTTTGCAAGCATGGAAGAGGCCTCCCGATTGTTTTCTCTTGGCTAGATCGGAGTTGGGCACGGACTTTCAAATCATTATCATTCTTTACGGCTTCTGTTTCGGGGGTGTGGTGCAGTTCCTGCGGTACAGTTCCTAGATCCGGGGTCACTTACAATTTCATTCTTCTTGGCAAGGGCTGGGGGCCCAGCCGTCTTTTTGCCCAATGACGATCCCTTCTGCCAGTGCACGCGGCGTGGTTAGAGAATGGCTCAGCTTGCTCGCAGACCCCACGCCGTTAACCTGATACCCCAAGCCCCCGAAACCCCTAAACCCTGAACAACGCTAAGCCCTAAGCCCTAAACCCTAAACCCTAAAGCCTAAACCCCAACTCTAAACCCTAAACCCTAAGCCCCAAAGGCCTGCCAAAGGCAAGGGCCGAGTTTTGAGGCCGCTCATCGTTTTGCCTCTCGAGGCTGTACAGCAGACCACCAATACACTCAGATCTGGAGGTTTAGGGTTTAGGGTTTAGGGTTAGGGTTTAGAGTTTAGGGTTTAGGGTTTAGGGTTTAGGGTTTTAGGGTTTTAGGGTTTTAGGGTTTAGGGTTTAGGGTTTAGGGTTTACGGTTTAGGGTTTAGGGTTCAGGGTTCAGGGTTCAGGGTTAGGTCCATAGAGAGAAGGTCGACGCGCTTGGAGATTTGGGTGCATTGGGGGAAGTCCGACTCGCAGACCTCATGTGGTACTCCGATGCATCTGCAGCCAGCGTGATTGCATCGTTGTTTCGAGCAGCCTGGCGACTCTGTCACTTTTGGTTCCCGGATAGCCCAAGATCAGGTGAAGATGCCCTGAACCCGCAAGACACTGTGACCAGCCTCCATCAACCGAAGCCAAAAAGTTTCATCTCAAGCCCAGCTGGGCAGCTGGGCATTCAATCCGGGACCCACGCCTGCTGCTTTAATTTAGGAAAGCAAATGCAAAAGCGCACGTGGAAAAGCCAAGCATGCACGGCCATGCGCTTGGTAGGCTTCGCATCTGCGCCTTGCTTTGCTTCGATCTTCTCCATCGGCATTTTTTGTGGTAAGATGCGTCTGGCACCTCCTCGGGACGCGCTTGTGTTGAGGGGTCCATGCAGGGGAGAGTGAGGCGATTGGGCTCACGGGACCGCGCAGGTTGAAGGCGTTAGGCCACAAGCGCCCAAAACCGCACTCCGGCCACGCGGCCCCAAGTCTTTGGCTCAGAAGGCAAAAGGTTCCACCAGCTCAGGCAGGGCAAAGTTTCGGCAAGAATGGCACGACGCGTTCTTGTGGCTTTCGTTGGCTCGCGTGGAGACAACCAGCCCTACATCGTCATGTGCAAGGTTCTCAGAGATGCTGGCTATAGCGTTCTCGCTTGCGGCGATGAGGAGACCCTTCCCATGGCCGAGACCCTGGACATTCCCTTCCGCGTGGTGATGCGCAGTACCCGGGAGGTTTGCCAGACCCCAGCATTCTCCAAGGCGATGGAGGAGGGAAGCTTCAGCAAAATGTTTGAGGAGGTGTCTGCGAAACAGGCAACCCCCGAGGCAATCCGGGAGAGATGCCATTGCTTATACGAGGCGGTTCTCGAGTTCAAGCCCGATCTCATCCTCTTCAACCAGCTCCAGATGTGCAGCGCGCTGGCCTTGAGCGTTGCGCTCCGGATTCCCGCGGTCTTGACGCTCTTGGCTTCTGGGCATGTGGCCTGCCGTGCGTATTCGCCGATTGCGGGCATTGTTGGGACAGGTCTTCAGGCCAGCTTCATGTGGTACTTTCTAGAGAAGATCCTGCTGGGGAACTGGTTGAAGCAAGATGGGCCCGTGTACGAGAAGCTTCTCCAGAGACCGCTTCGCGACTTTGCTCCGAACATTCGAGACCTTCTCAACGTCAAATGCTGCCGACCCATCTTCCGCGTGGCCGTCATGGAAACGGCTGCGTATCACCAGCCGATCCCAGCGGAGTTCAGCAGCAACATCATACGCGTGGGACCCATGCTGCCCAACAAGGAGACTCAGACCGGCTCTGAGTTCGGATCGGACATGTTTGCTACCATGGAGTCTTTCTTGGAGGGCGGGGAGGCCCCAGTTTACTTTGGGTTCGGCTCGATGATCGCCCGTGATTCCAAGTTCATGACCCTTCTGTGCCTGCGAGCTCTCCAGCGCACCGGTCTTCGTGGGATCTTCTGCGCAGCATGGTCAGACATGTCGTTGGATCTGGTGGAAGGGGAGCCGGATGCGGAGGCGCTGCGAGCTTACTGCGAGAACAGGGCTCTGTTCATGAAGTACGCGCCGCATGGAGTGCTCTTCCCACGCTGCTGCGCCATCGTCCACCACGGGGGCGCAGGCACCACGAACGCCTCGGTGAGGTCTGGTGTGCCAACAGTGATTCTCCCCATTTGCTTCGACCAGCCTGAACACGCGGAGCGCATCAACCGCCTTGGCCTAGGCGTGGGCCTGAAGACCATGTTCGAGCTCCAGCCCTCCGACGTCGCCGAGGCCATCCAAAAGTGCGTCAACAACCAGGAGATCTGCAGCAAAGTCCGCGAAGCTGCGGCCATCATGGACAAGGAGAATGGTCCGGCCGAGATCGTCGACTTCGTCGACAACTACTTCAAGCAGTTCGTGGAGACAGGCCGCCACCTGAAGATTCAAGACTACTGGCGCACAAGGTCCCGAAGCTACTCTTTGTCCTCGTGCCTGTTGGCTTGCTTACCCTGCCCATGACGAGACACACTTCATACTTCGCCAACAAGCTTGGTGAACTTGCGAGCCTGGTGCATTCCCGAAATTAAAGGCAGGAGGCTTCCTCACAGCCCTATATGGTTACGCCCTATAGGCCCTTTAACCAGTACTGTTGCAAGCATGGAAGAGGCCTCCCGATTGTTGTCAAATTTTCACTCGGCTAGATCGGAGTTGGGCACGAACATCCAAATTATGGCTTCTTTTCAGGTTTCTGTTTCGGGGGCGTGATACAGTTCCTGCGGTGCAGTTCCTAAATCTTGGGTCGGCCGTCTTTTTGCCCAATGACGATCCCTTCTGCCAGTGCACGTGGGGTGGTCAGAGAATGGCTCGATGTAGTGGTAGCTTGCTCGCAGACACCACGCCGTTAACCTGATACCCCAAGCCCCCGAAACCCTAAACCCTGAACATCGCTAAGCCCTAAAGCCTAAACCCTGAACAACGCTAAGCCCTAAGCCCTAAACCCTAAACCCCAAACCCTAAAGCCTAAACCCCAACTCTAAACCCTAAACCCTAAGCCCCAAAGGCCTGCCAAAGGCAAGGGCCGAGTTTTGAGGCCGCTCATCCGTTTTGCCTCTCGAGGCTGTAGAGCAGACCACCAAGTCACTCAGACCTTAGGGTTTAGGGTTTTGGGTTTTGGGTTTAGGGTTCTAGGGTCTAGGGTCTAGGGTTTAGGGTTTAAGGTTTAGGGTTTAGGGTTCAGGGTTATAGGGTCTTGGTGCACGGAAAGCAGTTCGGATCACATGGAGATTTGGGTGAATTGGGGGAAGTCTGACTCGCAGACCTCATGTGGTACTCCCAAGCATCTGCAGCAGGAGTGCTTGCATCGTTGTTTCGAACAGCCTGGCGACTCTGTCACTTTTGGTTTCCGGATATAACCCAAGATCCGCTGAATGTGCCCTGAACCCACAGAACACTGTGACCAGCCCCAATCAACCGAAGCCAAAAACCTTCATCTCAAACCCAGCTAAGCATTCAATCCGGGACCCACGCCTGCTGCTTCAATTCAGGAAAGCACATGCAACAGCGCACGTGGAAAAGCCAAGCATGCACGCCAACGCACCCGCCCCCCCGCCCCCATCACACGACCCTGAACCCGAAACCCTGAACCCTAAACCACCCTCAGCCTAAAACATGCAGGAGACGGAGGCGCCAGCCGATCAGGCAGACTTTGTACTCACTTGTCGGCGGGGACCGGGGGGGGGTGGTGTGTTTAGGGTTTAGGGCTTGGGTGTAGGCTAGGGTTTAGAGTTCAGCGTTTAGGGTTTAGGGCGTGCCTGACTTAAGCTACCAGAATAAGAGTACTGTAGCATACTGTCGTATTTATACTACCTGACCTTGCATCAGATCTAGGGTTAAGGATTTTGGGTAAAGCTTAAACCCTAAACCCTAAACCCGAAACCCTAAACCCTAAACCCTGAACCCTAAACCCTAAACTCTAAGCCCTAACCCCAAATCCCAAACCCCATGCCCCAAGTTTTGGGACTTCTCCGCTTGTCTGCCAGGCCAGCCCGCCCGAGCCAAGTAGCGGCTGGTGCACCCAAAGCTAAGGTCCAGCCGCGGGTTGACCTTTTTTGGGGGTTTAGGGTTTAGGGTTTTAGGGTTTAGGGTTTAGGGTTTGGGGTTTAGGGCTAGGGTTTAGGGTTTAGGGTTAAGGGCTAAGGGTGTAGGGTTTAGGGTTTAGTTTTCAGGCCCGGTGGGTCGCCCGTGCCCTGTTGTTTGAATTCTCTTATGCTCCGCTTTTGCGCCGGAAACACACACGAGAGGCCAAGCCGAAAGAGTAGTATGAAGGGTTTAGGGCTTAGGGTTTAGGGCTTAGGGTTTAGGGTTTAGGGAGGGGCCTTAACAATTAGAATAGGGTTTTGGGGGTAATTAGTATATTTATAAATAGACATCATAAGGAAATATTCTTAGTAGTCCTTCCGAGCCCTAATAGGCCTCATTGGTTTGTTTTGTATGCCCCTCTGAACCAAAAAGGTCCCGTTTTCCTCGGTTGCTCTTGCGTAGCTGAGGTCCTAAACCCTACACCCCACACCCTAAACCCTAAACCCTAAACCCTAAATCCTGAACAAACCGCTGCTCCCACCCTCAATGAGTTTCGGACTGCGGCCGATGGGCCACCCTCAACCCGAGGCCCCCAACCCCCGGGCCCTACATACAGAAGAGATTGATCATTATGAACTTTCGGTTTTAGGGTTTAGGGTTTAGGGCTTTGGGGGTAGGATTTCAGGGTTTTAGGGTTTGAGGATTTCAGGGTTTTGGGGTTTTAGGGTTTGAGGAGGGTTTTGGGGTTTGGTTTTGAAGGTTTCAGGACTCGAGGTTTTTTTGAAGCCTAGAGCCTACCCGGACGAGGTCTAAACCTTGAGCTTCGGGTTTTTTTAAGGCTTCTAGGGTTTAGGAGCGCCTCGTATTCCAAACCTCAAGCCTTCTCAGGGGATGATGGCACTTGGCCTGCGTGTCGCATTTCGGCTGAAGTTGTCTAGCAGATAGGGGACACGAAGGGGGCCAAGATTCTTGCCACTCCCACACTACAGCCGTACACAGCAGAGGACGCACGTAGGAGCTTTAGGAGCTACACTCCGACGTCGACACCTCAACCAAGGAGTTTCAGAAGCTCGCAGATCGAGTGTTGTGCCCTCCGGGGGACCGGCGCAGAACCCCAATCAGACTCGCACCTGGGCGTTCACCCCACCCCCAAGCAAGCCGACAAGGAGACTCAAGCGGCACAAGCCAACCCTGCAGCAGCCAGCACAGCAACTTTTTTTCGCAAGTTCGTAGGCTCGGCCCCCCAAAGACCGGGTGAGGGGCGAGGCCCCGCCCCGGACTCGACAGCATGGAGCCAAACTCTCTCCCGAATGCGGCGAATGTGCCAGAGCCGACCGAGCCGCCACCGGAGGGGCAGGGAGCCCAGCTTTCGGGTTGAGAGTTTGGGGGTTTAGGGTTTAGGGCTTAGGGTTTAGGGTTTAGGGCTTAGGGTTTAGGGTTTAGGGTTTAGGGCTTGGGGCTTAGGGTTTAGGGTCTATAGGGTTTAGGGTCTATACGGTTTAGGGTGTATAGGGTTTAGGGTTTAGGGCTTAGGGTTTAGGGTTTAGGGTTTAGGCTGTCCCACAAGGGCATCTACATGAAGGGCTGAGGCTGAATTAGGGGTTTGGGTTGTTGGAGAGTTTACGTTTCAGGGTCGTGGGGTTCGGGTCAGGCCCCGTTCGGGCCTCAAGGTTTCTGTGAGTTTGGGGTTTGGGGTTTAGGGTTCTAGGGTCTAGGGCTTAGGGAAGCTACATGGCTCCTTAGCAAGGTCCCCTCGCCTGCTGTGCACGCTTCTGAGGGGTACATAAGGGTCCCCCACTTCAGGGCCCATAGAAAAATGATCGTAGCCAATCGTTGCAGCATCAACCGACGTGTTGTCCACGATGCTCCAGGGAGCCCCCCCATTCCGGTACCCTAAGCCCCAAATACCTAAACCCTTGTCGAGGAGCATAGTAGGGTTTAGGGTTTAGGGTTTAGGGTTTAGGGTTTAGGGCCTGTGGGTAGAGCTCTGAACTTGCCTAAGCTTGCGAAGGTTCCTCCGCACCTCCTCCTCGGGTGACGCCCTCGGACGGATCCGCCGCTTGTGGCTGTCATGGGCTTGAGGGAGAAGGGTTCAGGGTTTAGGATTTAGGGGGCTTAAGTTGTGTAACAGTTGTGAAAGCATCATGGCTTGAAAGGCCTGGTTTCCTCAAAAAAACGGATAAGCCGAGTCCACCGACCCTAAACCCTAAACCCTAAACCCTAAACCCTAAACCCTAAACCCTAAACCCTAAACCCTAAACCCTAAACCCTAAACCCTAAACCCTAAACCCTAAACCCTAAACCCTAAACCCTAAACCCTAAACCCTAAACCCTAAACCCTAAACCCTAAACCCTAAACCCTAAACCCTAAACCCTAAACCCTAAACCCTAAACCCTAAACCCTAAACCCTAACCCTAAACCCTAAACCCTAAGCCCTAAGCCCTAAACCCTAACCGGACATGGTGAGTCGGGCTCGCGTTTGTTTCGGTTTGGGACGTTGGGACGTGTGGGTCTGAGTCCAAGTGCCAATGATACATGTCGCGGCCGGAGGTGCTGTGCTTCTACGGTTTAGGGTTTAGGGTTCAGGGTTCAGGGTTTAGGGTTTAGGGTTTAGGGTTTAGGGCTTTAGGGTTTTAGGGTTTTAGGGTTTAGGGATGTAGGCTTCCCAGGTATACAGAGTGTCGCTGTTGATCTCATGGCCGTATGATTCACCTTCCTAAGCCCTGATTTCTCCTAAGCCCCAATATCCGCGGTTCTATTTCTCAACCCTGCATCTCAACCTCAAATGCTTCCGAAACCCCAAAAAAAGCTGAACCCCTAAACCCTAAACCCTAAACCCTAAACCCTAACCCCTAACCCCTAACCCCTAACCCCTAACCCCTAACCCCTAACCCCTAACCCCTAAACCCTAAACCCTAAACCCTAAACCCTAAACCCTAAACCCTAAAGGTCCGAGGTGCCTCCACAAACTGCAGCAGACCTTTCGCAACCTTCAACCCTCAACCCGAAGCCTTTGTGGCTTAGGACTTTAGGTAATGTGGGGTTTAGGGTTTAGGGGTTTAGGGGTTTATGGGGTTTAGGGTTTAGGGTTTAGGGGTTTGGGGTTTAGGTGTTTTGGGTTTTAGGGTGTTAGGGGTGTTACAGCAGGTTTTTCGAGGTTTGTGCCGCTTGGGGGTTGTAGGAGGTTTTACCGTAGGATTTCGGGTTTCGGGTATTAGGGTTCATGGCTGTACGGTTTAGGTTTTAGGGGGTTTCGGGCTTAGGGGTTGAAATCTGGGTCTCGGCCCTCCCCAACCCCACCTTGAACCCTAAACCCTAAACCCTGTAACCCTAAACCCTGTAACCCTAAACCCTAAACCCTCAACAGGCTACGACTTCGAGGACGAGCTGAAGGTCGATGGCATGCCTGGCACCTAGCGGACGCAATTGGGGTCGGAAGAATTACTCATAGCATTCCCTTATGGTCCCTCTAGGGCTTACGGCTTAGGGTTTTGGGTTCAGTATACGATAATAACCCCAAAGCCCTATTCTAATTATTCAGGCCCCTATGTTGGGTTGAGGGTTAAGAGCCAAGGGTTTGAGGCTGAGGGTGTAGGGTTTCGGGTTTCGGGTTTCGGGTTTCGGGTTTAGGGTTTAGGGTTTAGGGTTTAGGGTTTAGGGTTTAGGGTTTAGGGTTTAGGGTTTAGGGCAGCTGGCCAAGATATGGGGTCTACCCGCAGAGACCCAAAATCTTGAAGCCCTAAAGCCCTTCTTCGGGTCTCCCTCTGCATATAAGGGAGTCTACGAAGATTGGGCACCCACACCCCTCTAAACCCTGAACCCGAACCCCCAAACCCCAAACCCAAACCCCAAAACTCCAAACCCTCATCCCCAAACCCCAAACCCTCAACCCTCATTTTCGACCAGCCCCGGTTGACGTGGCTTTTCCCGACCTTTGGGAGGGGTTCCGAGTTTTAGGGCTTGGGGGGGTTTGGGGCATGTAGAATTTAGAGCCCCTAAACCCCTCAACCCTAACCCTAAACCCTAAACCCCTAACCCCTAAACCCGACAAACCCCCAAGCCCTACACCCCCAACACCCCCAAACCCACTGGCTGGTTGTTTAGGGAATGAGGGAATGAGGGCCCTCTATATACCCTAAACCCTAAAAACCCTAAACCCTAAACCCTAAAATAGCCCTCATTCCCTACTAAGAACCAGGGGTTAACCCTGTAGGGCGCAGAAATAGGCGTGGAAATCCTTGCCGACCCGATGCTTCCGGAGCCGAATCCGCCCTTCGGGTTTCGGGTTTAGGGTTTAGGGTTTCGCACCTTCAACCGGAACAAGCAACCCGACTTGAATCTGCTCAGAACTCCTGCTTTTGGGTTTAAAGTTTAGTAGGTTCAGGCCCTTTGTGAATGAGACTGCTTAAGTAACACCGCACATGCGCCTTGCGTGCTCGAGAATGGTTTCTGGATTCGGGAGCATGCAATGAAGCTTCTGGCCCAGGCGCTCGATTCCTTATCGTTCCCGCCCAAGCCATCGAAGTCGCACGCCCAGTTTTTTTTTTTTTTTTTTTTTTGGGGGGGGGGGGGGTGTGGTGGTTTTTCGTTTATGTTTTATGTTATTATTAAATATTGTTATTATTATATTTGTTATTACTGTTATTATTATTATTATCATCATCAGTTGTATAAATATTATTACTGTTATTATTCTATTTTTTTACTATTGCTTTATTATTACTACTATTCTTATTACTATTCTTATTATTATTATGATTATCATTATTTTGTTATTGTTGTGATGATGATTATTATTATATTGTTATTTTCATTATTATTGTTATTATTGTTATAATATGGTTATTATCATTATTTATTATTATTATTATTGTTATCACTATTATTGTTTTTGTTGTTGTTATTTGTTTAGCTTTTTTGTTTGGGGGGGGGGTCTTGGGTGTCTTTGGTGTTTGAGAGGCTTGAGGGCGCTAAAGTTAAGGTACGAGATGGGGTTTCGTGTTTGGGGTTGAAGTGCAGGCCTACATTAGCAGACCAGGTATCGCAAGGGGGTTTTGACGCACAAGCTGCACCGACGCGCTAGGGCACAAGATTGAAGCCCCGAAAGACCAAACTTCAGACCCAGAGGCGTCCCAGAAAGGTCAAGGGCTTGCATTCCTCAACGCCGAACCCGACGTACCGACACCGAACATGATGTGCATCGTCAAAGGACCTGAGGTGTCAGTCACCCAATCTTGAAGCCGTGAACTCTGAATTTCACCACCCTTAGGCCCACCTAAACCCTAAATCCTAAACCCTAAACCGTAAACCCTAAACCCTAAACCCTAAATGCTCCCTTCAAGGTCGGCCCAGCCATCACTCGAATATGGGCTCAGACGGGGAAATGGACAGGCCTGCGCCTCAACCCTTAGGGTTTAGGGTTTAGGGTTAAGGGTTTAGGGTTTAGGGGCATAAAAGAGCACCAAGGGGTTACATAAGGTAACATTATCTCTTCATTTGTTTCCGGCTGCACAACATGAAGGATAGGCCAACAGCAAGAAATCTTCACCCGCCTCTGAGCGGATGTAGCCTGGCATGGAACTCCCTCAGAAGCATAAGAACCAAGAACCCTAAACCCTAAACCCTAAACCCTAAACCCTAAACCCTAAACCCTAAACCCTAAACCCTAAACCCTAAACCCTAAACCCTACACCCTAAACCCTAAACCCTAAACCCTAAACCCTAAACCCTAAACCCTTGAAATGGGCTCGGAGATCCAGACCCTCAAAGGGGTCTGGGGTTTAGGGTCCAGTGGTAAACTCGAGCAATCTCCTATTTGCTTAAGAACACCCCTAAAAACACAAAAGATAAGAACTCCCCATATGACCCGAAAAAGAAGAATTTTCCAATTTGTTGAGGGTTCTTAAGCAAGTAGTAGTACCCTAAGCCCTAAATCCTAAGCTCTAAACCCTCAACCCTAACCCTAAACCCTAAGCCGTCCCTGTCTTTGCAGGGTAGCCAAACAGAAGTACAGAAAAGGTTTGCCGCTGGTCGATCTGAAAGTTCGAAGAATGCTTTTAGGCTTTAGGCTTTAGGGTTCAGGGTTTAGGGTTTAGGGAGCCCCCCCCCCCCCCCCCCCCTCCCCCCCTTTCCCCTTGCACCACATCCCCCTGCCCCTTTACTCGATCTGCCAGATCCTAAACCCCAAGCTTTAAACTCAACACCCCAAGCCCCAAACCAAAAGCCCTTCGATGCCAAACACTACAACCTCAAACCGTCCAATCCCCAAGCAGAAAATGCTCTATAGCAAACCCTAAACCTCAAGAAAAAAAACAAATGTTTCCCCCAAAACCCTAAACCCTAAACCCTAAACCCTAAACCCTAAACCCTAAACCCTAAACCCTAAACCCTAAACCCTAAACCCTAAACCCTAAACCCTAAACCCTAAACCCTAAACCCTAAACCCTTTAAACCCTAAACCCTAAACCCTAAACCCTAAACCCTAAACCCTAAACCCTAAACCCTAAACCCTAAACCCTAAACCCTAAACCCTAAACCCTAAACCTCTCGAAGGAGTCCTAGCCTTGGGAACATAGATGTGCTGCTGAATGGCCTGAAGGACTCTGGGGCGAATGCGCGGGTTTTGTAGGGTTTAGGGTTTAGGGTTTAGGGTTTAGGGTTTAGGGTTTAGGGTTTAGGGTTTAGGGTTTAGGGTTTGAGGGTTTAGGGTTTAGGGTTGGGGGGGGGGGGGTGGGCGAAGGTTTTGAGGCAGCTGAACATTGAGAGCCGGTTGTTTTTTGTTCTGTTTAATTTTGGGTGGAGGGGGGGGGGGGGGCGGCCGGAAAACACTTACAATTTTCTTGGGGCTAACCGTGTGTCGGGGCCGGGTTCCGCTTGAACCAGAAACCCTAAACCCTAAACCCTGAAGGCTAGAAGCAAAAAACCCAACGACTCCGAAAAAAGCCAGAGAGAGATCTGCTCCTGCCAGTAAAAACCCTCTTAGCCTTACGTCAAAAGCCCTCCAATTGAAACCTTTTACTAAGAAAGGCTCAACTCAAGGGCGGAGGCCCTCAGCTTTCCCCGTAATTCTCAAGCAGTTTTAGTATTGGGCTGGGCGCCGGGGTCGGGGATAGTGATGCTCATAGTTAGGGAGGCCATCGGTACGAGGTGCAATTAGGATGGATTAGGGCTCAGGTTTCAGGGTGTAAGTTTGCGGTCCATGGATAGTCCGCTATCGTTATCTACTTATAGCCCCGGCTAGAACTTCCCATCAACCGAAAAGACGGATTTGCAAGCCAGGCTGAACTTTGAGGAGATGTTTTTTGTTTTTTTTCTCTGGGGTTTAGGGCTTAATTTATGGTTGAGGGCAAATGCAAATGTTTCCTCTTTTCATGGCATTGCGCACCGCGATACAAACTATGCTGATGTGCCCATGATGACGCCAATGCACCGGAGTGACATGGGTTTAGGGTTTAGGGACAATCGGGTTCCCATTATGGGGGTGCAGTCGAGGGAGAATCCGCTCTATTTGGGGGTATACACGGTATGAGACGGACATGTTGCACCCTCCCCCTCCCCCCCCCCCCCAAACCTTAAGCCACAAATCCTAAACCTAATGTGTTCCTGCCTGGCTGCGTTGTAAGGCGGCGGAGTGCAGGAAGTGTCATGCAAGTAGTGCCATTTTTGACATCTGAAACCAATCAAAGAAGCTCACCCCTGCGGAGCCAAGGGTGTTTTAGGGTGTAGTGTTTAGCGCTTTTAGGGTGTAGGGTTCAGGGCTTTCGTTTTTTTTAGGGCTTTAAGGGTTTCTTATGGTTGTAGGGTTGTTAGGGATGTTGGGGTTTTTAGGGTTTCAGTTGTTTTTGGTTTTTGAGGCAGACCTAGCGGGAGACTAGTCCGCCATCGCCCCTCAACCCTTAAACCCTTACACCCTTAAACCCTCAAACCCTCAAACCCTTAAACCCTTAAACCCTTAAACCCTTGAACCCTTGAACCCTTAAACCCTTAAACCCTTAAACCCTTAAACCCTTAAACCCTTAAACCCTTAAACCCTTAAACCCTCCCTCAAACCCTTCAAACCTTCAAACCCTTAAACCCTTGAACCCTTAAACCCTTAAACCCTTAAACCCTTAAACCCTTCAACCCAAAACCCTAAACCCTAAACCCCTAAACCCTAAACCCTAAACCCTAAACCCTAAACCCCTAAACCCTAAACCCCAAATATGCCAGGATGTTCCGATGGCGGTGAGGCAGATCAAGAAGGCCATCATAAAACTGCAGTCTCAAAGCGCCTGGGCCGCGGTTTAGGGTTTAGGGTTTAGGGTTCAGGGTTCAGTGGCCAGTGCGATGCAGTATTTTCAGTATTTTGCAGAGTGACACCCTGCAGCATTTCCCGTGTAAAAAAGAACACCTGGACCACCATTCATAGAAAGGCGGCATTTGATTTACGATGGCCCGGTGTCGCAACCGAAGCGTCAGAGTGAACAATGAAACCCCAATCCCTCAACCCTAAACTCTAAACTCTAGAACCTAAACCCTAAACCCTAAACCCTAAACCCTAAACCCTAAACTCCTCAACTCCTAAAGCTCCCAAACCCTAAGCCCTGAACCCCTAAGGCCTAGCGCCCGCAGCTCCGGGACCCTTGCGACTCCTTAGGCTTGAAAGCTCCGCTTCGTCTGGAAGCCTAGGGTTTAGGGTTTAGGGTTTAGGGTTTAGGGTTTAGGGTTTAGGGTTTAGGGTTTAGGGTTTAGTCGAGTCGGGATGAGCGCTGTGATCTATAGTAATCCCACAGGATCCCTAGTTGACACCTGCATCCTGTGGGCTTAGGACTTAGGGTTTGGGGTTTAGGGTTTAGGGTTTCGGCTGGTTGAAACCCACAAGAGGAGCTGCATTCTGTGGGTTTCAGTGGCATCGAGCCGACCATGGATCGGAGAAGGGTGTGGGGATTTTAGGATAGGGTTTCGCAGCCGGCCGGACCTCCGCAGGAGTGCCTTGACCAACCGCATGAAGCCAGAGCTTCTAAATTCCGAAGGCCCTGGCTCTATATCCCCCTTGGGAATATTTTTTCTTTTTGTTTATATTAAAAAAACACAAGCGGATATTAACAATGTCATTTTTACTAAGGTTAATGGGGAGTATAGGGCTGGTGGCAGAGACACAAAGGCGGAGGTACGGCAAAAGCTAGATCGCCGTGTCCGCTCCCTGTCTGTACCGTTGCGGTGGAGGCGGCAGAGGGTGAACGCAAGCACAGGCCAAGCAGCGAAACGTGCGCCAGAATGAACCCTAAACTGGGTCGTTGCTGATAATCATCTTGCATTTTTATGACTAATTACTTAAACCCAATGGGAAACAACAACGATCATGTAAAATTGGTACCCAAACCCTAAACCCTAAACCCTAAACCCTAAACCCTAAACCCTAAACCCTAAACCCTAAACCCTAAACCCTAAACCCTAAACCCTAAACCCTAAAACATAAACCCTAAACCCTAAACCCTAAACCCTAAACCCTAAACCCTAAACCCTAAACCCTAAACCCTAAACCCTAAACCCTAAACCCTAAACCCTAAACCCTAAACCCTAAACCCTAAACCCTAAACCCTAAACCCTAAACCCTCAACCCTAAACCCTAAACCCTAAACCCTAAACGCAGTAAACCCCCCAGAACCCGAAACCCCTCCAAGCCAAGGCGACGCGCTTCTGCAGGGGCAGACTGACAGCAGAAACGCGCTCTTGAGGCCGGTTTAGGGTTTAGGGTTTAGGGTTTAGGGTTTAGGGTTTAGGGTTTCAAAACCCTACACTACCAGGACCCGGAGTAGGCCCTTATTTCCTTTTTGTTAAGGTTGGGGTTCCCTTATAATCTCCTTAAAACCAAGAAGGGCACCCTTTTAACTTCTGGGTTACTCCTGGGTCGAGACTAAGGTGTAGGACTTGCTGCCCAAAACCCCTGAACCCCTCCTAAACCCCCACCTAAACCCCCTAAACTCTGACCCCTAAACCCTCTAAACTCTGCCCCCTAAGCCCCCTAAGCCCTCTAAACCCCCCAAACAACCAAAGCCCCCAAAGCCCCAAAAAAACCCGAGGTTCTCTAAATGCTGGTCGAGGCAGCCAAACAGGGACTGCTTGTCTGGGGTAAGTAGGGTAGAGAACGAGAGTTGTTTTTTTATCAAACACAACCTCAACTTAGGTCTAAAAGCCTGCACCCAAAACCGAAACCCGAAACACTACAAAAAACCAGAGCCTGGAATCCTTCCAGCAGAAGCCAAAATGAACAACACCTCTCTGCGAACTCCCATGTAGGTTGAGGCTTTATTTGGCATTCGGTTGTAGGAGTTGCCCTAGCAGCCTCAACCCCAAACCCGCCCCTAAACCCTATACTCTGAACCCTCAGGTCTGAACCCCCGCCCCCACCCCCCCCGCTACAACCGCTAAACCAAAGCCATAAACCCTAAGCCCTAAACCCTGAAAAGCCCTAAGCCCGAAGCCCTCAACCCTCAACCCTAAACCCCAAACCCCAAACCCTAAACCTAAACCCTAAACCCTAAACCCTAAACCCTAAACCCTAAACCCTAAACCCTAAACCCAAAACCCTAAACCCTAAACCCTAAACCCTAAACCCTAAACCCCGCCAGGCTCGAGGGCAGCCTGGCCTCCGCGGGTCAGGTCGCTGCAGCCAGCACCGTGGCTGCCGCGCCGAGGCGCTGCTTGGGGTTGAGGGGTTTAGGGGTTCGGGGGTTTGGGGTTTAGGGTTTAGGGTTTAGGGGTTTAGGGGTTTAGGGGTTTTAGGGTTTAGGGCTAGGGTTTAGGGTTTAGGGTTTTGGGTTTAGGGTTTAGGGTTTCGGGTTTCGGGATTGGGGCTGCGGCAAGCCTTGCTCCTGCTAGGGTCCAAACCTCCCTAACCCCAATCCCTAAACCCTAAACCCTAAACCCTAAACCCTAAACCCTAAACCCTAAACCCTAAACCCTAAACCCCAAACCCTAAACCCTAAACCCTAAACCCTAAACCCTAAACCCTAAACCCTAAACCCTAAACCCTAAACCCCTAAACCTAAACCAATCAACCCTAAACCCTAAACCCTAGTCCCCAAACCCCAAACCCCAAACCCCAAACCCTAAATCCTGAACCAGGTTCCCGGCTGCGAACCAGCCGCTGGTGGCCAGATCGATGGCCGCCTGGAAGCAGCCCTTCTGGGCTTCAAGGGTTTAGGGCTTTAGGGTTTAGGGGTTTAGGGTTTAGGGTTTAGGGGTTTAGGGGTTTAGGGGTTTAGGGGTTTAGGGGTTTAGGGGTTTGGGGGTTTGGGGGTTTAGGGGTTTAGGGGTTTAGGGGTTTAGGGGTTTAGGGGTTTAGGGTTTAGGGATTTAGGGGTTTAGGGGTTTAGGGTCTAGGGGTGTAGGGGTTTGGGGGTTTTGGGGTTTAGGGTTTAGGGGTTTAGGGTTCAGGGGTTTAGGGGTTAAGGGGTTTAGGGGTTTAGGGTTTTATGGTTTAGGGTTTAGGGTCTAGGCGTGTAGGGGTTTAGGGGTTTTGGGGTTTGGGGTTTAGGGTTTAGGGTGTAGGGGTTTAGGGGCGTAGGGGTTTAGGGTTTAGGGTTCAGGGTTTAAAGTTGTTTGGGCTCTGGGTTGTTTCAGGTTTGGGGCTTAAGTTTAGGGTTGATAATTTATAGTTTCTTTTTTTTGGGGAGGGGGCGTTAGGGTGCATGTCAGGGCTACGGGTTGTTTCAGGGGTTTCGGGGTTAGTTGTTGAGGGTTTTATGGGTTTAAGCCGTGAAGTTTCACAGCTGCACGCTTTTGCAGTTCGTCCCTGAGCCCTGCCTGTAGCTCTCCTTCCTGAGCGTTTTGGGTTTAGGGTTTAGGCTGCACTTTTTTTTGGCGTCTAGGTATCACCCAAAGAAGCTGTAGCTACATAGGGCTAAGACAAACCTCCAACAGCCCTAAGCACCCTACTTTTTGCTTAGGGTTTAGGGTTTCAAGGTTTAGGGTTTAGGGTTCAAACGTTTCCATCTTAAAGCGCGTCGGATACGGCGTCGGCATACTCTGCGGGAACGGGGATTCTGCGCGTGGGCACACTTATAGCTAGGTAGGCCCTGGGACATGTTACATTTTTCGTTTTGGGGTTTAAGAGGATCATATTCAGGAATGCTTCTCAGAGGGTTTTAATTATGGTCCATCCTGGTACAGGTATGCTCTGTAGGATTCTGTGCTGGGGATTTGGCACTCCAAAGATACTCCGCCGGATTCAGCGAGGATGGGCACGCACTTCAAGGGAATCTCTGCAGGATTCTCTGCAGGATTCTCTGCACAAGTCTCTGCAGGATTCTCTGAGAACGAGTGGGCTCCAGTGAGGTCCTGTGGGTTTAGGGTTTAGGGTTTAGGGGGTTCTCTGCAAGACTCTCCACGGGTGGGCACGCCGCGGGTACTCGACGACCTGCAGGATGCTCGGAGTGTGAGACCACTGCGAGATTTTGGGTTTGGTGTTGAGGGTTTAGGGTTTAGGGTTTAGGGTTTAGGGTTTGGGGTTTAGGGTTTAGGGTTTAGGGTTCAGGGATTCTCTGGGGTTGCGGGTGCCCTGCGGGAATCAAACTCTTTGCAAGACTCACTGGGGTGGGCCCTCCGGGATATTTTGCTGGATTGCCGGCGCACTCCCTAAACCCTAAACCCTAAACCCTAAACCCTAAACCCTAAACCCTAAACCCTAAACTTCCCTAAGCCCTATACTTAAACCCTAAACCCCAAACCCTAAACCCTAAACCCTATACGAGACATTTTAAAATACACCATCCTGGACACCAAGCGAGGAAAAAGTAGAATCCATCCCACGCACCGGTGGGCGGCCACTTAAAACCGACAGAAAGCCGCGCCCAAACTTCGAAGCATTAGCAAAGCACCATCACCATAGGCCCCGATGCCCCCAAACCCTGCACCCAAGCCCAGCCCCCAAACCCTAAGCCCCAAACCTTAAACCCCCAAATCCTAAACTCTAAACCCTAAACCCTAAACCCCCAACCCCTAAACCCCCAACTCCTAAACCCTAAACCCCCAACTCCTAAACCCCCAACTCCTAAACCCTAAACCCCAACTCCTAAACCCTAAACCCTAAGCCCTAAACCCTAAACCCTAAACCCCCAAAACTAACCCCGAAGCCCTCCTCCCATGAAAGCATCAGCCAGAGGCCCTCACGCGGCAGGCGTCGCGGGGAAACATGGACTCCCTGGACACCAAGGCGTCTGTGGGTCTTTTAGGGTTTAGGGTTTAGGGTTTAGGGGTTAGGATTTAGGGTTTAGGGTTTAGGGCTCAGGGTTGAGTTAGGGTTTGGGGTTTAGGGCCTACAGAGTTTGGGGGTTTCGTCGGTATCGTGCTTTCTGGTTTCGAAGGTTTCAGCCATGCAGGTGCTGGGGTGCCATGGAAGACCGTGTGATTTTCTTTTGTGTAGAAATGGTTTAGGGTTTAGGGTTTAGGTTTTTTAGGGTTTTGGGTAAATCCCCACAAAAGGCTTGTGATGTGGACTAACCCCGCGAAAATGTCCTTTGCACATTGCTGGGCCTTGTTCTCAGAGCCTGTGCGTTCCCCTAAGCCCCGCATCTCTGAATGACCCAACAAACCAGGGGGAGTAACAAGAAGGGGGTGAAGGTCTGACAAGGCTTTGACCAAGAGAATTGCCCTTAAACCTACCCAGTGCCCAGGGACCCTAAAAGCAGGCGCACACCTCAAGCCCTACCCAATAATCTCCAAGTACATCCCAAACCCCAAGCCCCGAAGTCCCAAACCCTAAGCCCTACACCCTAAACGCTACACCCTACACCCTACACCCTAAACCCTAGGCCCCAAGCCTCTCGACCCGGCTACACATGCAGGTGGAGACAAAAACGCTCGCCTTGCCACAAGATGCCAGCAGCACAAGCGCAGGCACTCAATTGAACTGTGTGTATATATATACATATATATATATATATGTATAATCTTTGTTTATCTACACATGTATATATAGGTAGATATACATATGTAAGCTAGACACTCTTTTTGTTTTTTTATTACACATTGTGTTATTAGTAGTAATTATTCTTCTTCTTATGTACAGGCACATATATATATATATATATACACATACATATCTACATATTAATGTCTATATTGATGTGTGTGTATATATATATATAGAGTGATAGACCCACCATGCATGCATGCAGACATACATACATACCTATACATATTTTGAGTTAGATAACTCTTTTTTCTGGGTGGGGCGAATCTAGAGGGAGTTTCAGTCTCCGAGTTTTTTCCGGGGGAGGGGGGGGAGGGTGCATTTTGGGGTTTAGAGTTGACATTCGGAGTTTGGGAGTTTGCGAGTTTTTTTTTTTTTGGGGGGGGGGGGGGTGGGTTTCTTTGTATATTTGTGGCTTTTCCTTTTTTGCTTCGGGGTGCCATTGGGTGGACAGGGCTGGTTTGGAAGGAACTTTGAAGTTTTGCTGGCCTTAGCCCCTGTATAGCCAACTCGCGGACATGTAAGTGTTATAAGAACCACACATTATAGGGTTCTTAAGGGAGGGGGTTCAAGGGTGGTAGGTAACCGAAGGTTTTTTTAGGGCTCCCTAAGCTTCCCTAAGGTTCCCCAGGTACCTACCCCCCTTGAACCTCCCTTCTTTAAGAACCCTATAAGCACAGCACGCCCGCTCAGCAAAGGGACCTTCCATAAACCCGCCTCTTTGGTTTAGGGTTTAGGGTTTAGGGGTTAGGGTTTAGGGTTTAGGGTTGAGGGTTTAGGGTTTAGGGTTCAGGGTTCAGGCTTCCCTTTCCAACACTTCCAACCCCGGAAGCTGGGCTCCCTAAAAACCCGAGGCTTCTAGGAAGGCCCTTGGGGTATTTTACGTTTTCCATGATTGGGTTTAACCCTAAACCCTAAACCCTAAAAGTTTTCAGGGCCACCCTAGGCTTGTAGGGTCCTTAAGGGAGCGGGATTGGGATGTTCCCCCTTGTACAAATAGCCCTTAATCCCTATACCCTAACCCCTAAACCCTAAACCCCCTCTTATAATCCCTATCAAGGACTGTTCGTATAAGGGGGAGCATCCCAACGTACAGGGTCCTTAAGGGGGAGGGTTCATGGGGGTAGGTACCTACAAATCCTACGGGAAGCTTAGGGACCATACGAAGTGGGGAGTATTTGGGAACCTTGGGTTAGACACCCCCCTTGAGCTGACACCCCCTCCCCTCCCTTAAGGACGCTATAAGAAGCCCAAGCCACGGACCCTTTTCCCTAAACTCTGAACCCTAAATCCCAAAGAAGCAGAGAGGGCCCCTGCAAATACCAGCAGGATCCATCTTCGCAAGCCTCTACCCTTAACCAGTTTAGCGCTTAGGGTTTATGGGGTTTAGGGTGCAGGGTTTAGGGTTTAGGGTTAAGGTTCTCATAGACGGTGTTCGGCGCAAGGTTGGATAGAAATTAAACCCTAAACCCAAAACCAGAACCCTAAACCCTAAACCCCAAACCCCTAAACCCTGCATTTTTGAAACCATCTCGTTTGCGGCGTCCTCCGGCAAAGGCATGATGGCGGCGATGCGGCGCACGAGCGTTGCCCTGGGGATGGGAGGCCCCTTCAAGGTATTAGGGTTCAGGGTTTAGGCTTTAGGGCTTAGGGCTTAGGGTTTAAGGTTTAGGGTTTCGGGTTTAGGGTTTCGGGTACCCTAAATGACCCTAAGCCCTGAACCCTCAACCCCCACAACCCAAAACCCAAAACCCTGAAGCCTGAATTCTTTGCTGCACCCACAAGCCCGTAGTTCGGGTGTTCCTAAACCTAAACCCTAAACCCTAAATCCCTAAACCCTAAAATTCGGGTCTAGGGTCAGATCGCGGCGCCTGGGGCCTCAAGGCTCAAAACGGGTTTAGGCTTTAGGGTTCAGGGTTCAGGGTTCAGGGTTCAGGGTTTAGGGTTTAGGGTTTAGGGTGTGAGCCCTGTTGAGGGCTTGAGGGTGCCCCACCTGAGAAGCAATAAAGCATGTGGGGGTTTGGGGTTTAGGGTTTAGGGTTCAGGGCTAGTTCTTTGGTGTTTCATCGCTTCTCGGGATTCTGGGGTTGAGGTCTTGGGGTTTAGGGCTTCAGACCCTAAACCCGAAACCCTAAACCAGGATTATTCCGCGCTTGAGTCGCCAAAGCCCTCAGCCCCCCTCCCCCCGCCCCGCAAATTGCGAGCCGCAGGCGCCATGCCAGTCTTCCACCGCCCTGCTGCCCAGCAGGCGGGAGTTTTAGACGACTGAGCGTTTAGGGTTTAGGGTTTAGGGTTTGGGGTTTAGGGTCGTCAACCCGAAACCCTCGAGCCATGTTGGGCGTGTGACTTTGCTTGGCTTTGCTGAGTTTCTTTTAGGCTTTTTTGGGACCAAGGTTTCAGGGGTTTAGGGTTAGGGTTGAGGTTTGAGGTTTGGGGTTTAGGGTTTAGGGGTTAGGGTTTAATTCAACATGCTGCCTTTGCCACTGTATGGTTCTGAGAGGAGTAGGGGCTTAGCTCTTGCCATTCTCCCGCCTGTTTGTTTGGTGGCTTGGCATCGTTTGTCACGCCATCTCCATACCAACTCCTTTTTTGGAGTAGGGCTAGGGTCCCAGAACCCTAAACCCTGAACCCTAAACCCTAAACCCTAAACCCTAAACCCCAAACCTAATCCCGACACCCCAAACTCCGCTCTCCGAGATTGCCGTGCCGCAAAGCACCCGACGCGCGTCTCTGGCTTTTAACAACAACGCGGCGGGCCCAGACTGCTTCAGTTTAAGAGCTTGCGGCCCGCATGTTCGGCAAGAGGCCTCGGCAACCCGAAAAGCCCAAGCCCTGAACCCCATAATTTCCCTAAACCTTAATCCCCTCCCACTAATACTAAAACACCCCGAATTTTAAAGATTGTTTTTCCCGAGCCCTTCCGGCACCCAGCCCAATACTAAACCTGTTTGAGAGTTAATTAGGGGGGGAGGGGTTCAGGGCCTTCGCCCGTGAGCTGAGCCATTAGGGTTTCAGGGTTTAGGGCTGAAGGCTGACAGGATTAGAATTCAGGGCTCAGGGCTTAGAGGGTTTAATTAGGGTTTAAACCCTAAGGCTAAACCCTAATGAACCCTAAACCCCAAGCCCTTCGGAATTCAGGTTTTAGGGGTTAGGTCCCCCCTAATTTTAAAATTTTTCGCGCCCTGGCGAATTTCAGATTTGGGGGGGGGGGGGGGGGGGATTTAGAATTAGGGGGAGGGGATTAAACCCTAAACCCTAAACCCCAAACATTCAAAACCCTAAGCCCTTGGCACTAGTCGTGCTAGAATAAAGGCCTCGCAATCCTCGAGTTGAGGCGAAACCTGGACAACCTAAACCCGAAACCCTAAAGCCTAAGCCCTAAACAAGCCAAAAGGGGTGGAGGGTTGAGTGTCTGAGGACAAATCCCAAAAGGCCGAGGCCCCATGGTCTTGAATGCCGTCACGCCTCATCCGGGCATAGGGTTTAGGGTCCAGGGCTTAGGCGTTTCGGGGTTTCGGGTTTACTGGTTTGGCGTTTATAGGGGTTTAGGAGCGAGCAAAACACCTGCATCTCGACATTGCCGTATACTGCAAGAGCCGGACTGACAGGTGCTTTGGAAGGCCCTGAACGAGCCCGACTTTGACGCTTCAAAAGGAATGCCACTGCGGCACTGTGTGGACTGGTTGCGCCGACCACTGTGATTGTGCCTTCGATGTGCTTGGAAGTAGATGCGAGGGCAGTACAGCTACCATCATGGAGGATAGTGCCTGATGAAGCGTATGCTGCTATGTGCAAGGAGCCATGGCGGAGGCATGCGATGCTTCCGGTTCTTGGTGTGAACTGCTACCTACAGCGGACCAATGCCTCAACCCTACAGCGGATCACTGCCTCAACGTGCAAGGACGCCCCCACGTGGGTTACCCTACGCCCGAAACCCTAAACACAAAGCCCTCAGCCCTAAGCCCTGAACGGAGTCACTACAGGATCCCATCACCTCTAGAGCGACTCCTAGCTTAAACAAGAACCAGGAACTGAACCTTCACCCACTCCAAGCACTGCTTCTTGTCGTCGTTTAGGGTTCAGGGTTTAGGTTTTAGGGCTAGGGTTCAGGAAGATCCCTCCCCACCGCCGCCAAAGCATAAGCCTTAGACACACGACAACCCGAAACCCGAAACCCTAAACCCTAAACCCTAAACCCTAAACCCTAAACCCTAAACCCTAAACCCTAAACCCTAAACCCTAAACCCTAAACCCTAAACCCTAAAACCTAAACCCTAAACCCTAAACCTAAAGCCAGCAACTCCGTTCCATGCCAAGGGCCCACCGCCGCTTCCTGTGGCAGTGCAGATGACGCCCATCATGCCGACTTTCCAAGAGGAGGAGGCAAGCCAAGCCTAGGGTTTAGGGTTTAGGGTTTAGGGTTTAGGGTTTTAGGTTTTAGGGTTCAGGGTTTAGGGTTTAAGCGTTTAGGGGTTTAGGGTTTCGGGTTTCAGGTTTAGGAGGCGCTGTAGCGCCTCAACTTTAGACTTTTCAAACCCGAAGCCCAACACACCCGTACAGGAGAATTCTGACGACGACTCCAGCCCACTTGGCTCGCCAGTCGCGAAGGTGCCCTGCGCGCGGCATTGAGGGTTACGGGGTTTTGGGTATAGGGTTTAGGGTTTAGGGTATAGGGTTTAGGGTTTAGGGTTCAGGGCACGGAGCTTTTTCGCAGGGTGCTTTTTTATGCATCTGAGGGTTTGACGGTTTGGGCTTCCAGGGCTTGAAAAGTTTAGGGGGCTGATAGGATGTAGGATGTTGGGTTTAGGGTTTAGGGCTTCGCGCTTAGCTATTGGGGCTACAGGGTTTGGGGGGGAGGAGGGGGGGCTGCTTGTTGAGGGTGTTGTAGTTGTAGGGTATAGAGCCACCGCCGTGTTCTGGGGGGTGGGGGTGGGGGGGCGGAGGGGTTGGGGCGGGGGAGGAGTTGTAATCTAGCATTTGCTGTAATTAGCCTTAAACCAGGCCGTGGGCCATCCCTAAACCCTAAACCCCAAATGCCCTGCGGCTCTTAAGGCATTTTCATGTGAGTAGTTCTCTTGATGAGGGGCCCCCTTGAGGTCCTTTGTATAGGTGTCGGGCTTAGGGTTTAGGGTTTCGGGTGGGGACCCGAAGAGAGATCTGACTTTTACAGAACCACTGCCGCGCCACGACACGTCATAGGCGATGCCAAAAGCGACGACCAAGAGGCGGTCACCGGCCGAGCCGTCGATTCAACGAGACCAGCCTACCTACTCGTACCGAGATAGCGGTCCGCCGGGACACCTTCCACAATTGTAGCTATAAGGGAGACACCATCTGAACCCAGAGCTGGCTGCATGCTGCTTGCTATGGGCGACTGTCAGGTCTCAGCTTCCCAAAAGCCCGAAAGACGCACCGGCTCCATAACCAGGACCCCAGCTGCGACATCGACCAGGATACCACCAAACACGCTGACCGCAGAGGGCAGGTTCTCATGGCAGGAAACCCCGCATTCACCAAGCATCGGCTGAGTCCTCAAACTCGAAGAAAAGGACACCAACCCTCAACCCTCAACCCGCAACCCGCAACCCTCAACCCTCAACCCTCAACCCTCAACCCCTAAGCCTTAGGAAGCACCCAAAGAACCTCAAGTCTAAAGCTGCCAGCAGAAGCCCTTCGCCTACCGCAGATACCCTAAGCCCTAAACTGCCTCTAAACCCCTAAACCCTAAACCCTAAACCCTAAACCCTAAACCCTAAACCCTAAACCCTAAACTGCCTCAAACCCTGAAATCCCCTCAGCCCTAAACCCCTAAACCCTAAGCCCAATACTCTAAACCCTAAACCTCCTGCAAGGATTCGGAGGATGAGGACAAGCCGGAACCCAAGGCGGAGAAACCCGAGCCCGAGGCAGGTTTCGGGCTTAGGGCTTGGGGCTACAGGGCCAAGCCCCAAACCCTAAACCCTAACCCCTAAAACCCTAAAACCCTAAAGCCCTGAAACCTAGAACCCTAAAGCCCTAAAACCCTAAAACCCTAAACCCTAAGGGCTGAGGGCTGTTTATTGATCCCTCGAGAGCCCAGTGGCACGTTATTGTCGTTCCGTTGTTGGGTTCTGGGCGCCATTCTCCAAAAAGAAGCAGCTGATAAAGGACCCCCCGAAGCTGTGCATGGATGCTCATGGGTACTTACAAGTAGGGTTTAGGGTCTTAGGGTTTCGGGTTTAGGGTTTAGGGTTTGGGGTTTGGGGTTTGGGGTTTAGGGTTTTAGGGTTTCGGGCTTTAGGGTTTAGGGCTTCGAGACTGAGTCATGGAGTCCAGTAGTGCTTAAAGATTGGGAGCCGAATAGCTTTCAAGGTTGGGGGTTTAGGGCTTCAGACAACACCAAACATTGAACCTCCTCAGCTTCCAAATATACATTTCGTTAGTGTTTAGGGCTTTAGGGCTTAGGGTCTAGGGTTCAGGGTCGAGGGTTTTTGGGTTGAAAGTTTAGGGTTGCGGGGTTCACGCTCGGGATCTGTCGTTAGCGGGCTAATTAACCTGTAGTTTAGGGTTTAGGGTTTAGGGTTTAGGGTTTAGGGCTAGGGTTTAGGGTTTAGGATTTAGGCTTTAGGGTTTAGGTTTAGGGTTTAGGGTTCAGGGTTTAGGATTTAGGGCTAGGGTTTAGGGGTTCGTGATTGAGTGATATTGAGAGGCTGCGGGTGTCTAGATCGAGTTCAGGCTGAGGGTAAGCTCAATTCTGGGCTTTGGGAGTCGAGCCCTAAACCCTAAACCCTAAACCCTAAACCCGAAACCCGAAACCCTAAACCGCTCATGGTTGAGGGCATCGGGGGCTCTCTCCTATACGCCCGAGGCCCTAAGAAGCCTGACTCGAACTTGCTCCGCTAAATTGGTCACTTGGCTCTGGGCACAATGACGGTTTGGGGTTTAGGGTTTAGGGTTTAGGTTTAGGGTTTAAGGTTTACGGTTTCGGGCACATGGCGCCGCTTTTCGAGCCTCCGCTGCCCCTCCGAGGGAGATGGGAGGGACAACCTGCTGTGCGAGCGCCCACCCATCCTGGCAGCTTGAAGCCAGGCATGCGCCTGTTTCGAGCTCCAGGCAGAATCAAACTCATCCTGGCCCCAAACCCTAAACCTCAAACCCTAAACCCTAAACCCCAAACCCTAAACCCTAAACCCCAAACCCTAAACCCTAAACCCTAAACCCCAAACCCTAAACCCGAAACCCCAAACCCTAAACCCTAAACCCCAAACCCTAAACCCTAAACCCTAGACTCTCTGCTTCCACAGGCTCCTGGGCCGGTGAAGCCGCGGCCGGTGCAGCAGAAGGCCGGGTCTGTACTTTTAGGGTTTAGGGTTTAGGGTTTAGGGTTTAGGGTTTAGGGTTTAGGGTTTAGGGTTTAGGGGGTTGCGGCTTGCGAAGGGTTGCGAAGGGTTTAGGTGGGCTTAGGGGCTTCAGGTGCTGGGGTTTCAGGGTTTTGTTGGGGGAATTCGGATATTAAAGGTTTGGAACTTCTCGAGTTTAGGGTTTTGGGTTTTTGGGTTTTTGGGTTTTTGGGTTTTTGGGTTTTTGGGTTTTTGGGTTTGGGGTTTTTAGGGTTTTAGGATTTTAGGGCTCTTAGGGTTGTAGGGTTTTAGGGGTTTTAGGGTTTTAGGGTTTTAGGGTTTTAGGGGCTTGGGGTTTATAGGGCAAACCCGAAACCCAAAACCCAAAACCCCAAACCCTAAAGCCCCAAACCCCTAAACCCTGCGCGACTTGGCAATTGGACGTTGAGTCGCTCATGCCGTTGACTCCTCAAACTAAAGAGGCTCCAATGTCTCTTGAGGTTTGGGGCTTAGGGTTTCGGGTATGCTCTCGAGTTCAAGGGATACTGGGGCCCCCCTAAACTCTAAGCCCCAAACCTACAAGTACGGTAGATCCCCCCCAACCCCGAGCCCTAAACCCTAAACCCTAAACCCTAAACCGTGAAAGGTTCAGCTGATGATCCAGGAAAAGGAGGATGACGACGTGATGTCGCAGCTTGGCCACACGTGTGTGAATCCTAAGAGTCAGTGTATCCTGTTCCGGAGTTAGGGGACACCCTAAACCTCAACTCCTAAACTTAAGCCCCATCCTTGACCCCTAAACCCAAACCCTCAACCCTGAACCCTGAACTCTGAAGCCTAGTAATGAGGGATGACAGGCTTTAGGGTCGAGGGGGTGTTGCTAGTAGGGTTTCTGGCGTAGGGTTCAGGCCTCTCAGGGCTTGTGGCTGTAGGGTTTCAGGGTTTCAGGGTTTCAGGGTTTCAAGGTTTCAGGGTTTCAGGGTTTCAGGGTTTCAGGGTTTCAGGGTTTCAGGGTTTCAAGGGCGTAGGGTTTAGTCTTTGTAGGACTAAACCCGAAAGCCTTACAAGCGCGGACCCAGGATGACACCCTCATCGAAGCACAATTCTGAGGAGGCGTGGCGTTGCCGGCTCAGGGTTTAGGGTTTAGGGTTTAGGGTTTAGGGTTTAGGGTTTAGGGTTTAGGGTTTAGGATTTAGGGTTTAGGGTTTAGGGTTTAGGGTTTAGGTTTATAAGGGTTTAGGCTTTAGGGTTCAGGGTTTAGGGTTTTCTAGGGTTTGGGAGCCCAAGCCCTCCCATGAGCCGCCAAAGCCCTGAGCCATGGCCCCCCCATCCCCGGACAACAAGAGCAAGTAAGAATAGACACAGACACAGACATCAAATCGTTCCAAAAGCCCTGAAGCCCCTAGAGAGAGAGCGAGAGAGAGAGAGAGAGAGAGAGAGAGAGAGAGAGAGAGGGAGGGAGGGAGAGGAGAGAGAGAGGGAGGGAGAGAGAGAGAGAGGAGAGAGAGAGAGAGAGAGAGGGAGACTGCACACAAAACCTCAGCCAGGGGGATTCCCTCCTTAACCCTAAGCCCCTGGAACCCTAAACCCCAAACCCCGAAGTCCAAAGTCTTTGCCAGAAGCCCTAAGCACACAAACCCTAAACCCTAAGCCATAGACCCTGAATCGAACTATGGGTTTTTTCCACCTTTTCTGCGAACCAGAAAGATGCACTTGGCCAGGGCTCGCGCGTTCAGAGCTGGACCCTGAAAGGCGCGCAGGTCTCCGATTCCGGGGAGGCCAGGCATCAGGGTGGTTTTAGGGTTTTTTGTCTGAGGCGCTTAAGGGTTTTTAAAGGGGGTTGAGGGGTTTCAGAGGGTGTTAAAGGGGGTGCAAGCTCCATGTGTGGAAGTAGAAGGGTTTCGGGTCTTTCGGCAGGGTTCACAGGGGTTTCTTAGGATTAAGCCTAAACCCAAAAACCAGGTTTAGGGTTTAGGGTTTAGGGTTTAGGGCAGTTTAGGGTTTAGGGTTTAGGGTTTAGGGGCTTTTCATTGGGCATTTACGATGGAAGGGCTACAGCACGTCCAGGCAAACCGGCTGAGCTCGATGCGCAGCAGGGCCTGGCAGGCCAGGGTTCAGGGGTTTTGGGGTTTAGGGTTTAGGGGTTTAGGGTTTAGGGTTTCGGGTTTAGGTGTTTTGGGGTTTGGGGTTTAGGGGTTTAGGGTTTAGGGGTTTAGGGTTTTAGGGTTTCGGGTTTAGGGTTTTGGGGTTTAGGGTTTAGGGGTTTAGGGTTTTGGGGTTTAGGGTTTCGGGGGTTTTGGGTTTTGGGGTTTGGGGTTTAGGGTTTAGGGGTTTAGGTGTTTAGGGTTTTGGGGTTTGGGGTTTAGGGTTTTGGGGTTTAGGGTTGAGGGTTTCGGGTTTTGGGGTTTAGGGTTTTGGGGGGTACGGGTTTGGGGTTTAGGGGGGAGCGTGTCGCTGGAAAGACAGTCTTCCAGAGCGAAAATGGCAATGGTGTTTCGGAGGGTTTAGGCATTTAGGGTTAAGTTTGGGCTGAGGTGAAATAGAAAGGCCTCACTACCCATTCTACTTGAATAGACCCCTAGATTGGGGTTCGGTGGGGTTTGGACAATGAGGGGTGTATGAGGCTTGTAAGATTCTTTCGCAGGGGTGAAGCAATTGAAAGCTTGACCGCAAGTCTCAACCCCAAAGCCCTATACTCATAGGATTCCCAAAGCCCGAAGCCTTAAGGCTTGTAACCCTACGCCCTAAACCTTATACGGTTAAGACTTTCTTCGGAGTTTAGCAACGTGCCATGGGAACATTCCCCACAGGATGTGCCCATTTGATGCGTGTTTTTCTTCGGGTTTAGTAAACCCTAAACCCTACACCCTAAACCCTCAAGGTTTGTCAGGTTTAGAGGTTTCTGGGTTTGGGACATTGGCGGGTTCATCTAAGTTGTGGGCCTCTTTTGGTGCCAGATCAACCCGACTTTTGGCCAACTGTGACTGAGGGTTTAGGCTTTAGGGTTAAGGTAGGGTATACGGCTAGAGTTTAGGCTTTAGTGTTTAGGGTTAAGGGTTCAGGCTTGAGGGTTGAGGGTTTAGGGTTAAGGTCCGTATCTTGGAGCTGACAGCTTTTGTAACCAAGCTGCAAGCCTTGGCACCATGTGAACCTCACAGCTTTACGCGCTCAAGGCTCTAAACCCCAAACCCTTAAACCCAAAAACCCAAAACCCTAAACCCCAAACCCTGAAACCCTAAACCCGACAACCTCAAACCCTAAACCCTCAACCCTCAACCCTCAACCCTAAACCCTAAACCCCCAACCCTAAACCCTAAACCCTAAACCCTAAACCCTAAACCCTAAACCCTAAACCCTAAACCCTAAACCCTAAACCCTAAACCCCAAACCCCAAACCCCAAACCCCAAACCCTAAACCCTAAACCCTAAACCCTAAACCTAAACCCTAAACCCTAAAACCTCAAACCCTAAACCCTAAACCCTAAAACCTCAAACCCTAAACCCTAAACCCTAAAACCTCAAGACCCGCGCCAGGAAGATGACGATGGCGCGACATCGGCTCCCAAGAGCAGGCTGCGACGGCAAGCCCGAAGCTTTTGTAACAGCAAGTCTTCGGGTTTAGGGTTTAGGGTTTAGGGTTTAGGGCTAGGGTTTAGGGTTTAGGGTTTAGGGTTTAGTAGGGCCGGGTCTGTACTGTACTTTTAGGGTTTAGGGTTTGGGGTTTGGGGTTTACGGTTTAGGGTTTAGGGTTCAGTAGGGCTAGGGTTTAGGGTTTAGGGCTGGGGGTTTCCGACAATAGGGGGTCCCTCTTAGTAGGGATTCTTAGAAGTAAGGATTATCGTATTTTTGGGGGGGGGGGGGGGTTGAGGGGGGTCCCCCATGTTTTCCTACAAAGCCCCAAGCTCGAAACACCTGCTAGGGCATTTCAAAAGCGAAGCGCTCCAAGACCCAAACCCCAAACCCGAAACCCTAAACCCTAAACCCCAAACCCGAAACCCTAAACCCTTCTCCCCTGCGGCAGCTTAGGACCTTCATAGAAGCCCAGTCATATCCTGCTGCTGGTTATCCCTGCGTCCTAAACCCCTAAGCAGCCGGAAACCTAATCCCTACAAATGGTTTAAGGTTTAGGGTTTAGGGTTTGTGGTTTAGGGTACCGATTTGTTGGCCGTCTGCACGAAGGTCAATCGGCTACCCGGTCGTGTCGTTTTGGATACCTTTCACAAGGTTTCCACTACAGTTTAGGGTTTAGGGTTTAGGGTTTGGGGTACCGATTTGTTGGCCGGTCGTATCTTTCACGAAATGTCCCCTGCTGTCGGATAAATGCAGCGAGGCCTTCAGGAAGGGTAAACTCTAAACCCAAAGGATTCCGGGTTTGGGGTGCTTTGTGCTCAATATGTTTCTGGGCCAGAAGATCTCTGCTTTTGGCCCTTACCTTACGGCTTAGGGTTTAGGGTTCACGGTTTAAGGTCTAGAGTCTAGGGTTAAGGGTTTAAGGTTAAGGGTAACGATACATGGTTTATGGTTCAGGTTTGTGTACGGTCAGTTTGATTGCCTAACACCTCAACCCTACACCCTACACCCTACACCCTACACCCTACACCCAAAACCCTAAACCCTAAACCCTAAACCCTAAACCCTAAACCCTAAACCTTCCCGTGGAAGGGAACCTCAGCTTCTGCGCAAGGTTTCTGCTGATGCCGGACTCTGTGATTAGCCTCTGCGGCCGCCTCAGCCAGCTGCGATGGTTTAGGGTTTAGGGTTTAGGGTTTAGGAATTCGGGTTTCGGGTAAGGACTCTTCCCCCAACTCCGCCGATGCCGGCAAATCCCAAGCCCCTGAACCCCAATCGCCCAGTAGGTGGGATACAGAGCGGGGCAATGCGTAGAGAAAGAGCACCTAAACCCAAAACCCTAAACCCTAAACCCCAAACCCTAAACCCTAAGCCCTAAACCCTAAACCCTAAACCCTAAACCCTAAACCCTAGACCCTAGACCCTAGACCCTAGACCCTAGACCCTAGACCCTAAACCCTAAACCCTAAACCCTCACTCATCACGCGACCATAGTGGGGCCGGCTGATTTTATGGCTTTGCTGGAGGTCCGGTCAGCGAGAAGGCCCCAAAGCCAAAACCCTACACTCTGCGGATTCGGGGGGCGGGAGGGGGGGAAATAGTTTCACTTTTTGCGCCAAAACAGGTACCCTCTTACTCCCTGATGGTTTAGGGTTTTTAGGCTTTAGGAAGAGAAGAAGCCGCAGTCTAACATGGGCGCAACAACAGATCAAGTTTAAAGACCTGACCATATAACGCAACCCTCAGGGCAGATACGTGTCCCCTGTGTGGCCCTTTCCGTTGCTCAAAGGGTTCTGAAGAACGGGCCAACCCTAAACCCTAAACACTAAACCTTAAACCCTAAACCCTATAGGATATATAGCGGCTCCCCTGAGATCCCGAAGCCCCAAACCCCTTGAATCCTAAATGCAGGTTTCCATGCCTGTGTCCTCTGCGCCCCGAGCCCAACGGTTTAGGGTTTAGGGTTTAGGGTTTAGGGTTTAGGGTGACTAAACCCTTTGCTTCCGAATCCCCATCGCAGCGGAGACTTTAGGTTGGAACATCATGATGCTCCTCTGCGTCAGCATGCGCCCGCGCTTGCAGAGAGCTTAGGGTTAGGGTTTACAGTAGGGTTTAGGGTTTAGGGTTTAGGGTTTAGGGTTTAGGGTTTAGGGTTTAGGGTTTAGGGTTTAGGGTTTAGGGTTTAGGGTTTAGGGTTTAGGGTTTAGGGTTCCCTGAAGCCCTGAAGCCTCCAGCTCCATAGCCGTGGAGCCTCCTACAAGCCCTGAAGGGTCGAGGGTTAAGTTTGGGGACCCCTTCTGAACTACTTTTTTTTTTTTTTGGGGGGGGGGGGGGGAAAGGAAGGAATCGGTGCTGTTTTTTTGGTGTTTAATTTCAGGGCTTAGGGTTTGGGGTTTAGGGTTTGGGGTGGACATGAATGGCCGAAGGGCCCCTCGACTTGGTACAAACCTTCCTTACGCCTACCCGCGAACGTTCACGCGGTGGTGCACTTTCCCCCTTTGGTTGGTTGTTTTTTTACAAGTCACCGTCGCGCACAAGGAGTTTCTGTTTCTTAGGTCCTGCCGGGAATCGATGAAAATGAATATTAGGGCAGAAGGGTTTTTTTGGCTTACGGATTTCGGGTGGCTGAGGGTATGAGTTTTGTATGGGAGGGGTTTAAGGTGTTGCTTTAGGGTCTCGGGTGTTAAGGAGTCACCCTAACTAAGCTCCTGGTCCTAAACCCTGAACCCTAAACTCCTAAACTCCTAAGCTCCTAAGCTCCTAAACTCCTAAACCCTCAACCCCTACGAAGCCAACCGAGGATCGCTGGGCTGATACCCATCCAGCTGGCGTACTTGTGGGGTGACGAGCTTGCGCCCGATTGGACCGCCGCCATCGGTGGCGGCCCCAGCAACGACTTGGGGGCTTGAAGGTTAGGGTTTAGGGTTTAGTGTAGGGTTTTCAGGGTTTTGGGCTTTGGGGTTTAGGGCTTAGGGTTTAGGATGTAGGATTTAGGGTTGAGGGTTTCCCCACACCCTTAGCGTTGAACCTTTCGGCTTGAGTGTGTCGGTTGAAGGCAGCCTATATGCCAAAACTCATTCTCAAGATGTTTTGGGGTGAGGGGCCCCTATGACTAGCTAGGCCCCCTAAACCCTAAACCCTACCCTAAACCCTAAGCCCTAAACCCCATTTTGCATTTTCCCTTTTTGTTGGGTTCAAGAGGATCATATTCGGGAATACTTTTCAGAGGGATTCAAGTGCCATCCTGGGATAAGCAGGTTTCGTGTTTGCTCTGTGAGTCGAACTTTACACCCGTCACAAGAGCATGCAAACTTGCCTGCAAAATTTCAGGCGGAGTAGGCAACCGTCCACCGGCACCATACCTCCCCTACCGTGTAAACAGTGTAAATCCTATAAAGAAGCCCTTGCGGATTTCCCTTAGGCTTCAATCATGAAGAGCCCTACATATCCTCACGGCTAGGATGAATCCTAAGCCCAGCTGCCCGTCCCTCCCTCCCTCCCTCCCTCCCCATTCCTCCCTCCCCCTCCCTTCCCTCTTCCCCCCTCTCCCCCCTCCCCCCCCTCCCCCCTCCCCTCCCCCCTCCCCCTCCCCCCTCCCCGCTCCCCGCTCCCCGCTCCCCGCTCCCCTTCCCCGCTCCCCCTCCCCTCTCTCCCCTCTCCCCTCCCCCCCCCTCTCCCCCCTCCTCCCCTCTCCCCTCTCCTCCCCCCTCCCCTGTCCCTCCTCCCCCTCTCCCCCTCTCTCCCCTCTCCCCCTCTCGTCCCCCTCTCTCCCCTCTCTCCCCTTCCCTCCTCTCCCCTCTCTCCCCTCTCTCCCCTCTCTCCCCCCTCTCTCCCCTCTCTCCCCCCTCTCCCCTCCCTCCCCTCCTCCCCTCCTTCTCCCTCCCCCCCTCCCTCCCCTCCCCCTGCCCTCCCCTCCCCTCCCTCCCCCTCTCTCCCTCTATCTTTTTTTTTGTTTCTCTCTCTCTCTCTCTCTCTCTCTCTCTGTCTCTCTCACAGTCTCTGTCTCTATCTCTCACCTTTTGTTTGTCACACACACACTCTCTCTCTCTCTCCCGCCCTCTCTCCCTCTCGCTCTCTCTCTCTCTCTCTCTCTCTCTCTCTACTCTGTTAAACTCTCTCGAAACTCTGTCTAAACTCTTTTGCGCTCTTGAAATCTCGCTCTCTCTCTGGCTCCTCGTGTCGGCCCTAGAAAGTACAGGTTTGTACAGGCTCGTGACAGTCTGGGTTTCCGGGCTTCTAGGTGTTAGGTTTCAGGGGTTTTGTGTGCCAGGTTCTCGCTCGACACTTTAGTTTTCCATGGCTGTTAGCTATCAGTTGTTGTGAGGCTTTCTGTTTGGGATGTCGGGGCCCCAAATTGTTGTTGCATCTAGACTCAGAGATGTTGAGTGGTTTAGGTCGATTAGAATGTCGGGGGTTTCGGGGCTTCACTTCGGGTCCCAGGATCTTAGGGTTCGGGTCCCAGGATCTTGTTCTAGGTAGCCATGTTCATGTCTAGGAGAAGTTGGTGTTTACGGCCTCTTCGGGTTTCTGAGGGTTTTTGTTTCCTTCGGCCTTGCGGGCTGCAACCAACCTTCTATGTCCAAGCCTTCATCGCTGTCCTGCCAAGTTATTCTGGACATCTGCTTGATTGTGGATGCGGCGTCCTCGGCGGTGATAGCTCCAGGGTTTACGGCTCGCTGCCCTGGGCCCTAGAGCCTTAAACCCTAATGCTGCGAGTCTTATTCTAGGCGTCGGGCATGAAGTCGATAAATGGCGCATATCTGATGTTTGTCTTCAGCCTGCACCCTAAGCCCCAAACCCTGAACTCCCAAGACCTCAACCCTAAACCCAAACCCTAAACCGCATAACGTGATTCGTAATGGCAAATGGGTAAATTCGACTGACCAGTACTTCGCGTGGAGTTAGGGAATCAGGGTTTAGGGTTTAGGGTACCTTAGAGAGATATACAGCACCTGCATTTCTTGCATGCCCTCTTAACGAACTACTAAGTCAAAGGCAAGCGGCTTAGGGTTTTTCTACGCTCGTCTTCAGGCCCCGGGTTGCGAATCCCGCTTCCCATGGCGAGCCTTCAAAAGGTTTAGGGTTTGGAGCCTACTGTTTAGGATTCAGGGTTTAGTGATTGGGGTTTGGGGTTTGGGGTTTAGGGTTACCAGGGTTGCTTGTATTTTGGAAGAAATTTGGATACCCCCAAAAGACCCTAGTTTTTGGAGAACTACCCCTATGAAGCCGTCCAGGTTCGGGGTTTAAGGTTCCGGGTTTGGGGTTTCGGGTTTGTACCACAGCGCCCGGGGGGTTCCTCCTGAGTTCACAGGACTTGACACCCACAGGCTGTATTAATGACCCTAAACCCGAAGCCCCAAACCCGTTTAGACCTGAATTTCGGAATGCTGAGGGCTTAGGGTTTAGGGTTTAGAATTGACGGTTCTTCGCAAAGCAGCAGCCAATCAAAGGCCGAACCCCCTTGAGGCCGGGCAAATCCCGAAACCCCTGTCGACCTCTTCCTTGCCAAGAAGAACCAGCAAATGGTGGTTTAGGGTTCAGGATTTAGGGTTTAGGGTTTGGGCAAGCTTCATCTTAAGAGGGCGGTTCCAGAACTTGGATCTACGCGTAGCTCAGCTTGCTGCACCTTGTCCCGAGGTTCCGGTCAGCTTTGTCACGACACAGCTCGATCGGAAGACCCTGCAATTCATGGAGTCTGCCGAGGCCACTGAATGAGAAGGGTATCGGGTTTGTGGCTTCAGATTGAGGGGGATATTGTAGGACCCCAAGCCCTGAAATACGCCCCGGAACCCGAAGCCTCATAACTCACGAAGCAGTCGCCATGTGGTCAGCGCAGTGTCAACTCTCCATAGGAGTCCAGGCCCAAACTGAGTGGTACCCCGGCTACCCTATACCCTAAACCCTAAACCCTAAACCCTAAACCCTAAACCCTAAACCCTAAACCCTAAAGTGAATAGTGAGTAGTACTTCCTAGGGTCCTAGCGTTTAGGGGTTGGGGCTCTCGGGTTAATAAGGTCCCTTAGGGCGCTTGGGGTTTTAGGGATTTAGGGTGTTAACCCCTAAACCCTAAACCCTAAACCCTGAACCACAATCCGAGCCTGGAACCTCAGAAAGTGATCTAGAAAGCATCTGATCGCCATCTGTGAGTTTTCAAAGATGGGGTCTAGGGTTTAGGGTTTAGGGTTCAGGGACCCTGAACCCTTTCTTTTTGTTGGGGGGGGGGGATCCTTAGGGTTCGAGTTGTTATTTATTATTTATTTTTTTTTTGGGGGGGGGGGGGGGGGGGGGGGGGTTGGGTATATGTTCGTGGTTTCCGGGACATGCTCCGGAAAGCATGGCCCAGCATCTCTCCCTCCCCCCCCCCCTACCACTCCCTCGTCAGGCCTCCAAATCTTCAAGAGCCCCCATACAATCGAAGCTTCCAATCATGGGCCCCTTAATTTGGGTCCCTTCGTATACAACCCTTCTATACATTTTTTAGGATAAGGGCCCAGACTTCTCTTCCCGAGAAGGGACCATACTAAGGGGCCATGCTTCCGACTTCAGATGCAGCCAGGAAGCCCTGTGAAATCTCCCTACAAATCCCTCTAAGTTTGTAAGCCGTAGGGTTTAAACGGTTAAGGGTAGCTCCCTCTACTCCAATGGATTACCGCAAGAAGATACGGCTCCGTAGCAGAAGAGAACCAGGGTGTTGCGGGCGTGAGCTTTGTAATTCCGCAAATACACATGCCTACTCTGCCGCGCAGGTAGCTGTCCACTACGCTGTCAGCTGGCTGGCGATAGACCTCCTAGCTGCCGCCCGACAGGATTCATCCCATTCCCGCAAAGAGGGATTCAGGGTTTAGTTTAAAGGGTTTTTCGGTTTACCTAAGCACTAAACCTAGCCCCTGCACTTACCGTTTCTTAGTAGAGAGAATTAGGGAGGTAGGTATTTCTGTGTCCGTATATGAGTCCGTGGGTTTGGGAACTCCAGAGCCCAGGTCCCGACATGAAGCTTTAGGGTTTAGGGTTTAGGGTTTAGGGCTACTTGGTTGGGGTTTAGGGTATAGGGTTTAGGGCTTAGGGTTTAGGGTTTAGGGTTTAGGGTTTAGGGGTTCAGGGGTTAAGGGTTTAGGGTTTTAGGGGTTCAGGGGTTAAGGGTTTAGGGGTTTAGGGGTTCAGGGGTTTAGGGGTGTAGAGTTCTAGGGGTTTAGAGGCTTAGGGGTTTAGGAGTGTTGGGGCTTAGGCGCTTGGGGGTTTAGGGGTTGAGGGGTTGAGGGGTTTAGGGTTTTAGGGTTTTAGGTGTTTAGGGTTTAGGGGTTTAGGGTTTAGGATTAGGGTTTAGGGTTTGGGGTTTAGGGTGTTGAGGGTTGACCCGTAAAGCCCACAAAAGGCCTGGCCTCTCGGTTGGTCGGCGGCGCCCAGAACGGCTGCGCATCCTGGCCCTGCCGAGCCTGCTTCTTTTGTGGGTAGGGTTTAGGGTTTAGGGTTTAGGGTTTAGGGTTTAGGGTTTAGGGTTTAGGGTTTAGGGTTTAGGGTTTAGGGTTTAGGGTGTAGGGTTTAGGGTTTAGGGTTTAGGGTTTGGGGTTTAGGGTTTAGGGTTTAGGCCTTAGGGTTGAGGGTTGAGGGTTGAGGGTTGAGGGTTGAGGGTTGAGGGTTGAGGGCTTCGGGTTTCGGGTTTCGGTGTAGGTTTAGGGTTTATGGTTTCGGGTTTTTAGGGTCTAGGGTTTAGGGCTTAGGTGGTTTCAGGAGTCTGGCATAGTGAGATGGAGCCTTTGTAGTACTACCCGAAAGCCTTCTTGAGTGCCGGGTACCTGTGCTAACGAACCTTGTCCCAGACTTTTTGAGGGTGTTTCTTTAGGATTAAGGATTTAGGGTTTAGGTTTAAGGCTTCAGGGCTCTTTCTTAAGCCACGCAACTCCTAAAGCCGTAAATTGTGTCCCTGAGCGTTTTGAATTCAGCTTCGCTCTGTGAGCGATGGGAGCTTTTCAGGATTGTCTTTGAGAGTGCGCCTTAAACCCTAAAGCTTCCAACCTGTAAACGCCCAAGCAACCCCCAAAGCCTGTAGAACGACCGAAGGGTTCAAATCTCTCACCCTAAACCCCATACCCTAACCCCTAAACCCTAAACCCTAAACCCTAAACCCTAAACCCTAAACCCTAAACCCTAAACCCTAAACCCTAAACCCTAAACCCTAAACCCTAAACCCTAAACCCTAAACCCTAACTCTCTCTCATATGTGCGCACAGACACACTCCGTCCAAGGTACTCCGTGCACCGGCCGGGATCCTGGAGTCGATCTTACTGTCTAAACCCGGAAGCCTAAACCCTACACCCTACATCCTAAACCCTCAACCCTCAACCCTAAACCCTAGCCCTAAACCCTAAACCCTAAACCCTAGCCCTAAACCCTAATCCCTGAGCCCCTAATCCATTGATCCCTTGACTCCCGACTCCCGCAGCCACAGGCTCCCCCCCCCCCCCCCCCCCCCCCCCCCCCACCCCCCCCCCCCCCCCCCCCCCCCCCCCCACAACCCCAAGAGGCTCTTAGCCCAAGACGCCCTTAAACCCCTAAACCTTCAGGGTTTTGGGTTTTGGGTTCTTCATATCCCAAGCCCATACGCCAAGCCATGTAGCCAGTTGGGCCCGAACTATTGCCCTCAACTTTTCACCTCTGTCATTGTGGTAGACACCCTCTACTGTCGTCGGGTGTTCCGCTTGGTCGAGGGTTTGGGGTTTAGAGTTTAGCCATGATCGTCGAATACACACTTACACACCCCCACAAGGTGAAAACCACTTAACCTTTGCCCCCGCCTAAACAATGCCATTGAGTTTCAGGGGCGGACCCTAAACCAGAAATCCCCTACCCACAGAGCGCAAGAGCCGAAGCCCTTGAACCCTCAACCCTCTGCCCTACTCGTACAGCCTCGGTGAGCCCTATAGAGTGCAGCCCCCGTGAGCCCTATAGAGCCCTGAACCCTTCTCCTACACCCCCTAAACCCTAAACCCTAAACCCTAAACCCTAAACCCTAAACCCTAAACCCTAAACCCTAAACCCTAAACCCTAAAGAAAACCCCAAACCCTGGTTCCTAAATCCTAAACCCGAAAACCTACCCGCCCAAAATGCGCAAAATCACCAGGGCGCTCAAGTTGCTGAAGCTCCTCAAGCTCCGCTACTTCGTGCCTCGGAGCTCTTACGAAGCTTCGCGTGGGAACATCTAAACGATGGGCCACCTTGAGCCCGAAACCCTCAACTCGAAACCCTAGTCCTGATATGGTTCTGTAGGTCAACCGCCCATCTGTCTAGGCATGGTTTTTGGGCGATTCGTCTAGAGCGGGCTCGAAGAGGATTTCGTACAGAGTCAGGGGTTTAGGGTTTAGGGTTTAGGGTTTAGGGTTTAGGGAGACTTCAGGTTCTCGGACGCAGGGCAATTTTCTTTCAGGCTTTCGTGTTGCGAAGCGCTCCGCAAGCTGTTTGGCTTCTTTTGGGGAGCTGTAGGAGCCCGACCCGCGCCCCTTGCCTCCAGCCCTACCCCAAACCCCGGGAAGCAGCTGATGATAGTCTTCTTGGATCCCAGGGTTACCTGTTCTTTACTTTCTTTTGGGTGGGGCCCCATTCAACAACCCCAACACTTTGTTCAAAACCTAAACCCGGAATCCCAAAACTTTGTTCAAACCCTAAACCCTAAACCCTAAACCCTAAACCCTAAACCCTTCTAGGCTACCACTGGGAACCTCGTGTGCAACCGATCCTGAGAGTCCCCGAGGTGCCCCGCCTAGAGGACCAGATTCAGTCGCCCAGATGCAGCCATGTGCAATGGCCATGTTCAAGGGTTTAGGGTCAAGGGTTTAGGGTTTAGGGTTTCGGGTTTAGGGTTTAGGGGTGGTTGTGTGGGACGGCCGAATACTCAACTTGCCACCCCCCCACCACCAATAATAGGTCATCGCAAGGATGAACCAGAATAATGATCTTATAGTAGAAGAGTCATTCCGCAGGCTAAGAAATACTTGACTGAACGTTCGCAAGTGCGACCCCTTCGGGCTGTTCTCACCTCCCAAGCCGAAGCGCTGCCACTTCGAACTTCGAATCCTAAACCCCAAACCCTAAACCCTAAACCCTAAACCCCAAACCCCAAACCCCAAACCCCAAACCCCAAACCCCAAACCCTAAACCCTAAACCCTACACCCTATCCATGTCCCGGATGGTCGCCCTGTAGGCCCTTGGGATGCTTTACTAGCCCTCCCACCACCAAACTGGGTTTAGGGTTTAGGGTTTAGGGTTTAGGGTTTAGGGCTTAGGGCTTAGGGCTTAGGGCTTAGGGCTTAGGGTGTAAGGTGCAGGGCTTAGGGTATCAGGCAGGCCCCCTTCGGATATTTATGTGTCTCTTCTTGAGTATAGTAAGGTAGGAACATCCTAAGAACAAATTATAACAATAACACAATAATCCAACAGCAAATTTAAGCATAATCATATACTAAATACTATTCTGGTAAGATACGTACAACATAGTAAAAACATACATACATCGTAATGATCATATCATAATATACAACATTATGATCATATAAAATACAAGGATATCAGAAAATAAGAATATACGAATATAAGAACATAAGAATATCAAAGCTGAAGAATTACCAAATAAATGTACTCAGCTCAGCTACGTAAGTAACCTTTAGCCTTTTGAGTATACACAGAATCCTGCCACAAGTGAAAAAGGTCAACCTTTTTTGGCCCAGGGTACTCAGTAACTAGGTCAATAGTAGCTTTCGGATGGATTCAAGGCTCTGATTCCTCAGCCCGGCAATCCTGTCACCCTAAACCCTCGCCCCTAAGGGTTTAGGGTTTAGGGTTTAGGGTTTAGGGTTTAGGGTTTAGGGTTTAGGGTTTAGCCCGATGAACCCTAGCCCTATACCCCCTGAATCAAACTCTGGCCCCCCAAACCCCCTTCCACCTCAGGAATCACAAGCTGCCACGCCCTGAGACTGCGCATCTACTGGTTCTTGGTCTTAGGGATACTTGAAAAATGTTTTTAATTTCTGGGTACTCTAACTCCTAAGAAACAGCTAAAATTATCTTTTTTTTGCCAGGGTTCAGCACTAGGTATTTCAGGCGAATAGCAACCTAGGTTCCTTGAAGAGACTCTGGGGGGACACTTGACCTTAATTCCCTGACCTTTCTCCCCACTAGGAACCGGCCAGTCCAGCACAACAAGGGCTACTTGGTTGGGGTTTAGGGTTTAGGGTTTCGGGTTTCGGGTTTAGGGTTTAGGGTTTAGGGTTTAGGGTTTAGGGTTTAGGGTTTAGGGCTACTTGGTTGGGGTTTAGGGTTTAGGGTGTAGGGTTTAGGGTGTAGGGTTTAGGGTGTAGGGTTTAGGGTGTAGGGTTTAGGGTTTAGGGTTTAGGGTTTAGGGTGTAAAGTTTAAGGAAATGTGACGACGTTTGGGTCGTTCTGCTCGGGCATGGGTGTGACCAAGCATGCCTTCCATCACAGAACATTCCCCCATTCCCTACGAACCAACGGTAAGCCTGGACTTCGAAAGAGCTGCGCAAAGTGCCTCTGTCTTCTACGTGCGACGCAGCCTGGAAAGCCTCAACCCTAAACCCTAAAGTGCTCGTGTGCTCCGTTGCGGTTGCATGTCGTTCTTTGTTGTGAAAGAGAAAGGGGGATGCTATGGGTGCTCGGTTGTGGTTGCATGTTCTTTTGGCGAGAGGACGTCCCCAGCTCATACTCTTGAGCCCCCTTCGAATGGCCTCAACCCGAACAAACACTGCCAAAACCCACGCGCCGGACCCTCAACCCCTAAACCCTAAACCCTAAACCCTAAACCCTAAACCCTAAACCCCAGACCCTAAACCCAAAGCCTCGAACCCTCACCACAATCAAGCCAGGGCCCTCCCCAGCCCGAGTAGCCCCCAAGGCCTGAAGGCTTTTACAAACCCAGGAGAGTTCGGTCCCAAGGTCCTGGCTGAAGATGTCGGGTGCCATGCTGCTGCTGGTTCATTCGCACCTCAGCAGAGACACGGTTTAGGGGTTTAGGGTTTAGGGTTTAGGGTTTAGGGTTTAGGGTTTAGGGTTTAGGTTTAGGGTTTAGGGTTTCCGAGATTGCGGGCAACCCGACGAAAAACTCAGAAACCCTTGGCGCTCCGAGGGCTGCAAAAAAAATGTCAGAACCTTGTACCGGACTTTTCAAGGGGGCTCCTAGGCATCCTCTACGAGGGGTTCTCTTGTGGAAGGAAGCCCTTTAAATGGGCCCTGGCTGTTTCAGGGCGAGGGTGCGTAGGGTTTTAGGTTCTTGTTTTCTGTAGGGTTTTGCGAGGAATTTCCATTTGGGGGGTGATTCGCGAAATGGGCCTTGCGTTCGACGTGGCTCTCTGGACCGATTTGGACGCGGTGCTGGACAGATTCAACAGTGCCACCAATCGGCAGTGGGGTGCGCGGCAAATCCTCCAGGCAGTGGCCCAAGACAAGAAGGGAAGATCTCAGCTCCTCGACTCCTCGGCATCCCCGTGCAAGCACGCGAGAGCCTTGGGCTACAACTCTTCCCGGTACGCATCAGGGCGATTGGTGGTCATTCCAAGAAAATCCTCCGCAGTCGCCCGAGGTACTGTACCACAGAACAACACCCGACGCGGTGGACAAGATCCTTCGACAGGGCTTTAAGCCCGGTGGCGGTCGATCGAATGGGAGGGCTCACTCTTATTTCTCGGCAACGCAGAACCCCTGAACACCGAAACTGCAAACCCCACACCACAAGCCCCAAACAAACCCTAAACCCTAAACACTAAACTCTAAACCTCAAACCCCAAATCCCAAACCCCCAACCACAGGTCTCACGTCCCATCCGTGAGCCTAAGGTGTTTCTGGCTTTGGGCGACTTAAGGTTTAGGGATTCAGGGGTGCAGGGGTTTAGGGGTTTAGGGTTTAGGGGTTTAGGGTTTAGGGTTTAGGGGTTAGGGTTTAGGTTCAGGGGTTCAGGGGTTCAGGGGTTTAGGGGTTTGTGGACTTTTGAGGAGGCACGTCAACTGCAAGCCTTGAGCCCCTAAGGTCCTAAGGCCCTACACACACACGCAGTTCGGAACCGGACCCACTGAAACTCACCCTAGGCCCCAGACCCTAAACCCTAGACCCTAGACCCTAAACCCTAAACCCTAAACCCTAAACTAAACCCTAAACCCTAAACCTCGCCATCCTAGGCTGGGCTGTGCCTGGTACGTAGTTCGGAACGCGCTCGCCTACCCCGGGCAGCCGGGCAATGCGGACGACTACGTGGCCGACATTTACTTTGCACCTTGGCCCTGGCGCTTTGGGTTTAGGGTTTAGGGTTTGGGGTTTGGAGTTTGGAGTTTGGGGTTTGGGGTTTGGGGTTTGGGGTTTGGGCTACGGTTTAGGGTTTAGGGCTTAGGGTTTAGGGTTTAGGGTTTAGGGTGCAGGGTTTAGGGTTTAGGGTTTAGGGTTTCCATGAGTTTCCATGAGTGGACAGACAAACCTGCGATCTCGGGATGGCACCCGACTCCTCACAATTCGTAGTCAAGGGCCCCAGCGCGGAACCCAGGTAGTGATGGCCCTCACGAGCGTCGGCTTCGGCGACATCGTTCCCATAGGATCAGGACACATGTGTGAGTTTCTCAAAGGTCTCTTTTCACCCCTGAACTGACGAAAACCACAAGCCCAGAACCACAAATCCAAGCCCTGAGCCCTTTGACCCTTGTAGGGTTCCAGGGTGAAGGGTTTAGGGTTTAGGGTTTAGGGCTTAGCATAAGCCCTAAGCCCCTGAACCCCTGAAACCCTGAACCGAAACCTTGACCCGAAAGCTCGAGAACCCCTAGCCCCCCCAAGCACGAAATGGGGTTTAGGGTGTAGGGTTCAGGGTCCAGGGTAGGGTTGAAGGTTTAGGGTTTAGGGTTTAGGGTTTAGGTTTCCGCATCACAACATCCCCCCCCCCCCCCATTGTTGTGTGTGGTGGGGGCGCGAGGAGGGCTCCTCACAATAGTTCGGTTGTACGTCCAAACACATTTAACCCCCCATACCTTGGGATGTTCAGGGTTTTGGGTGGGGGGTACGATAAACGATCATCCCGATGAAGGACTGTTAGTAGAAGGTAAACATCCCAACCCCTGTACCCTAAGCCTTTTGTTAGGCCAGGTGGGCCTCAGTCAGTTCTCCACCCCGCACCATTCCCCGAAAACCCTAAACCCCCCAACCCGAAGGCCTAAACCCCAAACCCTAAGGCCTAAACCCTAGCAACCCCCAAAAGAGTAGGACATTGGGGGACCTAGGTGAACGATGGGCGGACCTCTCAGTTCTCTCTCTTGGAAGCTTCAAAAGTGGGGCTTCGGAAGCTGCGCAGAGCGTTTGCAAGCTCCGCGCGCGCGAGAGCTCACACTGATGTGAGGGTTTCCCACGTAGGGCCGTACCCTTGGTTGGAGGTGGAGGATGCTCTCGTAATTTGGGGTCTTGCTTTTGGGTAATGCCCGCGCATCTCCCAAAAATTGGGGCTTAGCTTTTGGAACAAGACCTATGAACCCCAGACCCTGAGCCAAAACCAGACATCTAATCTAGGGGTCGGAGTAATTACTAGCAATATTCCCCTATGATCCCTTTGTAACTATAATATAGCTACCCCCAAACCTCTGTTCTAATTATTCAGGCCCCTATACTACGCACAAACTGCAGAGGAGCGCGGCTCTACTGCATCGTGGTCATGCTCGCCTCGAGTCTTTTCTCGGGTGTCCTTGTCGCCTTCGTTGCGCAGGCCGGCTGGGTTCAGGGGGTTGGGTTTCCAGGGCTTACCTAGACACCTATCCTTAAGCCCCCAAACCCTTCTTTAGTATATGCCATGTTGTGCATGATTTAGTATATGCCATGTTGTGCATGATACTATTTCTATATCTCTATATCTATATCTATATCTATATCTATGTCTATATCTATATCTATATCTATATCTATATCTATATCTATATCTATATATCTACATAAATAAACAAATAAATAAATGAATAAACAAATAAATAAATACAAATAAATAAATAAATATATATATATATATATCTGTTTATTTATTTATTTACGGTAGCATAGAGACATTATATATTACGTAATGTTTTAAACACACATTTTGTATTACGCATTGCATACTGTTCTTTTTCTTTTCTGTAGTGGTGTTTGAAGTTATGCCACGATACCCGACCAGCCAAACAGCTCCGCCAGTCGCTTCGCACGGTTTTCGACGACGAGGTGGAGAAGTACGTGCGGGGCTTGGCCCAGGGGCAGGGTTTAGGGTTTAGAGTTTAGGGTTTAGGGTTTAGGGTTTAGGGTTCAGGGTTTAGGGTTTAGGGTTTAGAGTTCAGGGTTCAGGGTTTAGGGTTTAGGGTGTTCGGATGTAAAGGCCTTCGGATACGGATGCCCTGAACCCTAAGAGAACCTGAGAGTTTAAACCCCCTTAAACTCTACGAAGCCCTACGGTGATCTCCATCTTCGGGCCGTCTGAACGAAGCGTTGCCGCCTGCTGCGCGCTCAGGGCTTTGGGGGTTATTATCGTAACTCACCCTAAACCCTAGGCCCTAAACCCTAAACCCTAAACCCTAAAGCTTAATAATACCAATAACAGGGCTTAGGGCTTAGGGCTTAGGGCTCAGGGCTTAGGGCTTAGGGCTTAGGGCTTAGTTATGGTTTAGGTTTTAGGGTTTAGGGTTTAGTTAGGGGCTTATCAGGTTAGGGTGCAAAAAAAGGACCTATAGTTTAGAGAGACCGGACGCAAGACACTAGTAGCGTTTAGGGTTTTAGGGTCTAAAGGTTTAAGGGCTTCGGGGTTAAGGGTAAGCGGTGGAGAATTGGGTGCCTTGTAGCATGTTCCCTATCCAAACCTTTGGAAGGTTGTATAGGGTACCTCGCTCCCTGATTCAGGATAGTGATAGTGGGGTTCGGTCCTCAAGCAGACTGAGCCAGTTCCAGCTGAAAACCCGGGCCAGTGCCAGCTGATGCTGATGATGCTGATGATGCTCAGGGGTTAGGGTCTGATATCCCGGGCCAGCGCTGATGCCGATGATGCTCAGGGGCTTGGGTCCAAAAGCCCGAACCCGCCCCAGTCGATGCTCATTATGCTCAGGGGCGTGGGTCTGACACCCCGGGCCCTGCGCGACTTCATGCTGATGATGCTGAGGGGCTTGGGTCTGATATCCTGAGCCAGCGCCAGCTGATGCTGATGACGCTCAGGGGCTTGGGTCTGAAGGCCGGGGCAAGCACCAGCTGATGCTGATGATGCTCAGCGGCTTGGGTCTAATATCCCGGGCCTGCGCCAGCTGATGCTGATGATGCTCAGGGGCTTGGGTCTGAAAGACCGGGCCAGCGCCAGCTGATGATGATGATGATGATGATGATGATGATGATCATATGATGGTGATGATGCTGCTGCTGCTGCTGCTGATGATGATGATGATGATGATGATTATGATGATGATGATGCTGATGATGATGCTCAGGGGCTTGGGTCCGACAGCCCAGGCCAGCGCCAGCGGATGCTGATGATGCTCAGGGGCTTGGGTCTGAAAGCCGGGGCCAGCGCCAGCTGATGCTGAGGATGCTCAGTGGCTTGGATCTGAAGGCCGGGGCCAGCTCCAGCTGATGCTGATGATGCTCAGGGGCTTGGGTCTGAAAGCCGGGGCCAGCGCGAGATGATGCTGATGATGCTCAGTGGCTTGGATCTGAAGGCCGGGGCCAGCGCCAGCTGATGCTGATGATGCTCAGGGGCTTGGGTCTGAAGGCCGGGGCCAGCGCGAGATGATGCTGATGATGCTGAGGGGCTTGGGTCTGAAGGCCGGGGCCAGCGCCAGCTGATGCTGATGATGCTCAGGGGCTTGGGTCTGAAGGCCGGGGCCAGCGCGAGATGATGCTGATGATGCTGAGGGGCTTGGGTCTGAAGGCCGGGGCCAGCACTAGCTGATGCTGGTGGGGCTCAGGGGCTTGGGTCTGAAGGCCGGGGCCAGCGCGAGATGATGCTGATGATGCTGAGGGGCTTGGGTCTGAAGGCCGGGGCCAGCGCCAGCTGATGCTGGTGGGGCTCAGGGGCTTGGGTCTGAAGGCCGGGGCCAGCGCGAGATGATGCTGATGATGCTGAGGGGCTTGGGTCTGAAGGCCGGGGCCAGCCAGCTGATGCTGGTGGGGCTCAGGGGCTTGGGTCTGAAGGCCGGGGCCAGCGCGAGATGATGCTGATGATGCTGAGGGGCTTGGGTCTGAAGGCCGGGGCCAGCCAGCATGCTGGTGGGGCTCAGGGGCTTGTGTCTGAAGGCCGGGGCCAGCGCGAGATGATGCTGATGATGCTGAGGGGCTTGGGTCTGAAGGCCGGGGCCAGCGCCAGCTGATGCTGGTGGGGCTCAGGGGCTTGGGTCTGAAGGCCGGGGCCAGCGCGAGATGATGCTGATGATGCTGAGGGGCTTGGGTCTGAAGGCCGGGGCCAGCGCCAGCTGATGCTGGTGGGGCTCAGGGGCTTGGGTCTGAAGGCCGGGGCCAGCGCGAGATGATGCTGATGATGCTGAGGGGCTTGGGTCTGAAGGCCGGGGCCAGCGCATGCTGGTGGGGCTCAGGGGCTTGGGTCTGAAGGCCGGGGCCAGCGCGAGATGATGCTGATGATGCTGAGGGGCTTGGGTCTGAAGGCCGGGGCCAGCGCCAGCTGATGCTGGTGGGGCTCAGGGGCTTGGGTCTGAAGGCCGGGGCCAGCGCGAGATGATGCTGATGATGCTGAGGGGCTTGGGTCTGAAGGCCGGGGCTTGGGTCTGAAAGCAGGAACCAGCGCCAGCGGATGCTGATGATGCTCAGGGGCTTGGGTCTGACAGCCTGGGCCAGCGCGAGCTCATGCTGATGATGCTCGGGGCTGTTTTCCAACACTTTAGGTTTGCAATGGGGCGCTTGTAATGTGACTTGCATCGCAAAACCTCACGGAGGGGCCAAATCCAGTGGGTCTTGTGCACGTACTGAGCTCGAAATCGTGTCGTGCTCCCGTGATTTTTTTTCAGGCTTGGAACGTTCCACGTCGCGAAGACACGGCAGACGCGTGGGTTTCTGCGTTTTGGGCCCTTGGGTGGGTTCGCTTCGTGCGTCCAGTCGAAGGGGGTTTGCATGTGGCGGTTTCGCAAGTGGCGCTCGCCTCGGTCCCGTGCGGCTTCTGACCGTCAAGTGCAGGACTGTGCAGAACTACCCCAATACCTAAACCCTAAAAAACAAACCCCAAACGCATGCTCTTGGAGTTCTCACGGGGTGGTCGTGGAGTGCTGTTGAAGTCTCACGATTTAGTTGAAGTCTCACGATTCAGTGTGTAGCTCCTAACTGTAGGTTTAGGGTTTAGGGTTTAGGGTTTAGGGTTTAGGGTTTAGGGTTTAGGGTTTAGGGTTTAGGGTTATGCTTGCAGGGTTGATGGTTCAGAATTCGGCTGAGGGTTTTGGTTTCAGGGCTCAGGGCACATGGGGTTTGGCTTTTTTGGTTGTGGTCGGACTTCGGGCTGTCAGGGTGGCTGGGGTCTTGTGGGGTCGAATGAAATGAGTTTTGGGCTTTTGGGGCTAAAAGGGGCTCAGGGTTTACGCGCGTCGAAGGGCCTAAGCCCCCTAAACCCTAAACCCTAAACCCTAAACCTTAAACCCTCAACCCCCTAAACCCCAAAGATCCTAGGCCCCCCCGATGCGTTGCAGAGCCTTTCCGAGGTTTGGCAAGCCTCAGAGTTCATGCGGAAGAGGAAGGCAGGTTTGGGGGTTAATGTAGGGTTCAGGGTTTAGGGTTCAGGGTTTAGGGTTTAGGGTTTAGGGTTTAGGTGGTTTAGCCCCATATGAAGGGGTTTAGGGTTTGTAGGGTTTAGGGTCTATCAGGTTTATAGGGCTGAAGATTTAGAGGGGTTAAGGTTCAGGGTTTGGGTTCAGGGTCCACAGCTCGCAAGCAAAGATTGCAGAGGTGCCAGCCAAAATGCTGTCTTTTTCTGCACTTCTAGGGCCACTGAAATAGCACAACCTTGGTAGCAGAGGGTTTCGGGTGTGTGGGTTTGATCCCGAATCGCAAGGAACAACCACCAGCCGGTGACCTGTGTGTGGGCTTCGGCGCCTAGACCCTGAACCCTGAACCCGCAGCCCTAAACCGCGGTAGGACCTTCGATGGGGTTCCCTTTTTTAGGGTTTAGGGTTTAGGGTAGCGGATTGAGGGTTTTGAAGTTTAGGGGTTCGAGGGCTTTGTGGTTTAGTGTTTGATGTTGGGATGTTCCCCCTTAAACTGACAGTCCTCAACAGGGGTGTTAGTACCCCCGATCTTAGTAGCTGAGTGAGCACACTTTACACTTTTTGGGATACTCTAATCCCCTATAGAACTGAAAGTTTACACCTTTTTGGGGCTTATGAACTCAGCAACTAAGTTTTAGGGTCTACAGGGCTCCAATGTCTAAGATTCTATTGTTTTTTTTTTTTTTTTGGGGGGGGGGGGTCCTGGGCCTGGTCCTGGGATGCTTGGCCGAAGTCCCTAAATCCCTAAACCCCGAAATGCCCGAACCCTAACACCCTAAAACCCTAAACCGCTAAAACCCTGAAACCCTAAAGCCCTAAAACCCTGAAACCCTAAAACCCCAAAACGCAAACCCCAAAAACCCCAAAAACCTAAAAACCTAAAACTCAAGAAACCCTAAAACCCTAAACCCTGAAACCCTAAAGCCCTAAAGCCCTACCTAAACCCTGAAACCCTAAAACCCTAAACCCTAAACCCCTAAAACCCTGAAACCCTGAAACCCTAAACGCTAACCGCAAAAACCTAAAAACCTAAACCCTAAAACTCAAAAAAACCTAAACCCCTAAAACCCTAAACCCCTGAAGCCCTCAAACCCTAAAACCCGAAAACCCTAAAACCCCAAAACCCTAAGGCCCCAAACCTTTGCTCAGTGGGCCGGCGGCTCCGAGCCCACTCGGTCCATGGTTTCGGCTTTCGGTTGTTTTAAGGTTTAGGGTTTAGGGTTTAGGGTTTAGGGTTTAGGGTTTAGGGCGTAGGGTTCAGGGTTTGAAGGTTTAGGGTGTAGGGTTTGGGGGTTTGGGGTTTTGCAGGCTTGGGGTTGAGGGATTAAGGTTGAGAGTTTAGGGTGTGGCGTTTGGTTTTTAAGGTTTAGGGTTGAGGGTTCAAGGTTTAGGGTTGAGGGTTTTAGGGTTTAGGGTTTTTTCAGGTGGGGGGGGTTATACAGGGGGTTTCAGGGTTTAGGGTTTATATATGGTCCGGCGTCTGGCGTGTCCGGCCCCCCCCCCCCCCCCCCCAATGGTATGGTCGGTAGGGGGGGGGGGGGGGGGGGGGGGGTCGACCCTCGGCAAAACCCGTGTTTTGTGAGTGTTGTGCCTTGGGTTGAGGGAGCACGCCCTCGGGAAAACCTATGTGTGTGAGGCGTTTACCCCCCCCCCTCCCCCTCCAGGCCTACGGTCTCTAACCCTAAACCCTAAACCCTGTCAAACCCCAAGCCCTAAACCCTAAACCAACCCTAAACCCTAAAACCAACCCCCAACCACACCACAGGGGGGGGGGGTTAACCCTAAAACCTTTCAAACCCTAAACCCTAAACCCTAAACCTAAAACCACCCTAAACCCTAAACCCAAAACCAAACCCAAAACCCAAAACCTAAACCCAAAACCTAAACCCTAAACCCTAAACCCTAAACCCTAAACCCTAAACCCTAAACCCTAAACCCTAAACCCTAAACCCTAAACCCTAAACCCTAAACCCTAACCCTAAGACCAACCCCCAACCACACCACGGGGGGGGGGGGGGGGTTCCAGACCATGGGGTGGGGGGGGAGGGGGGGGCCGGGGAGCACTGGACCATATATAGGGTGTAGGGTTTATATAGGGTTAGGGCTTTTCTAGGGTTTAGAGGTTTTATAGGGTTCAGGGTTTTAAGGTGTAGGGCTTTTTTGGGGCTTGTAGGGTTGAGGGGTTATGGCCTCTCTCTCAAGGCCCTAAGCCGTAAGCCCGAATCCCCGCGCCGGAAGCCCTACACCCTAAGCCACAACACAGTAACCCCCAACAGAGTGGAAAAGCCCTAAGCCCCAAAGCCCTAAGCCCCCGAAGACCCTATCTCTTAGGTGCTGGGTAGGTAACCTTTTATACCCCTTTTTTAGGTGTCCTAAACCCCTTTAAAAACCTGAAGGTCAATTGTTTTATGCCCCTAAACCCTGAACCCTAAACCCTAAACCCTATCTTGGCCACGGGGAGGTTCCGTCGGATCTGCAGAAACGGGTGGAGCACGGTCTGCGCCAGAAGTTCCAACAGGCTCCGAGAGTTTTACTTGTGTTCGGCTTTTAGGATTTTAACGGTTTCGGGTTTTGGGGGTTAGATGAGAGTTTTTCGGTATTTAGTTAGGGCTTTTTTGGTTTTCGGTTTTTTTGTTTTAGGGCGTTTAGGGATCAAGGGTTTCTTGAGTTTTAGGATTTTAGGTTTTTTAGGGGTTTAGGGGTTTAGGGTTTTAGGGTTTCAGGGTTTCAGGGTTTTCGGGTTTTAGGGTTTTAGGATTTCAGCCCTTTAGGGACTTGGGATTTAGCTCTTTTAGGGTTTTATGCTGTTGTGGCTTGGTTTGTTTTTTCTGGGTTTGTGGCTTTTAGGGTTTCAGGCTTTGGGGGTTTTAGGGTTTAGGGGTTCAGGGTTTGACGTCTTTTAGGGTTTCATGGTTTTTGGGGTTTGGGTTTTCAGGGTTTAGGGCTTCAGGAATTCCACTTTCGGGCCTTAGTCCTGAACGGTACCGACTACTGTGGTGGTGCAGAAGCCTCACGTGCCTGTAAAGAGAAAAACATAACCTCAACCATTCAACCCTGTTCTCTCTCTCTCTCTCTTCGCTTTTTGGGTTCCTGTTCTAATCTAGGATCACTGGGCGAGGTCGCTGCTTGAGTATGTTAGCAAGCTCCCATTCATACGTCCAAACCCTAAACCCTAAACCTTAAACCCTAAACCCTAAACATTAAACTTAAACCCTAAACCCCAAACCCCAAACCCTAAACCCCAAACCCGAGACCCTATACCCTATACCCTGAACCCCAAAACCCCTAAACCCCTAAACCCCAAAACCCCTAAACCCCAAGCCCCAATCGCACCTCAGCCCCTGCTGGCACGGCAGGAACTGAGCCTCTCGGTGGCCCCCAAGATCTTATCCAATCTTTCGCCGTGCCGCGGCTGAATACTTGCAGTGCAGTGCTACACCGGGATCCTGAACCCGGAACCCTGCACCCCAAACCCTAAACCCTAAATCCTGAACCCGGAACCCTGAACCCAAGACCCTTAGTAACCTTCGTATCCTAGGCCCACTCCCCCTCTCACCCTGAGCCCCCGTGGTAGTGCGTACTTTGGGGTTGGGGGTTCAGGTTTTTGGGGGTTAGGCTTTGAGGGTTTAGGGTTTAGAGTTTAGGGTTTAGGGTTGGGTGGTTGCGGGTGGTTCAGGGTAGGGAGTTCGCGGGCACGGTTTCAACGTACGGCTGGCGCACTTGTTTTGGGAAAGGGGATTCGCATCCCTGCCATCCTAAGCCGACCATAAGCAGCAAATCCCTAGAGCACCTAAACCCCTGAATCTCCCCCCCCCCCCCCAACCTCAAATCCCCCTGAAGCCCTCAGCCTCAACCCCTATATAGACCCGTAGCCAAGCCCCAGAAAACCCTAAATCCTAAGCCGAAAACCTAAGCACCCAAAAGCCGAAACCCTAGACCCTAAAATGTGGTTTTGGAACCCCAATTTTGTGCACCCCAGGTCCAGTCAGAGAGAACTTGCACTTGAGTTGCTCCGGTCGGTGGTCATGGCTTTCCCTGTATTCCAGGAGCGGCTCTGCGGGGGGTTGGGGTTTAGGGTTTAGGGTTTTGGGTTTTGGGTTTTAGGTTTTGGGTTTTGGGTTTTGGGTTTAGAGTTTGGGTTACGGCTCTGTGGTG